TTATTCAGAAACTTTATCTGTCCTTGGCCTTAGTTACACTTAAGATACGCGCGCGAAAAAAATTTTTTATGCGTGCACGAAAAAAAAGCACGCGCACGAAAATCTATTTGTTAGTCACCAAGGAGACAATTGTTAAAAAAACGGATAGGACATTAAATTTGGTTTTGATTTCTAATTGCATAAAAAGCATAAATTTAGGTTAGCGTTCTACCAAGTTAATGATTTGATGGAGGGAGTGTATTCAAACCTTAATTGGGCATGCAAAATAGTTAGAGATTTTTCATGATATCTTAATAAGGATTGCCGCCCCGTTTGCAGAGTTCCCAATAGTAATTCCCGGAGCTTTTTCTGCTTAATATAAACCTTTCAGGGCCGCGGCAAGTTTTATTAATCATCTATGTCTACACTCTAGCAGATAGCAATCAGGTTTTGTTTAAACAATATTTGAAACAGGTCACACATATTTTTTATTTATTTTTGTCATAATTTCTGATTAATAGCACTAAATGATTTTTTAAAGAGATATTTAAAGTCTTTTTGTATTAAAAAATGGTTTTTATATTTATGATTGCTCATTGGTGATTCAGCCTCTGGCTGCATTGATGTATCTGTAAATAAAGTAGCCATCTTTATTATAAAGTTCGGATATGCTGCTAACTCACGAAGTAGGGAGAAACATTTGGCCATGTTTCGTGTTTCCCCTACACCTCTTTCGTGCTCTTGCCGTTTCCTGCATGCTTAACAACAGAACAGAGCATGATCCAAGCTTCTTTATTTGTCAAACATTATGTGCAACTGAGATAGAAGATCATACATACAGAATTAATCCGCGCGGCTTGTATGCCAAGGTAAATGCTGAAGCAAACTAAACACGTTAAACAGCACAACTATCTTTAAAGTTGCCAAACTATATATAACAGACATGTGAACTAAGAGCTGTGTTAGCTTAAAGACGAACAACGAAGCAGTAATTTTAGACTATTCAAAATTGTACTGCAGCCAAAGTGCTGAAAAAATTTGCTTTCCCGACAATTTAATCAATTTTGGTTGGTTAATAATGGTAATTGAACTGAGTGGAGTACAATTTGGTCTGGAATCACAAGAGTGATTTTAGACCGAAATTGCACAACTCGAAGTTCAACTACCACTTGACTACATCCATCTTGAAATCGCAAAATTCAGCCGCTCTTATTCATAATATTTTTAGTCTGTATTAATATTCTATTGATCCAGTACTGATGAACTGGTTTATAAAAAGTTGCAAAAGTTTTCTTAAATTTTCCTCTAATTTGTTTGGTTACTAAACAAGCCTTGAAATGTGATTAAATATTGATGAAGGCTTCTCAAACGCTTGATAAAAAGAATGCAATTTTGAGCAAAAATGGTGCGATTCGTGAATAAATGGCACCAGTGATTTCAAAATGGATGTAATAAAAAGGTTCAAAAATCGTGATCAGGAGATATGAATGAAAATTAGTGGTAAATATCTGTGATAAAGCGCGTATTTTTCAGGGAGAATGGGGACAAATAAAAGCAATAATCGAAGAATGAATAATAAAATACTTGCTGAACGCCTTTGCGTTACCAGGATTAATGAGCTAAATCATGATGACCAACACTTTATTCAAAAGTGACCATTTGTTACCAACGTGAATTGTCAATTCTGTAGAGAGAATGAGTTTCAAAAGCAAAGAGTTCTGTATACCTTCGGTTTTTCTTTTTTTGCCGGTTTAACTAACAAATGAAATCGGTAGCACACACACACACTTAATTTTTTAACGGCTTTGATTGGCGTACAAACAATTCCATTTGAATTTAAGAGCTCTAGAAATTTATAAATTAAGTGTCGAAAGAAGCTAAATCATCTGAGAATGAATTGTTAATGCTTTTACCCTTTTTTTTTGCCAGTCTAAAAACCAAGATGCAGAACTAAAACCAATCACGACTTGTTCGAGCAATTTTGATTCAAGTGTTGAAAGTAATCCGAGACTGCGTTATTTTTCTTTGCTTTGCTTTGTGATTGGTCCAGAAAACTTGCGCCACTCTCTCAACCAATCACATGCAAACTAAAATCAATCACGACTCTAGGCAGTTTGATTGGTTTTACTTTGAGTTCTCATTGGCGCTTAAAGGTATTTCCCTTTCTTCTGATTGGCCGTTGTATTTACATTGGTTTTGGCTCTGCGACTATTCATCGAAAAGCACTTTAAGTCGCGTTTCCCTGCGCTTTAGTTGATTTTGACTTCGAGTCCTCATTGGCTCCTGGTTATATCGATCGTTTCCTATTCTGTTCAGCCGTTTTCGTTTCTTTGGCTTTGCTTTTTCAGAACTCTATCAAAAGCGCTCTAAGTCGCGTTTTACCGCGCTTTAGACGATTTAGACGTCGGGTCATCAATGGGTCCGGGTGATATCGATCGTTTACTGTTCTACTCGGCCGTTTTCATTTCTTTTGCTTTGCTTTTTCAACACTCGATCGAAAAGCGCTCTCAACACTACCTCTACTTTAAATAAGTCGGTAATGAAACCTGTGCACCTGTGACTCATCAGTATTTCTTGGCAAAGCTTTTACAAAGAATGCGCCGAAAAATTTTGAAAAAGCTAAAAACATTCGAGGTAATTTACCATATAAGACAATATATTTGAACTTCAATACGCACTTGATCAATATTGATATTGAAATCAATCAAAATAAATTGCTTGTTGTTGTTTTTTTTTTCGAAGAGTGTATTGCTCACATAACCTGTAACTTTTATCCAGCCTGACATACAATATTTTTGTTACTAAATTGCTGGGCGAATATATGACCATAGTGTTTTGTTTGTTTTGTTTTGTTAGTGTCCTGTTTAAAATTTATTCCGGTTTGATTCAAAATTCAATTACTTTTGCATGCGTTATTAGGCGAAAACGTTTTTGATACCACTTTGGCTATGACATAAATGATGAATTAAACATGTCTCAAAGTGTCACTTTAAGACATGCTTTTCACTTTAGACACGACTTTGACTTAACACTTAGATCAAAGTGATATGCAAACACTAGTAAAGTCGAAGAAAAAAAGCAACCAAACAGGTGATTGATTTTCAACTAACAATAGCAATAATAAACAAAAATCAAAGTAATACATTATCAAAAAAGTTGAAAGCTGAAACAATTTTGATGCAACCTTCAAGGAAGGAATGAAAGAAAAGAAACGTATTTTTACTGAGAAGCAGATGTTGTAGGGAATTATGACCCCCAAAAGAGCCTTTCATTGGTGTAATAGTTTCGTTTACGGCTTTAGGTTATGACGAGTCGTCGAAGGTGGCAAACGGCGGCAGAAACTTACTACTGTACTTGATAAAACACAGCAGGGCGTCGCCATCTTAATTTAAAAAATGGATCTTCCAGACAGATTCTTAAACCTCTCTATTGTTTCCTTGGCCGATCGTTCATCGACATGCAATCATTTGGTATTCCACGTTATCACCAACGCGATAAAAACGTGACTTTTGCTGGATTTTGCCATCATCTCTTATCACAAAAATGAGAAATTTTCAAGTTATGACAAAGGAAAAGTGTTGAGAAAATAAAAGGTTCGGTTCCTGAGAAAATGACGTTCAGAACAGCTGCTAAGTCCATGCAGCAAAGCATTGGTCAGCTAAGTTAAAAACAGATAATTCTGCGAAAGAAGGAACCCGGCTAACTTAATAGAGGTAGTTTAGGGTTTGCGAAAGGAAAATCAAAGGGGTCAACTCTCACGACTTAACTAACCAGAATCAACAACATTGATAGGTCGCTGGCCTGTAAATCAAAGGCGAGAAAACCAAAATCGTGATTCATTCTTTTTTTGTCACTTTTCAGTATTATGACCGATGAAAATCGCACTGAATCTGAACTATAAAGAGATTTTTTTTTCACATCTTAACCGATTTAGATTAGAACCAAATAGATAATTGTTACTGAGCTTCACGCTTTTGGTTTTTTGAATTTAAATTTGGTTCACTCTGGTTCATCGTTAAGAATTCGATTTGGTGATTGGGTAACTTACCATAAGAAGCAGAGATCACGGATTTTTCGGGGAACCTCTGGCCGGTGTATGTTGGTTATACCTGTCAAAACTTGCAGATGAAAGAAGGCTGTGGATCATGTCAGGGATCAGCATGATTACTATTTTAGAATAGCATTGCACGTGTAGCAACATGGAAATAGTTGAAAATTATGCGAGGATTCAGACCAATCAAAATCGCAAAATAACGTTTACGCCTTATTTGGAAACCCTTTCGGTTGACTTCGTCAATTTGACCAGAGCTTCATAAATTGTCAAATAGCATTATGCCCTTGTTGAATTAAAATGCACACAAGTAATGTCCCTAAACCAAGGACTAATACTACGGCTCAGGGAAGTGAGGTGAGTAGGTAGTCTGTTATATGGCACTCGGAACAAACTTTTTTATTTTGAATTTGTCAGCTTTCGCGACCAAAAATACGCGGCTTATGATCGTTTCCGAGGAACCAACGTATCGGTGTACAACGTAAATTAGAGAATAATCAAAGAAGTCTCTGGGTAAACGTGAATTTTATTTGCCAGAAAACATCTCTAGGCGCTATTATGAAACGTCACTAAGTCTAAGTCACGAAGAGAATAGCAAAACACAAGAATTCCCAACGCAACCGAAAGAAGGCAACTTTATTAAGGACGAAGAAAAAAATTAATACCGTATATATTGGAATCTTATCGCTAGAACTTAACCATATATTCATGTTCCAAATCAACTGATGAGCAAACGTGTGAAGATATGATAAGATGAGCCTGCGGGGTGATTTCACCTTTGAACACAGAGTTCTCATCACCATCAGACCTACAAATACTTAAGATCACATAAAAGAATATTTACATTTTATTGGATCACATTACAGATATTTTTATCTTAGAAATCTATGATAGTTTAACTGCCTATATCTCTCCTCCTCCTTCCCGTTCCTTCCCTGCCCTCCCCTCCCAGACTTACACAAATATTTCGTCATTTCAATGACATCATTGACCTGGATGAAGGAGATCTTAAGTCACATGCCGGTATGGGACGTTTCTTGCGGCACAGATTTGACAGGCCTTCCTTAAACTCAGGGATTTTGAGTATGTATAACACGGGATTTAAAAAAGAATTGGCGAAGTGGAGAAACTTGGTTGCATAAAACAGCTTCATGAAGGATGTAAAGTTCACTGGCTGCATACTAAATACCAAATTAGCAATGACAAAGGGGAGCCAGGCCACCAGGGAAACAGCTGTGATGAGAAGGCAAATGTGGGATAGGGAAGATTCCTTCTCGACACTTTTGCGGATGTCTCGCACTTTCCTCCAGATGACAACGTATGAAGCGCAGATCAGAAGCAGCAGCGCGGAGAGGAATGGGACCCACATTGAGATAACGAAAGCCTTTGGAGTTGAGGAGTGGAAGGCTGTGGGAAAATTTATGGCTGCTATATGAAGAGTAGGGATGGAGCCCGCGGTTATCCAAGCGATAGCGGTGAAGAGAAAGTACCAGCCTGACTTGAGGGAGCGGTAGCTGAACGGTCGCAACGTCGCGTAGAGTCGCTCCAGTGCAATCATCGAAAGAAACGCAATAGAGCCAAAGCCTGCGAACATGTCGAAAAACATATTGACTTCAACAGGGACGGATCTCAGAGGATTTATACTCCATAGTTGCCGAGACTCGCCATAAGCCACAACGAACATCGGTATGGCCAAAGCACCGACTAAAGTGTCAGAAATGGCCAGGTTGATCATTAGATAGTATCGTCGCTTGCAAAGTTTTCTGGTCCGGAGAAACACAGCGGTTGTGAGGAGGTTCCCGATTATTATCACAAGGGCTTCAAGAATGAAGAAAGAACACCAAAATATGGCCGTAGCTTTATCTTTAACCAGCGGTGCAGGGATGGTAGCATTTTCTCTATCAGTTTTTAACGTTTCTTCCAGGGTTATGTTTTTCATGTTCTGTTCAGACATGATCTGTGAAGAAAGAAAGGATAAAGAAACAAAAACAATATGGCCGGAACATACGAAAAGACTTCCTCTTCTGTGCAGGAACAGTTTCACTCTCAAGTGATTCCTTTTCCAGACACCTTTTCTCAAAAGAATCACGAAACAGAAAACAGTTTTCTGTTCCTTTTTTCATGACATTTCCTGTTCCTGTTTCGCCAAATTCCATTGTTTTCCATTTCTGTGTCACCTTTTGCGTCAAAGTCGTTCAATAATGTTTGCATTGTAATCGCAATGATCATTGTTTACAAGCTTTTCTCCCAATTGCATCTGATAACAAACCTTGAGGTTTTCCGACTCAGAACTATATACCTCAGAACGCATTTTATGTGACGCAAGTTTTTTTGACTTATAGAGATAAAAAAAAAACGATATACAAGTTTTCTTTAGTGAGAAAAGCACAGGATTATCTTCGTCCGCTAAAGTGCTATTGATCGATCCTGCCGCCGATGTTTATATGATAATATGATTCAATCAATCAGCCAATGAATTTTAACTGTTCCCACGGCTTTTATTTCGAGGCAATTTACAGTGTTGGGTCTGTGTCTGATCTCGGGATTTTTTTGTTCACTCGAAGAGTGGCATTAAAGCGACAGTGTTGACAAGCCTCGCTATCGTTTAAGCGCGGTTACCATTCCAATATGGCGTCGGGCTCGGACGAGTCAGGGCCTATTAATCACCACGCTGTGAACACCTAGGTGAGCGAGTAATCACTTGCATATCGGAGTCTCCATGAAAAACTTGTTTCTACGCTTTACATACCATGCATGGGATTAATTTATATTTGTTTTCACGTTATGCTGGCTGTTGCACTTAGGAAACTCTAAAAACCGAGAGCAGTTTTCAGCAATGAAATGTTCATTATTTGTCCAAATCAAAACACTCTATCAAGAGTTCCACGATACTTCCGTCATGACTTCAAGATTACTTCGATCGCCTACAGTCTTGAGCGATTTAATAAAATTTTCATGAATTTCTATAAAAAAAGGCCGACAGAAAATAAGAACAACACGCAACTTTGAAAAGGCATTGTTGCATCGATTAAATCGAGGGCAAAAACTCTGCTTAATAAAGGGTTGAACCACTCTCACGCCTTCTTCGAACAAGTTAAGTTCAAGCAGAGGCGGCGATCTTCCTTACCATAAATCCTTAATTACTTCACTGTGGAGAAGAAAGGACAAATTCAGGTGGTAAACTTACCTTGAACGGACGTTTCACAAGAATTGGTGGTAATACCACCAATTCTGTTCCTTTCACAGATTCCTCTCGTAAAATTTGTATTTAGTAACGGTTTCTCGATCGCTGAAGGAAAGACGTGAAATGCGCCTCAGCCAATCACAGTGCAACCAATTGCTCAAGAAAAATGTGTTTAGAAAACGTGTTGCACGTCAGATACAAGTTAAAATTACCACGCTGGCTTCTATACAGCATTGTTTGATAGTACACACTTCTGTATTTGTATGGCTATTAAGTTCGTCTACTTTCTAAAGTGTCAAAGTTCCAGATGACTATATTAATGAGTATGCAAATCAGTAATTAATGAAAATGCCAAACGCGCACAAGGCATTGACGCGCACGTTCTCTAAAGAATATTTTAGTGAATTTTTTTGCCTCATTTAGGGGCACCTCATATTCATTGGTTTCCTTCAGAGCCACAACACTAAAATTTAAAACTAGAACACTTTTCTTTCTGTACATTTTATTCTCATTCTGAGATACAAGAAGACGATTTGGTGTTGATTTGACAGTCGAACGATGGACAAGTAAGCAAAGAATGCAAACTTATGAGGTCTTCGTCAAATCACAGAAGTTTTAGCCGCGGTAAGTTTGAAATTTCAAATTGTTCTTTTTCTCACCTTTCGGTGGTTTCTAGCTAAAAAAAGGATGTATTTAAGATTCATTGCCAGCTTTATCAATTTATGAACTCTGCAGCTTGAAATATTTTGAATGTAATGTCATTGTTTTCTTGAATTTCAACGTCAATTTATTACCTCTTTTACAGATTTTCAGAGGAGAACCGAAGATGAGACTGAATTTATCTCTAGAATATTCTAACATTCACTTGAAAAACATCAGCTCGACTGACTTCCCCATGAACAAGTCCACAGCAACACTGTGGTGTTCTCTCTTCATTCTTGAAGCGTTCCTAATCACAGTTGCAAACCTCCTCACGATCGCCATGTTTCTCTGGACCAGAAAACTTCGCAAGCGACGATACTATCTAATGATCAACCTGGCCATGTCTGACACCTTAGTTGGTGCTCTGGCCATACCGTTGTTCGTTGTCCTTTTTGGCGACTCTCAGAGATTATGGAGTTCCAGACTATTCCTTGTCGACACTGCTCTGTTTTTCGACATGTTTGCAGGATTTGCGTCGATTACGTTCCTTGCCATGATTGCTTTGGAACGTCTCTATGCGACATTACGTCCTTTCCATTACCGCGCCCTCAACTCTGGTTGGTATATACTCCTCATTCTTATCGCTTGGATCGCTGCGGGGTCTATCCCATTATTTCATGTGATGGCGCGGAAGCATTCCACAGTCTTCCGCTCCCCGTCTCAACTGGCTATCCTTCTGTTCATGTGGGTTCCATTCTTCTCCGCGCTGCTTCTCGTGATCTGCGTTTCATACATAGTCATCTGGAGGAAAGTGCGAGACGTTCAGAAAAAGGACCGACAACGAATAATCGAGAAGGAATCTTCTTTATCGCGCATTTGTCTCCTGGTGACAGCGGTATCCGTGGCAGCTTGGCTTCCCTTTGTTATTGAAAATTTGGTCATAAGCCAGAAGCGAATCAATCCTTCAGTCTCTCATATTCAACTGTTTCATGTGACCAAGTTCCTCCATTTTGTCAATTCCCTGTTGAACCCTGTTCTGTACGTGCTCAAAATCCCCGAATTCAAGGAAGGCCTGTCAGCTGCTTTGTGTCTCAAGAAACATGCTGGTTTCACCGGAAAATTGAGTATTCATGGTTCGAGAAGCGCCCTCGCCACCGGTCTTTAGACTTCTATAGACAGTATTTCGTGTGAAATGAATATTGATGTATTAATTGACCGCCCTTGAACCCTTTAATGCATGAGAGTGTCTCAAATTTAATTTCACCTGACAGTATCACTTCTGAATCACACATAATTAAATTCACAAGAGTTAAAAAAAATGATCGCCATTTAAAGAAGGTTTTGACTGTTAAACAAGTTTTCCTTGTTCTTTCCACGGGAAACGAATCGAACAGAATGGAGAATATGCGTGCTAATGTCAGGGTGCAAAGAGTCGGGTCTTGTAGGGTCACCCGCATAATCATGAGATCGTTTGTAATGCATATATCTGGTTCATTAATTTGTATGCAACGAAATTAAATCTATGAAATCGAAGAATGGGAGAGTAGTGACTGAGAATTCCCGTCGCCCAACAACTTTCTCTTGGCTTGTGGTCAAGCAGAGTTTCTGCAGTAAAGGATTAACAAAACACACATCTACAGGCACCGCGTGACAGTTCAACTCCGAGAAAATGTCAACGATTATGTTCCTAGCCTTGAGTGTTACCCCAAAGAGCGACAAGCATCTTATTTCCCCTTACCGTAACATCCCTGAATCACACATTGAGGTCATGATGAGGAAATGATCACCAACTAAAGATGTTCTCCTCAAATTCTCCTTGTCAGCTCCTTAGGAAATTACGAAGAACAGTATGGAGAATTTGCATGATGTTAAGGTGTAAAGGGTAAAAAATATACACGAACAAGCATGCAAAGAAACAAACGAACAACAGAGAAAACTTCAAACCGGTAGTGGATTGATTTTGACTATTGTTTATTTTTCAAACACTCTGAGATAAAAGAGCGTCATCAAGTGTTCTTCGCCCCACCAAAGCTCCTTAATTTAACAAAACGAGTTACTCTATGAAGCAAGTTAGCTTGTAAAAACCTTAACCTTTTCGTATTGAAGATGCAAAGGTGATTAACAGTTAATCATCGCCTTTTAAAACTTGAAGTTAGGGCTGTCTTTTGATCCATCAAGACAATTTGGCATGAAAAAGTATTTTTTCTTTGATTTTTTGAGTGGAAAACTGAACAAGACAAAAATGCATTTTTTAAATGCAAAGTTATGTGCATTTATCAAAATTCAATAAATACTTCTTCATCACATTGGAGGGATATATTCATCTTCTTCCGGCTGGAAATGGGTCTAAGTTACATAAACTCATGCCAACAACTGTGGAAGATGAGTAATTTAATTTTCCCCAACAACAGCGCGTGTAAAATTTTGAGTGGCAGTTTATTCTATTAAAAACCCTAATATAGCACATGGTTTTATCCAAACAAATTCTTCGACTTTCTTTTAAATGAATAACTGTGCATACAACAGCTACGGTCGGAGAGTGCATTAGCCTAAATAGGCAGTCTCAAAGTTCAGCATGAACCAAATTCCGAAGAAGCTCTAAACGTTTAAGAGGAATTTCAACCAAAAGATATGAGTGAATTGTAACCTTTTAGTCCATATAACGCTATAACAGTTATCAAAATTATCATGGCAAGAATAATAAATACACTATTTCGTTTGCGGAACATTTTGAACGTAATTTGAAGATCTAAAAATTTCTATGGGAAAAAAACCCCGTTAACACTTTAACTCCCAGTTGTGATCTCGATCTGTAACTTCTCGCCCCTTCAAGGCATAATGCCTCAAACAGGTATTGAGGACAGCCAAAACTTGTCAGCTAGAGGGTGTTGTTAGTCACTAAATAGTATAATGGTAATTGGACCAAGTGAAGTCCAATTCGGTCTGTAACATACGAGTGATGGACGACCGCCAACGGAATGATGCGGTGTGGATAGAAATAAGCATTATCAATCCATTCTTGGGAGTAAAAGTGTTACATTGAAATTGATTTACTATCGTAATCGACCATTAGGTTTCACTCTACCTATTTCTGATTTAGGATCTGGTGACCTTGAACTCCATGAAGTAGATTCACATTGTGGAATTTGCTCGCAACCAGGAATCTTCCCTTGAACTATGCAAGACGATTCTACCGTCCAAAAATATTCTGTAACATTGTCTATCCAATCATGAAGCGGTTCCCCAGACTTCCTAGAATTCTCCGCGGCATTCGTGGCCAGGGCCTCTGTGTTGTTTGCCTCTCGGTCAAACTCGATTAAGAAATCATTAGCGTTATAAATCCCGCCCGGGGGACCGCTGTTCGCGGCGACAGCTTCATTAGAGCTAATAGGTTGGCCTTTTGAGAATGACAGAGGAACCACTAAGAATTTCGTTTGTCCTATGACCATATCCTCGCCTTTATGCGAGAAAATCATTTTAATTGTCCACTTTCCAGGCCGCATTGGTTTCTTGAAAGTGGGTTTATGAAATGAAACCACCCAGTTATCGACCACGCGCATTTCATAAATTCCCGTCACCACGTTGATGGGGTCCACCCACATAAGTTTTACATCAAATGCTTTGCCATGAACCCAGCGGTGTACTAAGACAGGGTCGTCCCAGGGACCCATCAGACGGGCCATGTTGCGAAAGACCCTCTCCTTTTGGTCCCAACTAGTGCCCACCTGAGAAAAGAGGAACAGATGTGATCTAACAAGTATACAAATCTGATGTATGTTAATATAACGTCAACGACAGTCGTCAAGCATATCCAATCTCCTGATAAATTGCTGTCGAAGTTTAACTAGAAGATTACCATTTCGTGCCTCTACCCGCGCTCATCCAGTCGTATGTCAACTTGCACCAAATGCTGGTTGAAAGTTTTCACGAGCTTGGCGCTCTTGATTGTGCTTGCACACTTTCCCTCCGTTTTACTCTGGTTGTCCACTCGCTCTTAAATGTTGTTGTGTTTTGGCCCTAAATGTTAGTTTAAGCCACACCTGATTTGTTTTTAATTCTTTACAAGATAGGATGCACTTCACTTAGGTTTCACCTCTACGACGGTTATTAAAACAGCCGCCTTGAAAGTAACCTTTTCCAAGCCTTTTGTTGGTAAAACGGAGCGAAATAGCAAACGGTGCTATTGTAGCGGCAAAGCAAAAAAAAAAAAAAAAAAAAACAAGGGGGTGGGGGTCGGGGTCGAGGTCAAGGTCGAGGTCGAGGTTAGAGACGAGTTTAGGGTCGAGGTTAGGATCGAGGTTAGGATCGAGGTTAGAGTCGAGGTGAGAGTCGAGGTTAGAGTCGAGGTTAGAGTCCAGGTTAGAGTCGACCCAAGCCCCCCCTCGTTTTTTCACTTCGTTTTACTAACTAAACGCCTGGAACAATCTGGCTTAAAAGCATATTATGGAGCATAGTATGAAGTAAATTATGCTATTTTAAAGAGGACTAAATTTACTATAATAAACTAAGGGAAAAAAACGACAAATTAACAGTAAAAAGCTTTGTTGGTAGGAAATAAGTTTTTGTTACCTCTAGCCCCACAAGTCGCTGTGGTCCGTTACTCATGTTCAGATTCAAAAGCTCTTCATGACTCAACGGAGCCAGCCACGATTCTAAAGTGACGACCTGTTTATCGCCATCCTTTGTTGAATATTCAACATCATACAAAACTAATAGCCCGCCAAATTGATCATGTTGATTCAGTAGTGTGATCTCCTGAGTGTCTAAAACCCTCCCACTTGGACATTTCTGGCTTTTAGCTCCTTGCGAGGCTGCTGTTTTTAAACTTTTCTCGCCTACTCTGGCAAAAGCATGGAAGAATGTTCTAAACACGTCGCTAGTTTTGGTGATGGAGTCTTCGCGATGGAAAAGATTCTCCCAGTAGTAATTCAATCCTTGCGTGTCGGTCGGATATGGGTCATAAAGCCAAGCGTCTAACTGGTTGATGACCTCTTGGTTCACGATCGCCTCGAATTTACGTGCGAAGAAGTTTGTTGACTTGCTCTGTGATGAAATAAAAGGTTTAGAGCTGCGATCAGTAATTTATTAAGAAGCGAAGGAACCTTTGCTACGGAGATTCAAAACGAGACTTGAACGCTGGTAACGTTTGCAATATTAGAACGATCTTTTATCCGTTGCGCTACGAAGCCACACGCTTTTAAATTTGCGCCTGGTTATCTTTCGTTCTCTGTTAGTTAAATAGAGCCCTTTTCGATCGAGTGTCGTAAAAACCAAACCACAGTTATCACAACAACCACTCAGAAGAGAGGAAAATATTCTGAAGAACCAATGAGAACTCATAATAAAACCAAGCATTCTGCCCAAAGTGCGGGAAAGCGCAGGTGACCAAGTCGTGACTGGCTTTTTGTTTGCATCTGATTGGTTGAAAGAGTGGCGCGAGCTTTTATTCTTTTAACCAATCACAGGGCGGAGGCAAACAAAACCGATGCAATCCCGAATAACTTTTGACATGTAATTAAAAATTCCTCTTACGTAATATTTTCATAGAAATCCCGGAATTTTCGATGGTTTGCTTTTGTTCCATACTCTCTACGATTTACTATGAAAACTTACGCCACTCAGTCAGCCAATCTGATGCAAAACTTAAATCAATTGCAACTTGGGCACACGCGTTTTTCCGCGACTTGGGTAATTTACTTTATATTTTTTCAATCTGAGTTCTGATTGGCTCAAACTGACAAATTGAAACAAAGGAAATATCACACGAAGCCAAAGTTAAAAAGCGTGTGGCTTCGTAGCTCAACAAATAAAACATCTTTCTAATATGGCAAACGATACTAGGAACGTTACTAGGGTTTAAATTTTGTTTCGAGTCTCCCTAACAAAGGTTTCTTTGCTTCTTACATCTACTAATACGGAGCAATAAGGGCAAACAGTTGTAACCATTTACAATTTAACACTAACCTTCAGCCGAGGCAAATCCTCGGGCTTAAAGTCGTTTGGTGAGCAGCCACACCAATCCACGATATGCTTGTACTGACACCGGCAGCCCAGCTTCCGCTTCCAGTTTGTGAGACGAAGATTGCTTCGGACGAACGTCTCACAGTAAGGACCATTCCTTAAAACGGTGTGGAAGAAAGACTACAAAAAAATAAATAAATAAATAAAACAAGATAGCTTTAGTCTTGACACACGTTTCACTTTGCTTATGTAGAGTTGTGACTGTAAGTTTCCCTCCTACTCGTCCCTAACTAGTTACGTACTCTTTCTCTGCAAGCCTAAACCACATTGGCGCAGTTTTCAGTCAAGTGTCCAAAAACAAAAACCATAGTAACCGCGAAGGCCAACCAGAGTAAAGGTATTATCACCATTAGCCAATTACAGATCAGAGTAAAAACAGACAAACTTCTTAGAGCGCGGGAAAACGCGAATCACAAAGTCGTGGTTTTGGCTTTACATCTGATTGGTTGAGCGTCTTGCGGGAGATTTCTGGACCAATCACAGAGCGAAGTAAGTCAAACCTGAGGCAATCCCAGATTACCGTACTTTCGACACTCATTGGAAATTGCTTTATCTACAAACCTCTGCTGGAAGTAGCGAGTATCCATACATGTGTTTGAGTCTCACTACTAGAGGGTCCTTTGATGTTACTAAATAGTGACAGAATTTCTTGTTTAAACCAATCCAGTCACTTCCGCCATCGATCTCAATGTCAGAGGGCAGTTTTCTGTCGCCGAGTCGCCACATGTGCTCATCACATTCTAAAAATGTCCTATCCAATCCTTGCTTTTTAATAAACCTAAAAGTGAGTAGTAGAAGTAATGTGCGTTATTGACCCAACATGAGGTCAAGAAAGCTGGATAATGGCTGTTCCATAAAAACGCAGAAAAGAAGCTCAGTCGATAAAGGATTTATTACACAACAGAAAGATTTCGCTTTTAATAAAAATCCAGAATGAACTATTTATTTTCGAGCGCTGCGAAAGAAGGAAACGGTAATGGCGCGTGCTCGTTTTTCATTTGAAAATTGAAAAATAACGTGATTTGATAAGTTTACTAAGTGCCGATTAAATGCCGAAAAGCTTGGTTGAATCTAATTAGAAAACTACACAAAATTCGACGAGGATTTTTTTCCTTGTGCGGGATCAAAGCAAGCGACCACGAGTGGGCAAGAGGAGGCCATCTTGTCCACTCGGGTAGCCGATCAGAACACAGGATTCGTTTCATCTTGTCCACGGGCGCTGCCAGTTATATAATAAACAAGATATATAATTCAAAGATAACTTCATCATCATAAAGGTCATCTTTATAATTGACAAAAATATTAGCTAATTGAAGTTAGAAAAAAGATCAATGTTGAAAGCTACACTTGATTGTTGAATGGCAACGATCGACAAAATTGAGCCTAATTTTTTTTCTACCCCATTCTAAGCCAGCCTTGCTCCTTGATGGTTCATAATATTCTCTCTTTTGCTTTTCATTCTTACCAGGATAATATTCTGTGATTTTCTTTGAGTTGAAGTCAGTTGTGTTAGTTGCTAAGAAGACTTAAAAACTGCAACAGCTTGAATGTTTAGTTTCAAGCATCCTAGGCATAAGGCGTGTAAATATCTGAGTCCTTCATTTAAAAAAATGCCTGGGAGATATATATCATAGTCAAGTCTATATGCTGTACTCAGTGCAAACCACTGTAGTACATGATTTCTGGTTCCTTTTCCATTACTGGTTGAGCAGCAATAATAATTCTTATTACTGTCTGCCATACAATTCTCATGATGTAAGTTTTGAAAGTTCTCATCACTTGACTGCTTGGTATTGTATTGATATTGTAAGGAGAAATTCTCTCTTGGTCACTCATAGGAGTTAAGGGGTTTAATCAGGAGATGAAGCACAAACCTTAAAAGTTCCCTTCCATGGGGTTTTAAAAAGTTAAAATCTCTATTGGCTCTTAAAAATTCCACCAGTTTTGAGTTGTGTCTAAGGAACAAAGGAACACAACAACTGATTAGGTGCATAAACATTTATAAATACCAATTGCGCATTTGGATGCTCATACATGTATATCACTGTTACACCAGCCTAGCTGGCTCTCTGCTACTCTCCTGAGAAAAGGGAAGCACTGAAGAGTTAATTTACTTTGAGGTTTGAAAATCTCAACAATTGCATTAGTGTTATGTCACAATCTTCCTTTATTTTGTCCTGCCTTACAAAAAGTTGCCTTTTGTTTATTCTAACAGATCCTGAATTAAAATTTAAAAGGCCCCCTGATATTAGTGCCAAACCCCAAATACAAAATGAGCGTTTATTCTCAAGCAAACAAATCTCATTTAAAAGGCTTTGCAATTAGCCTCTTTCAAAAGTGAGGGTTTTGACCCTTGAAATTTCCAATTGAACAATGTTCAGGGAGAGCTTGTGTGTCAAAGTGTTGCAAATTTTAGGTATAGTTTACAAGCATGATTGTTGCAAACACAATGTATCAAGTAACTTTGGTTATGCTGTACTTCTGTCAGCACCCTTCAGCCATTGTGTATTCCACTCATCGTGCACAATTTTTCCTGCTGGTAAGGGAATCTAATCAGAATACAGCTTGTACTTACTGTATTGGATAGTCTGATTCACTCAGGTTAATAAAAAAGTCCCATTTCCAGTCTTTCTTGGCTAATAAGTCCTCCATACATTTCAGCAACATTTGGAGAAGACTTGCTCCTCCCCATATAGTTGCCATACTCCAAGGTGCCACTGCGGCATTTGGAAAATCACGTATCATCTTTAAAACTTCTCTTCGCAGGTAATCAGACCTCTAAACCAAAAAGGAGAAAAGATTACAGGATTTCTTTCAGTAAAAGATAAATAACCAAACTACAATTTCCCCAAATTTTTTAAGAAATCTCATTTATGGAGGGAAAATACTGTTGAATCATTCATTTAGGTTATGTGAAATAAAAGAAATGATTGCTAACATAAGAAGCTTTGATTGTTAAATAAATTCTCCTTGCCAGTACTAGGGGAAATGCAAACAAAAGAGTATAGAGAATATGGACACTGATGCAAGGTGTATTATGGTAAAGTAGAGCCTTTATACAGGCCCAAGTGGCCCATAGGGCCAGCACTTTACTCCAGTTTCCTTAGCATTAAGCGGCTAAGAGTATTGCTACTCCTCCCTGGATGGGATGCTAGTCCATTGCAGGATTACCCCCAGCACATTTGCTGGTACCCATTTGTACACCTGGGTGAAGAGAAGCACTGTGAGAGTAAAGTGTCTTGTCTAAGAGCACAACACAATGACCACGGCCAGGGCTCAAACCCGGACCACTTGATCCGGAGTTGAGTGCACTAACCATGAGGCCACTGCGTCTCCTATAGGTGACCGACATCTCATTTCTCTTTATTTTAATACTGTTGAATCATTTGCTAACATAAGAAGCTTTGATTGTTAAACAAATTCTCCTTGTCAGCACCAAAGGAAATGCAAACAAAAGAGTATAGAGCATATGGATGCTGATGCAAGGTGTATTAGGGTGAAACATTTTATATCTGAAGAATCAAACAATACTTACAGTGTCTATGTGAAAGAAAAAGTAGTGATTACTGTGGTACAAAGCCTTGAATAATCTCTTTACTTGTCGGAAAGCTCGTCCATGAAGAGTAAGAACAAAAGCAATTCTGATTGGGTTTCCATATGCTGTGCGACTAAGATCAATTGGTTTAGCAGGGCCCTTGGTAGAACGTGGTGCAGGGCAAGTTCTTTTAATGTCAAGTAGAGAGGTATATAGTAATTTGGCTTCTGACAGACATGCTGTCTTGTAAATAAGTCTTCTACATTTCTCAGATTTCACCCTCTTTAATGCAGAAAGAGCATCTTTGTGTTTCACATTACATGGAGGAACAAATGGTTGCTCTAAAGCTGCCTGCCCATTATTCTTCTCTGTTTTTTTCAACTGTTCCCCTTGTTCTGGATCCTAAGTGAAAAACAATATTAAAAAAGTTAAAAACAGTTTTAATTCAATTAATGAGTTATTGGTGAAGAAGGTAGAATTCTTGGTCATTCTCGTGGATGACTAAACAGAATTTCTCCAAAAAATGTCAAAACACTGTGAAGCAGAAAATGATGAGAAAAAAAATTTAAATTAGGGGATTACTGGTTGATCCAATAACAAATTATCCAAACTAACATTATAAGAATAATATGGTAGATAGTAAAGAGAATTACTATAGAAATTTCAGGAGTAAAAGGGTTAAACAAAATTCTTAAAAATCCTTGTATGGACAGGTGAGATAAGCAATGATTTTGAGAAAACATGATGATCCACATTTTATGAATTCAGCTGTGTTCATTATTTGAACACAATAATAATTTATTGCTTTATATACAAAGGGAGATGTCATTATCTGTTAAAAAGCCCCTCTATAGGTGAAAAATATCAATCAGCAATGTTGATAGTGCATTCAGTATAGATGCAATTCTAAGGCCACTGGAAATGTCCATAAGCATTTAAATTTGAATATTATGAATCGAAGAGCCACTTAAAATACATTTTGTTATGTTTAATCCTTAAAACAAATAATCATAGACCGAAATCACTGATAAAAATTAACTTATGTTATTCAGTGGGATGTTGATGACTTTATCATTGCAGTTTTATACTTATAATTCTTCTATTCGTTTTCAATGAATTGCCGCTTTTCTTTTTTAAAGCTTTTCACTTATTCTAAGGTATCGATCTATTTAGTATTCGCCCGCGGCGGAATATTTACTAGACCGAACAATGACCGGTGAACATTATAATACACTGCAATTATGCAGCGAGATTACAGTTCACAATAGACATGGTTTTTATAAGTACGATCTAAGTGCTTGTAAAGCTTATCTAAGCGGATTTAGAACTCTCTGCTATATTCACTTCTGATATAGATACGAGACTTCGCTATTCGTCGATTATCTTAAATCAACACTGTATTCGCTATTTTGTATTGACGAGTAAATAACTAATGAACAATCTAGAAACTTTTTGGGGTGTCGCGACTCTCAAGGGAAAATGACGTTGAAGGATATTCTCTTACTAACAGATCCTCCAAATATGCGAGAAGTGTTGAGGGTGAACTTCTTTCCACAACACGATGTTGGAATAATTAGGTCTTAAAAGTCCGAGTGACGACCAAAGCAGTACCAGTAACTTTGTTAAATTATTCAATGGGAACATAGCTGCTTTACAAAAACCATTCTTAGAGCGAAGAAAAGTCCTTAAAAATATATTTTGATGAATCGTTTATATACAGGGAAAATGTGAAACTTAATCATGCTCTGTTAACGCAAGATCCCGTCAGGATTTTCCTTAGAATAAGACAGGCGAAGAAGGAAAAACAAACCGCTCGCAAAATATTGTTCAGCTGATAGATACTAGTGCAGTGTTTTGATTGAAAATTATAGAAGTGGGTTGGCAATTCTAGAATAATTAGCGGTTTTGAATGCCTCAATACAACCCGAAAGAAAGAGCAATAGTCATTCACGGAAATGATGATAATTTTTTTTTCTTCAATTAAATAAATTTGCTTATCTTCATTACCTGTTTTGACTCGATCCCCACGTGTGGGCCGGTTTTTAAACTCGATCTTGGAACATGTCGATTCCCATGCACTGGATGTTCTTCTGGCCAGTGTTTGGACGAGAAATAAATGGTCGTCAACACCTGAATTATCACAATAAGACCTACAATTCCTAAAATAAATCTAACGATTCTAAACTTCATGACCGTAAGTGTCACGTAAGCACAGATTTCTCCTGTTTGTTCACGTTAAGGCTACCGCTGACTCCCCTTCAAGGGACTGGGGAGGCGATTCATTTCATTGGTTCGTGAGGCGAGTGCGTGACAAATTGTATGACGTTAACCGAGCGTGACGGATTTTCCCTTCACTTCTGGATTGAATTTTCTTCGTGAGTCGCGGATCAGATCACAGCAAACACTGCAGAAAAAAATTAATAAGTACACAATTAATCAGGAAGAAGCTTCCTTAGAAAAAATTCAAAATTGTATGTTGTGATCAAAGCAGGATAGGATTTGTTCCTGACCGGTTTTGAGTAGGATAGATATTTGTTGAAATCATTGTTCCCTTGATAATACTCAATAGCTCTTGTACTCGAGAGCCTGACTCTGACGCAGAGACACAGTTCTGACCGCAAAAAAATATGTACACAATACCTGATCGTCCAAGAACGCTGTGAATGTCGGTGACCATGCCGTAGTTCTTGAAATGTAGAGATTTGTTTTTCGTAGCTTAAGACGGATTGAATCTGGCTAGTCAGTTTGACGGGAGTTACATAAGTCCGGAGTTGGCAATGTATGAAAGGTGGAAACTATTGAAGGAAGTACTATATTCAAAGGGATGCAAAGCAAAACTGAAAACGATGATAAAATGGAATAACAAACATTTCCTAAAGGGATCGGTCATACGAGACAAAACATAGTCAAAGGATTAATTTGCATGGTGGGAGGTAAAATGGCTATTTATACAGCTTAAATAATGAACCGTTTGAATGACCAAAAATAACTGAAGACCTCTGGGAACTTATTTTATATTTGCAAACTTCTGACTTCCTGAATAGGTTTGAAATCGTCTTTTATTCTTTTTTTAGATTTGTATTAGAGGGGACAAGACCTTGGAACATTACTAGAGTTTACTATGAAATGATGGAATTATAGAGGAAAGCCGATTCGTACGGTGAACTGCCCACGGCAGAATTTCAGATTTAATAATTTTTGTCTTCGGGATTTTTATTTATTTTTTTAACAAAAATATATCACCGAAATCACATTTCGTGACAAGATCAGAAGAAGCAAAAGGAAGTCTCTTTTTTTTCCTTGACATCAAGAGCATGAATTAAAGTTGGCAATCAAATGATAGTTACCATGACGACCGAGAGGAGGCGGGCACGTAAAACAGTGAATACTTGTTGGATCGACTTAATTTTTTTGGGAGGGGGGAATTTAACAACGTCAGAATAATTGGTAAGAAAAATGAAAAAGACCACAAAGCCGGGAAAAACTGTTTGCATTGACAACTGCACAGAAAAAGAGTGTTGTCGAAAATGCTTTTAAGCCTCTTCAAAAAAAAAAAAAAAAAAAAAAAAAATTGAATGAAAACAATTAAACTTAGTGGTTTGTTCCTCATACGTCACGTATCTGCGCAAGAAGCAAGACATTAGCGGGGTATTTTCCTCAGGCTAGTATGAATGTGACTGAACCGCCCTTTAAAGATCAAAAACAAGGTAATTGTTTTGAATTTCAAACAATTGAAGATATTTCGTATTACCGGAAGCCTTTAAGACTGTCGAGAACGTTTGATAGAATAAGTCATTGACATGCATTTAGTATTTAGGCTTTCCTTGGGTTATATCAATGACTAACTTTTCTTGAGATAAGATTTTGGCCAGTACGTTGATCGAAAAAATTTACCATGACCTCGTTGCAAGATCGAGACGTTTATAAAACCTTTTTCCTTCAGAACGAATAAAGCATAAGGCTGAAAAACTATGAAGCGTAAGTTTACATAAGCCTGTAAGTGGAGCTTGTGTGAGGTCCTTAAACGCCTCGCCATCCTCTCCTTGAGCTGAAGCATTGTCCTGAGTGAAAGACAGATCCAAAATTAGACTATTTCGATTTTTGAGACAGGCTCAGAGAGTATCGGAAGTTAAATATGTGTCATTGTCTTCTTTCTAGAGAGCATCACGCAACAAGCTGTATTACTGATAACTGACACCTGATACGTGTTTAGAGTTAGCTGACTAATGATTTAGTTAATGAATCTCTTGAACTGATCTACAGATAATTTTTTTCAGAGATAAACCAAGCGAATCTTAGATCAAGATATCTAGGACCAGTTTATTTGCCACGTAACACCGAAGGTTAATGAGTCTTAAAATGACTCGAAGGCACCAATTTGTGATCTTTGAGGTACCGAACGGTAAAATGAAGACAAAACAACGTTTAAAGCCACGTTATAGTAACTAATATTAGAAAGTGTTTTGATTTTGACCTTTCCAAAGTGAAGAAAAAATAGCACTGCCTATAATTTCCTTCTAATATTGTAAGTGATAAAAAAAAAAAAAAAAAAAAAAAAAAAATCAATAGAAAACTCCCAAAATGCCTTGTGGGTGTATGCTTTGAAAAAGAGCGCGTCGCCCACGGGAAACAAAATGGCGGAAGAAGGTACAGTGATCTAGTATTTGTATTTTGCGTTTATTACGTCTGTGTTTGGTATCTTTGATAAATAAAACGTAATTTTATCACTAATTAAACGGAATATGTGCTCTAAAACCTTGGAATTGTTTAGTGCTTACGGATATTCCATTGCCATGCGAGTATGAGTTGGTTCCATGCACTTGATCGAATCTGCCCAGTTACATCAAATATGCAGCGAAGAAGCTACAAATTTAGATTATACGTAGAATCAAAGTAAAAATCTACATACGTGTGACATCTTGAAATAATCGAATCATGCAGAGACTAAATTCTATTATTTGCGAACAAGGATTAAACTCTCTTCATGGGAAAATAAGGAAGAATTTGATCAGATCGGTTCATCGTCAAAGTGGTCAGAGAACTAGAGAATAGTGCGAACGGGGAATGATCGCAGAGAAAATTTTTGCATCGCAGAAATGTGATTTTGTTTTATTCCATGGAAAGAAAACTTCTCTTCTCTTCTCGTTTAATTCTTAAAATTATTTCAGCATTATATTGCAATTGTCTTACCAGCTGAAAGGAGAATTTTTCCCCAAGAAAGAAGGTCGTTTATATTGCAACGAATATTTCTTTATCTGTGTGTTTTTTTGATTTTAGAGACATCTGCAGAAGCCTTGGTGAGCCTACGAGGTAATGACTCCAATAGATATCATGAAACTAGAATATTAATCTGCATTGCTTCACCCTTTGAACTGTAAGAGTGACTAGCATCAAATTTCTCCTCACAAGATAACCTCTGAATTACACATTAAGGTCACAAGAATAAAGAAAATGATCACCAACTGATTAAAAATAGCTCTTTATTGTTAAACAAATTCTCTTTGTCAGCACCTTATGAAATGCACCTTAAGAAATGTACTTTAAGAACAGTGCGGAGAATATACACACTGATGCAAGTGTGTAAACAGTTAAAATAGATAAATGAATGAAAAATTAATTGGTATTTGTGTTTTTCCTGATTTATATTTTTCTGTTTGTTTGAAATCAATATTTTGTTTCTCTGTAGCTGGCATGTTGGCGTATTATCTGATTTTTAGAAGTTTTCTTCTATAACATTTCATCTGTTTGATTGTGTTATGCTGGTTAACCCTTTCATCTCTAAGAGTGACCAAAATGTTATTTCTCCTGTCACTATTTACATTTAATTTCTGTTTAGGGAATGTAGTCTGATCTACTGCCAAATTCTCTATAGTTAACATAGTAAGAAATGTATGATAGATATATATATATATTATATATATATATATATATAGTGAGAAGAATTGACTTTGAGATCTTGGTTGTGGAAAGGTTTATTCTCCAGCAAAATGCAAGCCTTGGTTACTTTTCTAGTCAGAGACAATGTTTACAATAATTTTTGTGTTATTCTATTGTCTGTTCTTTTATTTTTAACTCTATAGGTAGTTTTTCATTTTAATGATATCTTACTTTACACAGAATTGAAAATTTTTGTAAAAGAAGACTGACAGAATGTGTTTTTGTGCAGGTATTGGATCTCCATTCAGCTCGCCGGCAAAACGTAGCACTCCGGTTTGTACTCTTAATGTGTATTTAGTGTGAAAATTACACATACATTGTTCTTATTACATTTTATAGTTACATAGGGTTTTGTTTTTAGTTTTACAGCTGTTGGTGAGCACTGATGGGTGATTTTCTTTCATCAAAGCTTTCATAATGACAAGAAAATGTCTATTTTTTGAAATCTCAGCCACTGCTTATTGCCTTAACTTAAAGGAGATATTGTAGATATACATTGGCTGCTTGTAGCCTGAACTGAATGCACAGATGCACCATAACTTTAATTATTTATTTGGATAGATTAACCTTCCAAATGTTACACTTGCAAGTGCAGTTCTATTTAAAATATCATGATGGTACTGTAATTGCAAAGTTGTCTTTTGATTTAAGTTGAAAGCATGATTTCAATGAAAACTTTTAAAACAAAGTAAATGGATATAACACATCAACCTGATGGCATGAGTCATGCTAAAACATGTCTTTAAAAAGTACATGTACAGGTGTATGAGGGGGTTGATTCTATCGTTGTTGGAAAGTTTTGAAACTTTTCAGGTATGTGTTCAACTTCTCTCTTGTCAGTAAACCTCAATGATTATCATTAATTCTTTTACCTTCATAGCCACGGTCCAAGAAAAGAACTCGACAGACCGATGATAGTGTAGAAGATTCTGACCTAGACAGAGGCACAGATGAAGGGGTAATTCCAAACTTTTGTGACAAATTATCTTAGTGATTTTAGTGTTTTCTGATTAACAAATAGATACCATGTTGCTGTGAGTCTGTCAGTAACAGATCACAGATAACATCAAAATGTGGTAAGAACAAAAAAAGTGGCACATGAGGTACAGCCACTGATGTTGTTACATATTCTTACAGATGTATTGTGCTAGTAACAGGATACACTATACTTAATTTTTTGCATTTTCTTTAATATGTTATCTTTCTAGACTGTCTAATTTTCAGATTTTTTTTTTCAGGAATACTCACTTTCCTCCCCAAGAACTAGGTTTGTTTTTGTTTCTTAATAGTTCCCTGTATTTGGTTGAAAATGAATTGATGAAACTTTAGTTATAACTGAAGACATGAAGAGATTTAATATATGAAAGTTTGTGTTTGCTATTTTCTGGGAAAGCACTCCTTTGGAGGGGAAAAGCACCTGTCTGGGCCACCAAAGGGGAGTGGTGGGAAAAAGCTCTTCTCTGGACCACCAAAAGGGAGAGGAGGGGGGTGGGGGGGGGGAGAAGGGAGAAAGCACTCCTCTGGACCCCACCTAGCAGGGGCAAGGAGGAGAGACAAGGGTCTTTGAATCTTGCAAAAACTTTGCACCAGTGCAAAATCCAGCTGCCCTTCTGCTTTAAGCATCAATAAGACCCCTGCTGGTTGTGTTGGAATAATTGTTTCTACTTTGAACTAACCTATTTACTGGAGAATATCTGCTTTCTTACAGGAGAATGACAAAAGCAGCTTCTCTGGTAAGTAATTATGTGTATATGAGTATGTGATCAAAATTTTTCTTATTATAATAAAACAATAAGTGTTTAGGATAGTTTCTAGAATTATGTGAAATTTAAATGTTTCAATGCACAGTGTATGATATGTCATAATTGCCCTATTTTTGATTGTTTAGTTATTTGGCAATGGAAGTACAGACAAGAAGCTTGCCAAGGTACAGTTAACATATTTTTGTAAAGTTATTGATTTTACTGCTGGTCTTGTTCTAAGGCAACAAAACAAAGGAGAAAGTGTGATCAACACTTTGTCTTGATGTTAAGAATGTATTTGAAGATCTTTGTCTCTGCAATGGAAAGTGGCATAAGTAAGTTAAATAATTTCAATTTATGCACTCTTATAATTACAGAGTGGAATTGAACAAATTACTGTAGTCAGCAACTTGTGGTTTGCTGGTTTTGGCCTGACCTTTTGGCGATGCATTTTATTGCTTTTTTTGGCTTGTTTTTTGTTTCCTTTTGAGGATTGGCTTGTTCAAACTCCTGCCCCTTGCCACACACTAGCAGAATTGTTTATAAAATGATTCTTAGTGTGGTCAATGATTGTTGTAGAATTTAACAAAGTCATGTATTAGTCTTAGGTACCACTATGTTTTTCACTTGTAAGCATCATTCTACAATGTGAAAATTTTCTTTTGAGCTATTTGCTCATGAAAGCAAACTCTTTGCCTTTTAACTCCTTTTTATTTAAAATTAAAATGTGTGTATTTTGCTGGTTTAACCCTTTAACTCCCATGACCTAATTGTCAATTCTCCCTTCCAGCTACTAAATATTTCCCTTGAAATTAGTTACGAGAATTTTGTGTTAGATCAAGATAACAACTTCTACCTGATAAGTTTTAGTATTCTCATAACCTTTTTGTTGGATACTGTATGGATATTATAGAGAGAAGTTAGTTGTTAATCACCTCAGGGAATTAAAGGGTTAAATTCCCCACCCCCAGTGCCAGGAAAACAGTCAAATGCCTTTGAATTGGCAGGAGGGGGATGTTGAAGCTTCAAATCGATTGATGTAAATATAATGTTGTGATTTGGTATCTCTAGGCTTCCTTTGCTAAGTTGCAGAACCTTTTGAAGTTACCCAAAGCAGCAAGATGGTGTTATTTTGAATGGTTCTACTCCAGCTTAGACAGGTAATGGATCGAAGCACTTTTATTTGAAACTTTATTAATTTTTAAAAATCATCAAATGTATGACTTTGATTTTGTTTTTATTCTAGAGTGTTATTTCAAGGTGACAACGACTTCGATGTTTGCCTGAGGGAATCATTTCCAAATTTAAAGGTAGATGCTGTCAGCATGAATGTTCCTTTTATATTTGTTGCTTATCCAGACATTTTGTCTTGTGCTTTTATGCCTTTACCAGTCTTCTGTTTAAAGTTTATTGCAATCCATGAAAATGTTGCTTGCAAAGACCACAAATTAGCAAACAACTTGCAGATATGTCTAAGTTCTGCAGTGGTTGTTTCCTTGTAGTTGGTCTGTAACTGAATGCCAGGTGCCATAGATATGAAATTTTCATTAAAATGTTCTTGCTGGCCAATACTTTTAAAAGTTGGTCTTTGATAATAGTTAATCTTGGTTGACCAGGAAGAATTTTAGGTTTAAGAAATGTAGTTCATGTCCTAAAATTCACACCTTCATATTAACAGTTTAACTCCCAAGAAGTGATCGTTACTTCTTCTTTCTACCTGCTACACATTACCTTGAAAATTGATGATGAGAATTTAGTTTCAGATCCAGATAAAAACTTCTACCTGATAGGTTTCAGTATTCTCATTACCTGTTTGGTGGATTATGTGTGGATATTATAGAGAGAAGTTACATTTGAATCACATATGGGAGTTAAAAGGTTAAGTCTAAAACAGGAATGGTGAAGAAAAATATAAAAGATTTTGTGCTACTTTGTGGTAAGATGCCATCATTAGTGACTTTGTTTTGTTGATAGACTCGCAAATTACGTCGTGTTGAGTGGAGGGAAGTTAGAAGACTAATGGGTAAACCAAGGAGGTTAGTGAATGGTGAAGTCTGGAATTCCTGTTAAGTTTTCAATCCTTTCACAAAACTGATTACCATTTATTTTGGGTTTTTTTTTGTTCATTTATTGCAAGGCAGAATCTGAGATAATTTTTATGATATTGTATGAGATAGGGGCATAGCCAGGATTTTTCAAAGGGGGGTTACACTGTGTCAAACAGAAGGTACTCTTCAGATTGTCATGTTGACCTCCATGCCATGTTTTACTCAAAGTGACAAAGAATGCCTACAAAAGGGGGGGAGGGGTTACTGACACCCCCTCCCTTCCCCTCTCCCCAATCCAGGACCACTGCTAGCTACACTCTTGTTAGATGCCAACTATGGTGATTAAAAGTTGTTTCATTGGTTATACACTCTAGATGTTCTCCAGCATTTTTCTTGGAAGAGCGGCAAGCCTTGGAAGAGAAGAGACGAAAGATTCGCATGCTTCAGCAAAAGAAGGCCAGTCTTCAGTTTTTTTTCATTCTAGACTGTTTAGTATCTTTTTAGACTATTTCTTTCGTGGTTCTTTTTTACTTGTTATCTACAGTAAGTTTTTAGTGATGTCAAAAACATTTTTATCTTAATGTTTATCAACAGGTTACTGAACTTAGCAGGTTCAAGGATTTACCCGATGAGGTTCCATTACCTTTGGTTATTGGGACCAAGGTTACAGGTTGGTTTTTAGATCATTATGAGCATACACTTAGGGGGGCTGCCCAACCCTTCAGCCTTTTTATGTATTTTCTCCAAAGGTTGAACTTTGAATCCTCATTTGCCATTTTGTGTTAATATTCATGAATCCCTCGGTGAAAGCAAACAAGTGATGAGAATAGAGAAAATATCAGTTAGAGGATTATAAGTTGATCCAATACCAAATTCTCCAAACTAACATCACAAGAACTGTATGGCAGACATTAAGGAGAATTACCAATGAGATCCTGGGAGTTAAAAGGTTAAGGGTAGGTGGGTATATATGGCAACAAGGAATGAAATTGCAAGGATTACCAGGCCAGTTTGTTTTCTCAATTTTCACCTCTACTTGTAGCCTCATATAATATTAAGACTGTCACGCTATTCCAAAATGTTTCTATGTAGTCCACTTCCTGTTAGTAAGGTAGCTTGTGTTTCTAGGGACCATTCTTTCTGTCCTTAACCCAGCTTTAGAAATTGTAGAATTCTGTACTACTTTGCAGAATTTTCAGCCAAATTACGACCACCCTAGTGTTTGTTCAATAATGCGTTGAAATTTTAATGATCAAACCACTGATAACCACTTCTGAAGTAAAAGGGTCACTTTTAATCTTCCTTTCACTCTAGCTCGCCTGCGTGGGCCTCATGATGGCCTTTTTACCGGTCAGATAGATGCAGTTGATACTGTGAACTGCTCTTACAGAGTTACTTTTGATCGCCCAGGTTTGTATCCAGAGCCTGTTAAATGTAGCAGTTGTATGAAGTTTTATGTTTCACATTTTTATGGTGTTACATTGTCTATGCAGTTATAAAATTCATGTACGTGTAAATAATACTGATAATGATGATAATAACAACAATAATGATATTGATAATTAGTATATACCACAGGAGTGAATAGTGCTTTTCACGCATGCTGACTGGCTAGTGTGAAAATGAAAAGTAAGAACTATTCACCTCCAAGCAACTGATGAGACAAAATTGCATGTAGAGAGTTTAATTTCCAACCATTTTAGTACAGTAACTGTATATTGAAAGAAATAAACTAATCATTTGATATCTGTATGCTTTATAGTAAAACAATTATTTACCTCAGTCTCATTGAAAGTGGTGGATATATACCTTGCTGCTTCATGGTTCAGTAAACATCCACCACTTTTCACCTCCACTTTGGTGAATAATTGTTAATTGTTATAATAATGATAAGTTTTCATGCGAAAAAGAGTAACTTTTATTAGGGGCCAGTTGAATGTGCAATATAGTAAAGCATAACAAAAGCTTGAAATAGTTTTGTAATAAAATTTCAACTTGTAGGGGTCAACATTTCTAATAGCTTTATTGCATTTTTTCTGAGTTGCATTATTTATTCCTGCAGGCCTTGGAACACATTCAGTTCTTGATCTTGAAGTCTTGGTATGTAATTATCTTTTCTTCTTCTTTTCTTACCCTGACAGAATTTTTTTTTTCTGTTTGAATTAATATGAATAATAATAATAAAATAATATAATAAATAATCATTAAAAAAGGCAGAAAAAAGCTTGTAATACTGATCAGTGAATGTGAAAGTGATCTTTGCAGTAATGAGCAGTTACTTAAGCAGTAATGAAAATAAGGCCAGCTAACAAACCAACTGGGAGCTGGTCATTATGTTGGTTCTGAGTAATCCCTTGAAGTGATGAATGATACTATGAATATCTGAAAATCATAAATGTGAACTGGGGAGAAAGAAGTGAAGATTGCTTTCATATTCACTTCTTTTTTTCTGCAATTTCATTTATTCACTGTCTTAATACTGATCAATGCTGTTTTCAGAGTGAAGAGCCACATGACACCATGCCCATATCATCATTTCTTCAAAAAGAAAGGCCAAGAACAGCAGCATTCACTCCTGCATATACACCACCAAGGTAATACAAGCTTCTTAATCCATTAACTCCCAAAACTTGATTGTCAATTCTCCCCTCCAGCTACTATACATTCCCTTGTAAATTGAAATTGATATAAAAGTTATAAATTTCAGTTTTCAAGTGTCCACATGCCAAAATTCAACTACTTCTGAACACTTTCAAAAATGGCCGAAAAATCAAGGGATCGTTCTTGCTCTGAGCCCTCCAATTGTACCTGATAAGTTTGAGTATTCTCACTACCTGTTTGCTGAATAATGTATGGAAACTATAGGAAGAAGTTACATAGTAATCGCTTCTGGGAGTTAACCCTGTAATTCCCAAGATTTTGATGTTAATTCTCTCTCTAGCTGTCACACATTTCCTTGTAAATTAGTTATGAGAATTTGGTGTTAGATCTAGATGACAACTTCTAACTGATAAGTTTGAGTATTCCCGTAACCTGTTTGCTGGATAATGTGAGGATATTATAAAGAGAAGTTTCATGTTAATCACTTCTGGGAGTTAAAGGGTTAAAGAGTTAATCCATTGTTATCACACTTTCATTTGTAAAATTTGGCCTTTTCATGATTTTTATAATGCTGATGGAATCTTGGTTCCTTCTAGGCTTCTTCCTGCTGGTAGTGACTTGAATAGCCCAAATATGGTAAGAAAATTACCAGCATTGTCTTAAATTGAATTCAAGATGCCATGGTTTCACCAGATACTTTTAGTAAATTTTACTTTTATATCTATCACATCTTTCCACAGGTTCATGATCCTCTTATAGGAGCATCACCTGGAAGGTAACAGTCATTTATCTCTCTGTTGCATCAATGTCATTTTGTTTTAAGTTTTCGATGTTGTTTAAAACCACCTTGAACTTGAAGGGGACTGCAAAATAGTTTTGAAAAAAAACCCACAAAACAGGCAATATTCAATGATCACAGAACAGGGATTGCTATGATTAAAGAGGATAGAACTGGATTGATGGTGATAGACCTGTAAAGTTAAGGTTAATTTTTATAAAACTGTGCAAACCAACAATGTTGCTCCTTAGAACTGTTACCAATTTGAAATTTTCCAAGTCACACCTGCAGTGGTAATTAATAACTTCCAACAAGTACTTTAATTTTTCTTATAAGCAATAGGCCATTTCTGAGTTAAGAATTTCTCAATTGCAAAAGAAGCTACTGGTAAGAGCAAAACCCCTTTGTAAAGAAAAAGAAAAAAAATAGAATGAGTAGGAGTACTAAACAATCATGTTCACAGTAAGAGCATTGTACTTATCATCATTTTAAAACAGGTCTTGAGGATGTAGGAATTTTTTTATACTTATGAATATTAAAAGTAAAATCGTGTTATGAAGAAGTTTAATATTGTTTCATTACTTTGTAAGGTTACGACTTCAAGATGCAATCTCTCAACAAGGACAAGGTAATTGAGAACAAATTGGATGGCAGTGCTTTTGGCAATGTTGCACAATCTTCCATTGTCAAAGTGCTCTTACCTCCTTGATACTTAAACCTCTACACCCTAAAATTGGTATCAATATTCTCCATACTGTTCTCTATACATTTTGTAAGGTACCAACAAGAAGAGTTTATTAATAACAATTAAGAGCTTGTTTAGTTGGTGATCATTTCCTTTATTCTTGTGACCTAAATGTGTGATTTGGGGGTAATAATGTAAGGTGAAATGAGATGTTAGTCACTCTTAGGGGCTTAAGGGTTAAACATTAGAGGATATTTTTCCATTGTTTACATAGCCTGCTTGAACATGAGATAGGTTGGGAGAATCTGAGACAATTTTGTACACTTCAGACACTATCAAAAGTTTCCATAACTCTTGCCCATGTTTTTAGATGAGGCTGCTGTAAACAGTGAAAAAGTCCCTCACTGCTTTTATGAAATACCTCTGTAAAACACGTGTGAATCTTAAAGGTCACAACTGTGTTTATGGTCTCTGTTTTGAATACACACATGGACTAATAAGGGTATGTTTTATCCCAGTTATTTAAAAAGTGATTTCATGTTCTCAGGCTTTTTTTATGAATTGAAACAAGGATGTATAAATTCCAAACTTGTTTGGTTCATGTAAAGAGGTTTTAAGTCCTCAGAAGACTGGTGGTGTTAACCCTTCAACCCCTAAGAGTGACTGGTATCTAATTTCTCTTTAAAATATCAGCTCTGAATCAAACATTAAGGTTGTGAGAATAAGGGAAATGATGAACAACTAAAGAAACTCTTGACTGTTAAACAAATTCTCCTTTTCAGACCCTCTAGAAATGTATAGAGAATGGTATGGAGAATATGCATACTGATGTTAGGGTGTTAAGGGTTAAAAGAAACAGCTGTGATGATGATGATGAACATTCATTTTCTCCATTTAATTTTTTTTCTCCATAGAAATGCATCCTACACTAACTGATCTTTATTATTTTTTTTTTACTCACTTATAGTTAAAAGACATTTTTCATGAAAATTGAACTTAAGTCTAATATAATATTTTTGTATCATTTTTCTTAAGGTGGCACTCTTGGTGGTTTTCCAATCAGGTTTCTCATCCTTGTGGTATGTTTTTCATGATTCAGTGAAATATGCATGCTAACCAAACCTTGACACTTACTATGATGTATGTGAGCATTCAAAGATGTTAATGTTTGTGAGATTTATTTTAGAGAGATTTTTGTCTTGTAGACAAGATTGTCAAAGATCTTACTTGTCAAGAAAGAATGCATTGAAAAGTTACGAGAAATGAACACACAAGCTCAGAAGATGGTGAGAGTTCAATGCTGTAAATTTACAATTAAACTTTGGTGGTGTCCTGTGCCAATTACAAAGTAACTTCAAAGGACTGTTTTTGCAATTAGCTTGACAGAGATATAAATTTTGAGCTCTACTGTCTGTTGATGGTTTCAGTTTTTTTTTGTTGTAACCCTTTTGAATGAGTCTACCCTTTAACTCCCACAAGTGATTAACATGTAACTTCTCCCTATGATATTCATACATTATCCAGCCACCAAGTAATGAGAATACTTAAATTTATTAGGAAGAAGTTTTTTATTTTGATCTGAAAGTAAATTCTGGCTATCAATTTTCAAGGTAATGTGTAGCAGGTAGAGAGGAGAATTAACTATCACATCTTGGGAGTTAAAGGGTTAAAATGTAGGTGTGAATTTTTAGGACATGAACTACATTTCTTAAACACCAAATTCTTCCTGGTCAACCAAAACTAACCGTTATCAAAGACCAACCTTTATAAGTACTGGCCAGCAAGAACATTTTAATGAAAATTTCATATCTATGACACCTGGCATTCAGTCATCTTGATCCACTACCAGCTAGAAGGGAGAATCAGATATTGGAAGTTACAGTATTAAGTTACTACAAAAAACAATGAGCATTATTGTAAACATTACCATAATCATTGCCACTTTAATTGTCACATTAGTCTGTGTCATTATTACTCTCGTGATCACTGTAATTGTAACTAACAACTGGTATCTTCATTGACAATCCAGCTATCAATTGTAAATTTACTCTATTATTTTTACTCACACAACAGAAATCCTACCAGGAGCCCATTGATAAGGAGTTCCAGAGGCGTTATGCGTCGGTTGTATTGGAATTAGAGCGGCTCAATAAAGTAAGTTTTGGTGTATTTGTTTGTTTTTTGTCCTCTAAGGTAGAACACATTTTGTATTATAAATGTTTATGTTTTGTGCCATTTTTTGCAGGATCTCAATGAGTATTTAACAGGTGTTCAGGAGTATTGTCAAGAGGTGTGAACATTTTTTCCTGTGTAATTGCTGAACCCTTTAACCCCTTAAAAGCGATTAAGTTGTAACTTCCCCTTGTGATTCCAATATGTTATCTTGTAAATGAGAAAGGAGAATAGACAAGCTCATCATCAAGGGGGTATCATGTTGTTATAATACCAAATTCCTGTCTAATAATTACTAGGAACTGTATGATAGTCAGTAGGGAGAAATTCTAATTCAATCTTGGGTCTTAAAGGGTTCATTAACTGACAAATGACCTAAATTACTGATTGAACTACTTGAAAATGTTATTACTAACAGCAGAAAACCAATCCATTTCCACAGAAATGCACTGTAAAATCAATCAGCTTTACTTCAAATTTAGAGGCTGGCATAATGAAGTGATATACTTATTTGGGTTTTGTTTTCTAATCAGCTGGCCCCTGAACAAGGAGTTCAATCTATGGATCCTTCCATCAGTGTTAAAAGAAGATGTGATGAAGAGGCTGCCAGAGTAGTGGAAGACAATAATGCAAACATGGGCCTGTATGTATCAAATTCTGCAACATAGTACTAAGAAAGTAACTACTACCTGTAGCTTGTGGTCAGGTTCTCAAAGGTACTGTGGTTGGAGCTACAAAAAAACTCTCATTTGGACAGACAGAATTGTCTCTTACTGCTGTGCTGCTTCTAGTAATACCACAGCACTAATTAGAGCCTATACTCGTAGTAGTCTAGTTGCAGAGTCCCCCAAAATAGCAAAATGCACAACTCACCTCACAGAAATGTTTGGTGCCATTTTCCTATATATAGAGCAATGTTTACTCTTTACTTGTACTTTACTTTTGAAATGAGGTACTTTGTACAATTAATTTGTGGTCAGGGAAGGAAATATAGGGAATCAATTGCATCAGCCTGATGCTCAACATGAAAGCAGGCTCTGTCCATAAACAGCATTTAGAACTGTCTATTCTAAACCATTTCATAATAAAAAGAAGCAAAATTAAAACATGACGTTTTGACGATGACATGTCACCATTATCAAATGAAAAATTGTTATAAATTGTAAGTTCAGGGACGTTATATAAAGTAAGAAATTAGAATAAAAATGAGATGGAGTTAAGCAAGAGAGATGCTTCTAATAACGAAATAGAGATGGACTCTAAATACTCAAGAAGACTCATTCCAGCAAAACTGTTCATTTAATTATGTACATTCTTTTGTTTAACTCCATCTCCTTTTTATTCTTATTTACTGGTAGTTTCACCGTTTCCATTCTTTAGATAATGTCCCTGAACTATTAATAATTCTACATTTGATAATGGTGACATGTTGTTGCCAACACGTCACCAGTTTTTCTAAATCTTTTGTTATCCTCAACTAAATCTAAATAAATATAAGGGCTTTCAAAAACCAGCCTTAAAATGGTTATAATCTCAATGTCTCATGACTCATCACATGACCTTTTAGATATGAAGTCTGTCTTTTTTCCAGTGTCAATCAATTGTCATTTGCTTTTGAACAAACTTGATCACAGACTAAAGGTATAAGATCCTAGCTCTGATGATAACTTCCTTTAGGTTATTGAAAATGCCAGTGACTGTCACCTAGGAAATTCTTTTTCATATCTACTACACAGGACCTTCACACTGCATGTCTCTAGTGGGCATAAACCATTTACCATGATAATGATTGCATTTGTGTGTTAAAGCTTGAGCTGTGTAACTGTTTTTGTGTAATGTGTGTGAAAAATCACTGCCATTAATGGACTGGTTATTTTTCAGAAATGCTCTCACAAGTCAGCCATTGGTGCAGATTGTCAGTAATTTAACTTCTCTCATGCTTCAAATTAAGGTAATTAAGCAGCTACAAAATTTAGACTCATACAAGCAGCAACTGTAGCAACAGCAGTAGTGGTAGCAGTGGGAACAGCAGTGGCAGTAATAATGGCAGTGGTTATAGTAGAGATAGTAGTCACAGCAGTGGTTACCATTGACAGTAGTCCATGGTAGTATTGGTGGCAGCAGAAGTTGAGGCGGTAGTGATAATGGTAGTACCAGTAGTACACAAAGATGACGGCTTCAAATTGGGTTCTTTAAGGATATATGTACTTCACAATTCCCTGTCCAAAAAATCCAGGGAGTACAGAGTAGCCTGAAAGCAAATTAACACACAACTCATCCTTTCTCCATTGATATTTTCAGTCTTTAGCAGAGAATGATCTCAATACCTTTGAGTTCAAATCTTTATCTGATGCAGTGGATGAAATCAAGAAAACTATAGACCCCTCAAACATTAGGTATGTATTTTGATATGAAACAGCTGCAGTAGTTAGCATAAGAGTATTTTGAGTCCAAACTGATGATGGTCTAGTGAGCAGTGCCAAGACTTGGCAGTTGCAGAGTCTATTTCATGGTGTACATGCCTGAGTGATACAGCAGAAAAAAACAGAGTCAAGAAATAGGGGGAGAGGCTAAGAAACACAGTGTAACAAAAAGAAGAATCTGTTAAAGCAATGCTACTTTTTTTTCATTTGTCACAGTATATTAAAATCAAGGGTAGGTGGTTGTTGAATGATCTTATGGTCAACTATTTTCATAACATCTAAATCCTTCCTTCAGGTAACTCTACCTTAAGAGGAGTTGTATCACTGTTGTTTTTTTACTGAAGATTGAGTTGAAATTAAAGCTGATTGTTGTTTTTGTTTTTGTTTCTTTTTTTACTGCAGCTGTTTTCAGAACAATGTAGAGATCCATGTAGCTCACATCCAGTCTGGTCTTAGTCAGATGGGAAATCTACATGCGTTTTCATCATCTGCTGGGCCTTCATAAGATATGTTTTGCAGCACATAAATCATGGGTAGACAACAACTCTTAGTCAACATGTATGCTACATTGAGACATGAAAATAAAATCCCACTCAAACATGATTAGATAATTATTTAGAACTTCATTTTTGAAATAGGCTTTTTGCGCCAACTACTTAAAATGACTAGTCAAACCTGCTGTCTTCAGCATTTTATTTAAACAAATGCAGTTGTTAAATAGTTATTGTAAAGAAAAGTTGCAGTTAATACTGTGGTGAATTGACTTGAAATGAAGTGTAATTGTTTGTCACAAGATGTGGTTGTTTCTCAATACTGAATCCACATTGGAGGCTACATACACTTCTCCAATCCATGTTGTTATTCACTCTGGAGATGACACATGCTTCTCAGCTCCACATTGGAGATGACACATGCTTCTCAGCTCCACATTGGAGGTGACACACACTTCCTAGCTCTGCATTGCAATCCACATTAGAGGTGGCTACTTTGTGAGACAAACAGTTTTACTTCATTTCAAATGCCCATGGATATAATGGAAAAGGTTCATAAGAAATTATGAAAAGAGGGTCTGTAATAACCAATAATACTAGCTTATGTTTTTAATACATACATATTCCTGTTAACATTTGACTGGATGAGTGGTTAGAAATGCACAACCTTTTGATTGAATCTATTTCATCAAAGTTGTGATTTTTCTGATTATATACATGAATAAAGTCATCTATAATTTTTCTGCAAAGTGGTCTGGAATAACCTTTTATTATTCTTCTGTAACATTTTGATCACACTCTCTTGACCTCATCCTTCCCTAAAGAAACTAACATAATTATTTTGTATTGTAACTTTACTGATCAGGTGGTTCCTTACTTCTAAGAAAACCATGAACACCTGAAATATCAGTTTGACAAAAGAGCAAACTGGTTAATAGCCTTGGAACAGGCCGTTATTAATAGTGCTGCAGGATGCACGTTTCTCCACTTGCGTTATTCACAGCCTTGTATTTCCTGCAGGCAAAGAAATGCTTGTGCCGAGGTGCTCGAAAGGAGGGCCTGCCTACGGGCTAACTGATATTGACTTCTGATTGGCTTTCTTTCTCTTAACGTAAGATAATTACAGATGGTACCTAATTAAAGCAGAACTCCCTCAACTGACTGTTGACTGATTGTCTGTACTGTTCTGGTATAATCTAACAGACAGAAAAAATCTACAATCCCACAAACTCAACTACTTTATTAAACAGCAAGTAATGTTCTAAACAAGGAGTGACTCCTTAAAGGAGTGCAATACTTATCGTAAATAAACTTAATTAAGCCCATCACAGACTATATCCAAGCTCATCACTGACACAATCTCACTGCTGTCTCCAAAGTTCCTTGAAATAGGTGGCCTTCTGCAGTAGTGACCCTCTTGGTTCAGCTTTCAAAACATTCATTGCTCTGACTACAACAACTTCTTCTACTACTGTATAAGTAAGTCTTTACATATAATTATATATATTTGCAAAGTGTTCTGGAACATTCCAGAAGCTTCCATGAGAACTATTTTTGTAGTATTACATAATAAATAATTAAATAAATAATAAATCTAGAGGCTACAATGTCTGCTGACAAACAGCCAACAGATGACAACAGTTTTTTGGGGGAGCTCATCTTCAAACATACCAATATTTCTGGTCTTCAGTTTTCATCTTTTTCTTTTAGTAAGGAAAAGTAACTGAGATTTCTTAATAGAAATCCAAACTGTGGGAGTTACTATATTGCTACATGTAAGGAAAGTCTGGTGCTAATATCATGGAATTAAAAATAATGTTACTTAATATAAGTGATGATGTATTTTGACTCTTTTTGCTAAGTTGGCATTAGTGTATACTATATATGTTGACAAATAGAATACCTGTAATTGGGAACATTTTTTTATTCAAATAGTTGAGAACCATATTTGATGGAAAGTACACCATAAGCCTAATCAAAAGGCTTAGTGCAGAACTAATTGTGTGGCTGAGTTGAGGATTTTAATATGGGATCTCAAGATTTCGAATCCTGGACCCTAATCAACTATTGTGTCATCATTTGTAATTAATTTACTAATAAAAGGATGAGAAAAAATTCTCTAGGCAAGTAAATTAGGAATTTGCTACTCAAAGTTTACTGGATTTGTTCTTTACATGCACGGGTTAAAAAAGAAAACAAAAAAACAAAAAATGAAGTTGTCTGAGTGTAAAAAAGTACTTTTGAAGTATGCAATATTAATTTTAAAAACAAATAATTTTTAATATCTTTGAGTTTGAAATAACTCTACAACAATTTTTTCAAGTTTTACAACATGATTCTCATTAGCAAGTTACTTATAATATAAGAATCTATAATTTTAAACATTCTTCTGTTACTAAGAAATTTGATTTAAATTGCTCTATAAAGGCCTTCAATAATGGTAAAACAGGTGGACATTTGTTATTCATTCTTTTCCTTTTCTTCGTACTGTTCTACAGATGGAAAACGTTTGTATACCAAGCTGCGGTATTCTGATTTATTGGGCAGGATGTACAATATAAGAATATCTACAATGGTGGCTGTCAGGGTTAGAAGACTTACTGCAGATGCAAGGTGACCTAACAGTGCTGAGAAAGAGAAATGACCTGAAAAGAATAAAAAAAAATAAAAAAATACATGAAAAGATACAGTCACTGTTTATTTGACCCTTTACATCTCAACATCAATATGCATATTCTCCATACTGTTTCCCATACATTACCTAAGGTATAGAAAATGAGAATTGTCAAACAATCAAGAGCTTTGTCAGTTGATGAAGTTGTTGGTCATTTCTGTCATTCAAGTGACCTTCATGTTTGATTTAGGGGTGATCTTTTAATGACAAATTACATGCTAGTCACTCTAAGGCTAGGGCTAGCCTAGGGAAGGGAGTCTTGAATTTAAGTAAAGAAAATTAATAGTTAATAGATATGAGATGTAAACCAAGTTTGGGAGGAGGAAAAAGCCCAAAATCTGAGATAATTCAAAACCCACATTTTGTTTAAATTTATCTATTATTTATGGTTTAGTCTGTTTTGGATGAACTCTAATAGTTGGAACAACATTTCTGCTCGACCTAATTCATTTTAAACTTACCCAGTACACCACTTTGGTGGAATTCTATTTTGATTCCATAACGTTTTCTAAAGAGTCGATTTTCTTGATGATGTTCTAGACTTGGGTTTGTAAAATCTGTGGCATCTATGACTGGTATCACTTCATTCACTCGGTAATCAGCATATGGGATTCTTCTCACTTGGTATGAATATTCTATATCTCTAACAAAACAACAGTGAACAAAGATTTGTTAAGACAGTTTAATGTCTTGAAGCAAGAACAAGAGCCCACAAGTACCTCCACCAACATATGAAGTGGTCCAAACATTATACCTGTGAGACAATTTTTAAGGGGAAGGGCTCTACCACTGCATCATCATCTGCACCATTTATTTTTTTTATCATTGTTTGAGTTGGGAAGCTTTAATTGTAATTTATGAGCTTAGTAGGCTTCAAGGATTTGGTGCAGGAAAAGTAAATAATTTCTACTTAACATAAAGATTCCATGTTGCCATGCAATTCTTCCGTAATATTTGTCTTACACGATTACGAAGCAAAATATTGTTAATGGTGAGGTCATCTATGTGTCTGTCCTCACAATTAGATCATCAGCAAGAACCATTCAAATTATGCATGCACAATTTAGCTCATCCTACAAATAATGGTAATAGTCAGGAACGGCTCTTGGAGAGAGAAGAAGAAGAAAATGAATTTAGAGATCAGTTTATAACAATTGTTAACAAAAGATACTGTTTCTCTTCTATTCGGATCTAAAGGTAATCTTCCTTTTTGGAAACACTTTCACATTTTCTGGACTTTCCTTAGGTAGAAGGGGTCTCAGTTAAAATGAAGTTAATGCTCTCCTCATTGGGACCAACGACATGTAAGCAAAGAAAGGACTTACAATAAGGAAATTCATGATTTTGAAAGTGTTACTTACCCTGTTCCAAGCCAAGTCGACTCGGCATTTTGATAATTGATGGCCATATGCAGGACAATTCCATGTCTTCGGAATGGCTTCCCTTTAGAATTGAGGGCATCTGAGGTTTCATCCAGGCTTGTAACTCCAGCTGCTTGGAGGATTTCTTGAACGGTAAGCTTATCTGCCTTTCCTCTCATCCGATCCTCTTTGTTGGATGAAAGACTGAAAATATTACAAAAAAACAGACCAATCTGCAGATTGTTAAGTGGGATGCCATCTTATCAATCCTTAAGTGATTAGTATGTAACTTCTCCCTACAAGATCCATACATTATCCAGCAAACAAGTAATGAGAACACTCAAACTTAACTGGTAGAAGTACTGTTGTTACCTCGATTTAACACCAAATTCTTGTATCTTATTACAAGGAACTATCAAACAGGTAGTGGGGAGAATTAACAACCAGATTTTGGGAATTAAAAGGGTTGCCAAAAATTGAGCAGGGCTGAGTTGTTTAAAATATGATAAAGCTCACCAAGGGTTAGCTAATAATTTTTCTTTAGTTTTCTAGCATTGCAGACAGTTTTGATCTATTCTATTTTTTATTTCAGTTTTGTATGCAAAGATAAACCCCTCAAAACATAAGCCCTAAATTATACAAATTATTTTGAGAGAAATCAGGAACAAGGGAAACTTCTTTAATCCTGGAATATTGCTAATGCTGTAATAATATTATAGGAAGAAGCAGGATGAGACAGATATAAATGTCAACAGAACGAGGTCTTTTAATTAAGATGGTGGATCATGTGCTAGTCACATGACATACGTACACATAATACACAGGGATACCATACTACAAATGCCTTCTGAACAACAGGGCCCAGGAAAACTAAAATTTCTTTTCAGTTATAACTATTAGCTCATTCAGTCAATAATTCTAAATTGTCAGTTTTATTGATTACTATATGCATCCTAATTCAAAATTATTTATTTGCATTTCAAATAATTCAGAGGCTGGCGATAAGGCTAAAAGACAGTGTTTCTTTTAATTTGCCACCCTTAAAGTCTGTACTAAAGTATAACTAAATGCCACATGAAAAGAAGCATCTGCTAATTGTCCCAAAGGGATCTAAAGCAGTGTATCCATTGTGAATGCAACTGACTAGAAACCATTTCAAAAATCATATTCAGTTATTTGAAGCTTTGAACCTAATTACTTTAAATAGGTTTATAATGTACATGAAAAATTATGTACCTCTGATTGACTGAAAACAAGTGCATTCTCATGCAAAGTTGTAACACAAGTGCAAATTACAAATAGGGCATGCATGCTTTCAGAATTTTGTGTGTCTTGACTTGCTGTGATGTTTTTTCATGCACATTTTTAATAAGTAATAACATGATTTCTCTTGCAATTTGGTGTAATAAGCACTTGTAAATTTTTTGAAGACTACGTACTGCACTTGCCCTATGGGCTCAGGTGCAATTTTGTTGTCTTAGAAAATTTTACTCGTACTTATTTACACCAAATTACACTTGAAATCATGTTATTACCTAATTATACTGAGTACCTTTTTATAAGTGTTCCATTATGGCCATACAGATATCCTTTCATGTTTCTTTGTGATGCTGCCAGGTCTTTTCCTCCTAATTTACCTGTTAAAAACTTTGTAGCCAGTACTGCATGTTCAATTTTTATCATCATCTTCTCTGGTTGAACTGTGAAGTATAGGTTTTCTCTAAATGGAAGTTTTAATAAATGCATATAAGTTACATTGCTGCATGAACAATTTAACTTCAGTTGTAATAATTACTTTTCTCTTGGATTTAGCCTTGATATTGAAATCCTTAAATTTTCTATTTCTACTGAGCTATGTATGAAGGAAAAATTTGTAACAAAAGGGCAGATCCAGGATTTTTTTCATGAAGAGATAGGGGAGAGGGCGTGGTTGAAAATTTGATTCAGACAAAGAATGCCTTTCCTAACTTTAGAGCCTAAGTGAGCCAAGATAATTCTCCAAGAAAACTAAATTTTATATGCATCAAGTTGAGTTGTAATAAATGCTCCTGTCATTCTGAAAATACCCACAGGTCTGATGGGGGGTGGAAGTGGGAGGGGATTCCATCACTGAAATACCATTGGGGGTGAGGTGAAAGGAGACTTAGAGTTTGCATGTCCTCACCTAGCGTCACCTTTTCTTTCCCTCCTCATCCCACTCATTTTCATATCCACAACCTCTAATTACATATTCTGCAGCTTTGAATCCAATCCTTTTATCCCTTTTGACCTTGTGAGTCACTAGCAACTAATTTCCTCTTACTGTATCAATATTGATTAGGGTCATAAGAATAAAGAGAAAGAATGGAAAGCTCAAGAAGTCCCTGATTGTTTGATGAATTTTCTCTAATTTGACAGTAGTACCATACAGAATATTGGACAGAGATCACTATTTTTTTAACAGCTTTATTGGGTATGACTCGTGCAGTACTAATACAATATACAATATCAATTGAAAAATAAAAGATACAGCAAGAACAGCTTTTGAGAGAGCAAAGCAGACAAAAAAAAGTCCTGGACCCAATGGTGCTGGTGCAAACAAGACACAAGGACCCATGCAAGGCACCATCATTGAGTTAAAAATTTTAATTTAAATTATGAAATTTAAAATTTAATTATGAGGAAAAAAAATTCTCAAACATGGTATTTAACCCTTTAACTCCCAAGATCTGATTGTTAATTCTCTCCTCTGGCTGTTATACATTTCCTTGTGAATTGGTTACAAGAATTTGGTGTTCAATCAAGATAATATCTTGTACCTGATATGTTTGAGTAGTCTCACTACCTGTTAGCTGGATAATGTATAAATACAATAGGGAGAAGTTACATGTTAATCACTTTAAAGTGGGAGTTTAAAGGGGTTAAGAGGATAGACAGTAGAGTCTATAGGTGACAGGGGGAGGATCGCACAACCATCCAAGTGCAGGAATAATTTACATCAAAGCGATTCTGAAGAAGATGAAAGATGGGGAGATACATACTGATGTTAGGGCATAAAGGGTTAATGTTACTCATGCAGTCACCCATAGTCCTGACAACCCTTTACCATTTCCCTCTTGCTCTTCATCACTCCATTTGTTTCACATCTCATACCACTTCCCATTACACCTGCACTTTCTCACCCTCTCCCCATGCCTTTCATCCTCTTTCTCATTCCCCTCTTAAATTTCCTAGCCCCTGTCACATTTGGGTCTTATCTTGTCACTCTACTCTAAATAATCTAAACCTGAAATTAAATTCAAAGCTGCACAAACCTGATGGTTTCGAATTTCCCAAATTTGCCAGATGACATGTTTTTGGTCTGCCAGCGATCCTTGGAAAATGTTGTCAAACTAATTGTGCGAGACTCCACAGGCCAAGATAACTCCCTTGCGTCCATTACCTGGCATTGTGTACAATACTCTGAAGCAGTTTCTGTTAACAGTAAAACAAATATGCTAAAGTGGTTTCTTCTTTAAGATTGGTGCAGACATCTTCGGTTAATGTTTAAAACATATTGTATTATACATACCTAGTTTATAATCTTATACATATTGATACCTTGAAGGAATCATGTTCCTGTTGTCAGTGAGATACCCTTCCTGAAATGAGGGTTTTTCAAAAAGATTGCAAAGACTGAGTATAGAGGCAATGTGGCAGAATGGTTACTAGGCACTAGGCTTGTAATCTGGTGGTTTCCTCCATCCTACTATGCACGACAGGACATGTCCTCTGTTGGCCTCAAATTGTTCAAATTGCCATTTGGGATTTTTAACCCTGTTACTCCCAGAAGTGATTAACAAGTAACTTCTCCATACAATATCCATCCACTATCCAGCAAACAGGTAATGAGAACATTCAAATGTGTCAGGTAAAAGTTGTTTTCTTGATCTAACACCAAATTCTTGTAACTTATTTTCAAGGAAATGTGTAGCAGCTATAGAGGGGAGAATTATCAATTAGATCTTGGGAGTTAGAGGGTTAAACACTATGTTTATTCATTCATTCATTCTTGTGTACTGACCTAAAGGAGTCCCATTACCAGGGAGTGGTCAACTACATATACATTAAAATACACATGCACACTGTACACTGTTTGGATTGTTCCATTCCCTGCTGCAATTTGATTGCTTTATATTACTTATATCATTATATCAATTGACAATTTATTACAGTGACTGTATTGGTATAATTGGGCTGGCCTTGCATTCAATGCTAAACTGACAAACAGCCTACCATTGTAACAGCAGTAGCTCAAGTTTGCAACCTGAGCTGATTTATCATGATCAACTCCGTTATCTTCCTTGGGATCTGATAGGAGAAATCTTATAGTTGCGTCAGGTGCTGTATCAAACTGATAACAATGAAAAAGAAACTTATATTCAAATTTTATCACATGATAAAAAATTAAAGAGGGTGTTATAAATTGATGAAATGATAGGATTCTGTTGCTAGATAAAAATTTGCTGTCTTAGGACTGGTTAGGATGGGATTATTTCAGGTTAGGCACAGTGGAGGTGGGGGGATGAGGGGTCTCTTTTTTTTTTCCTTTTTTTAGCATTAACATTTAATAAACGTTTCACTCCGATCATGCAATCAGTCTACCACAGTATCAAAAAGAAACACTAGTCAAGAAAAACTGCCGGGGTCTTGTTGGTGTTCCAGGTTCTTTTTTTCACTTTTCACTTGAGTTCAGCTGCTTTGCAGGCTTTTCTTTTGAAGTTTGATCGTTTTTCAATTGGTATAATATAAGGTTACTATTTCATACCTCTAAATACCCTTTCTTGACAAATATTTCAGCTAAAGAGTAGAGGATAACTGCAATCGCGATGACGTAATAAATTACGCCAATTCTTCGATCTCTGATTATAACAAGCTTGTAAGTAATGTAATGAAGTAAGGACATGGTTAAATATTGATTGAAGAAAGATGGACCGGAAGTGATGTTTTGTTACTTTCGCTTTGGGAATAAGTCTGTGTTTGCAAGCCATCATTCTTCTTGGACAGCGGTAATTTTCTAAGTGGTGGAATTTTTTCAAAATATGGCGGTAGAAGGAAGGAAAAGAAGAAAGAAACGAAAGGATTCGACTTGTAGTATCAAACCACCCTTAGATTTTATTGAAAGTCCTCTAGATGGACAAAAGTATTATTGCACTCCTGTTCAAGCTGCAAGGAGACCATTTCTGGCGGCGTCTATGCCCGTAGATGACCAAGTATCAATGAAATGGGTAATAAATGGTAGAAGATTTTCTTTAACCGTTGACAAATGTTTTGTGGTGTGCTAATTTCTGGTTATTTTTTGGCTTTCTGCTCATTCGAATTGCTTGATTACGATTAAAGCTTCTGTTAATCGTATTCCAGAGCTTTCGTAAACGAAGAATCGTCCCAATGCAAGTTTATTAGCGTCAGGCATGTGGAAATGAAAGAGTGTTGGAAATATATCGAAACTTTGTAAGCAATTATAGATTACAAAAGAGGATCACGCAGTTCATAGCTAAACTTCCTATATTCTGAAAATGAATGTTCTAGATTTCGTTCCTCAAGAGTTAAGAAGAAAGTTAGTGTGCAATTGTTCACTTCTTCATTAATTGTTTAATTTTACTTTGCAGGTATCCCCTCAATTCCCTGATAGAATTGAAAATGAAGAGGAACTTTTAGCTCTATTAAAACCAAACAAAAAGTCTCGAGGAAGGAAGAAAGGAAAAGAAAATCCCCAGGCAACTGAGCAACTGGCATCAAATGGACATCTGTTGGGTGAATTGGATTTTGGATGTAAGAATGTGAGAAACATGGATACAAATGAGAAAAGCAAGTTTCCTTGTAGAAGATCTCAAAGACTTAGGAAACTTAAAAAAACTCATTGCTTGTTTCAAGAACCACAAGTTATGACTCCTGTAAATAGGCAAGGAGTTGTTATTCTTGCATATGAAACACCAGATCAAGAACTTTTAACAGCAGTTGAAAGGAAACACTCGTCAACAAAAAGAGGAAGATGATGAGAAGCCTACCATTATTATAAACATTTTTCTTCAATGAATAATACTCAGAAATTGATTTGAATTAAGGCTGAAAATACTAGCAAGTTTTCTCCTAATGCTCAAGTATTGTTCTTTTCTCATGTGAATGGGATTTAGCTAATGAAAGACATACTGTATAAAGAATGATATTGACCCTTTACACATCAGTATGCATATTCTCCATACTGTTCTCTGTACCTTTCTTACTTGTACTGTGTCAATAAGGAAGAGCTTGTTTAACAATCAAGAACTTTTTTAGTTGCTGATCATTTCCTCTATTCTTGTTACCTTAATTGTGGTTCAGGGGTGATATTGTGAGGAGAAATTAGATGCTCATCACTCCTAGCGGTCAATGGGTTAATAATATCAATGAATGTTACGAGTAATAACCAAAAAACAACACCCAATTGCAATGTCATAATACCCTTAGAAATCTTTAATCTTTGAAAGATGCCGATCAGATGTGAACTATGAGAAAGTTACTCTTTTAAAGTGCTCATTACCAACAACCTGACAATGTTGTGGTAGATTTCTGAAGTGATAAAGCATATATTCTAATTCTAGTTGTAAATTTGATTACTTAAGTCATGCCTCCTTCTAATTACCCAAAGGCTTGAAAAGCAAAGATAATATTTTGTCAAGGACAAAGAGTTATACAACAAATGGTAGTGCAGGTACTGGTTTCAATTGTTTTTTTTTGCAGTTATATTCTGGTGAATGGCATATTTTGGTGCTAAGATGGCTTAGTTTGAACCTCACGGTACAGATGTCTTTTATCAGCTAAAATCCTTCCTTCTCTTTAGTTGGCTGTCTGTATGGTAAATTGTGGGTAAAATCACCAGTCTCCCATAGGTTCAAAGAGAATCATGTTGAAAGACCAAAAATCCTTTCATATCAATCAAATCGACTCCTACTTGGTTAAAATACTTAAACATCCACAAACCTCTCAGCACACTCTAGTCAAACTGATATTAATGCAAAGTCACAATTTTAATAAATTAAATTTTTTTGTGATCATCTGGTAAGGGTTGAGAGATTCTTCTTGAGAAACAGCGAGTACAGTTGAACCTGTAGTAGTAGGCATTGTATTAAACCTCTGAGTCTCCTACAGCTGGCTTTGTGGGGAAGTTTGTTGGAGGCATGTTATCAGCAATTAAAGGTCTCTTGTATTCATGAATTATTCTTTGCTAGCATTTCAATATTGAGCCCTATCTTCAAAAGGTTGAGCCATTCTTCCTGAGAAACAGTGAGTACAGTTGAACCTGTATTAAGAGGCATTGTATTGAGTGGCCAGTTGTCAAAGTCCTGCATTTGTTTCCCCTTAGTCTCTTTAATTTTCACCTCTACCAAGCAGTTGTGGTCATCCTTTACTAAGTCCCAAGGGCCTGTTTGTACCCATCTTCCATCCCAACCATTCAAACAAAACTAAGAACAATTTTTCAAGTAAATTTAATCCATGTTTCTCTCCCTAAATGAGAATGAGTAGTATTTTTGAGCAAGATAACATGAAGTTGTCAATTATGGCTGAAAGCGCGTTGTTTATCTTCTTTTATAATATATATTTATATAATCTATGGAACCTGTATTAAGTGTTTAATCCGCCATTCCCCTCGGGACCTCAAGATTCCTCAAAGATAAAACGGGGGAAGCCTGGTACGAGTAAGTTGGTCACCGCGGCGATTTGATCGAGTTGTCAACTGTAATTGTAAACTTTGTTGAAAATTTTCAGAGAAATAGTTCTACAGAGGTCAAGATGACAAACTGTATCTCGTAGAAGGGCGAATGTACCTGCTGCATTTCAATCAAAATAATCCAGACGAGAACTGCGTCGAAAATCAGTCATGATCGTTTGAGACTCGTAATTACATACACCTTGTGGTTACAGTAAGTGATGGCATCCATTGTTTTAAAAGTGATTGATCGTCGAGTACTTTTGATTAATGTAAATTTGTTTAAGTATTTTCTTCCTGACGCAGATTCCTTAAACACGGAAATGCTGTCAACTTCGTTGACTACATGTTGTCTGGCATTCACGTTATGATCTCAAAGGTTTGAAGACAATTTGCTAGAGTTGTATCACTGTTTTGACTGAAGTGGAAAGGGTGGCAAGTCGCGGGCTCATTAACTCAAGAACCAAATGAAAGATAAAGGTGTCCATGATAGCTCACAAAGCGATGACAACAATGAGGCATTGAAACGATCTCCTTCTTCAGTAGTCCCCTCGTTCTCTATTCCTGGTGAGTTAAGGAATAAATTTCATGTAGATCTAGTAGTTTGTTTTTATCTTGTCACTGTATAGAAAGGTTATATACCCATGCACGCTAGCATTAGACAACATCTTGTCTCACAGGAAGTTTGAAAACAATTATTCTCCGCTCTCACTCATCTCGATATTTATCATTGTTTCCTATATGAAGTAAGAAGATTTTTCTTCGAAGGGTTTAAAAACGTTTTCATCGATAATTAGAGAATATTAATTAGTTGTAACTATTACATGTTAAGTACACAGTCATCCAAAAGTTCAAAATTTGATTAACTTTAAATTTCTTCAAATAGGGCTTTTTCTTAGTAATTTTTTCGCTCTTAATAGTCTTTATAACTTGCCCCTTGCTAGATTGCTAGATTGTGAATAAAACTGTAATGAAGATGGATAATATTAAGTCTATACACAAGACTGACTCACATAATTGTCAAAGCAAACTAGTTTCTGTAGTGTGGTAGGACTGGTAAGGATTTATACTCTTACTTTCCCCTGGATTGGCCTGGGATAGGATGGCAGCCCCCGGGAGGTTACTCTTGCCTGTTGTTAGCTCCCTTGACAATATGCTGCTACAATCATTTACAGTTATGAAAGAAGGAGAGCTGTTATGTGAGAGTTTATAAGTGGCTTCTGCCTAATTAAACACAGTAAAATTACCTGGGGCTAGAATCTGGGGCCCAATTTCATTTACCTACATAAGAGAGCAGCTGTTAAAAAGTGTCGTTATACAAGCCAATTCTGCTAAGTGTGTTCTTAGTGAAATAATTTGGAAAAAGATCAGGATACTGGATATATTTTCATTGCTGAATAAATATTTTGTGGTGCAAGTGAGATTGAGTTTCTGCACTGCAAACAAGGGAGGCCTTAGTGCATTTAAGTTTCTGCTCCTATGACCCCCTCTGCCTCACCACCTATACCAGTCCTAATAATGTGCAGCTAGTATATGTGTGCTGTACTTATGTGAGGAAATGCAAAATATAGAACCCTGTTCTAAGGAATGATGGCCAGTAATTATGTAGAAGCTGTTACAGAAACTATAAGAAACTATAAGAAAATTCTCAAACGTGATTGGTTATCACCAGCCCAATTTGAGTATGAATAGGACAGTGTATGTGTCATGCTTGTAAATGGACAGAGTAATTGAACAGTTAAAGGGACATTTAACATGTCATGCCTGTATAAGTGGACAGAATACTTTATGTGTGCGTGCTGTTGTTTCACATTTCATCCAGTCAACTGCTGTTTCTTTTTTTTACAAAAACGCACAACCAATGTCTAGTTTCTTTCTCAAATTTTGTCGTAGTTGGGATTTATTGGTAACAGGACTGTGTGTTGTCCAATTCAGTCTGTATTCATACTTGTGATTAACAAATTGGACTCCTGCTTTGTGGTCGTCTGAGTTCCTTAATTGCTTGTATAATTACAGATGGAATTGGACTCCTTGTAGTCCCATTACCATTATTAATCAAACTATGTTATGTTCACCATTCCTGTCATATGATTTTGAGCTTAATATATAATTTTATCCCACAGACATAAAGCTGTTTGAAAAGGAGTCTAGATCAACACAGCTTGTTTTTAGCTACAAAGGAGGAAAAAAGGTCAGTTACTGGTGCCGGTGAATGTGTATGTTGGCAGTGTACATTAAAGATATTACCAGAACTATAGCTTAGAACAGTATAATAATTCAGTATTTAGAATGATTTCCTAGCTTGTGGAATATTTGTTTTTATAATTGAACTTTATTGCAAATTATGATTAATCTTGTAGGTTCCAAAACTTAGAGAACCTAGAAATTTATTTGCATTCAGCAAAGACAAAGGACAGCAGGCCTCTCCAAGATGGTAAGGAAAAAAAAAATAGGCATGCATAGCATGCAAGAGTTATTTTTTTTGGCTGGATAGGTTGAGATGGGATACTTTGTGTTCCTAATGTTTTCATAACTTTCAAAGGGACAAAAATGTCATTTTACCACACTTTAGAAGAAAGAAAAAAAACCTAATTTACCTAAACTCACACAGGTATTTTGTGGTCTCTATTGTCCAAATACTTCTGAGCAAAAATAAAATGCATTGGTGCCATGCTTACTGTTGTCTTCTTCACAGCTGTTGTTTGGTCTTGTCACACAATGCCCTCTATTCCTGGTTGGAGAGAGAGTGTGTTGCATGACAAAACCAAATAGTGGTTTCAATAGAACCTACATTTACAACTGTTCCTCTAACAGAGAGAATATCATAATTATTAGTCTACAGTTAGTCCCCTCAAACATATCACTCCATGTACCTATAATTTTACCATTAAAAGCAAATTGAAACTCTGTTGTATCTGTAAGTGAAGATACACTGAACAAGGGAATAGGATAATATTTCTGAGAGGGCTCCTTGATTGGTTGTTGCCTATCTGGACTTTTCCCCTTGAGTGTGAAACATGTGATAAAAGAGTTTTTTCTGTGGTGCTGGATAATGTGGTTAGAATAAGTGATTAAATGCAGGTTGTTTACCAGGAAATGACACGTGGTGGAGCAAAGTCTAATGTGGCAAAATGGAATTTGATTGGTGGAATACAATTCAAGCATGTGAAAAATTGCCTAATGTTCGCGTAGTGCAATGATTGGGTGTGTTCTGATTGGACTTTGGACATTGTTTTCATAGTACGTGATGGAATGTTAGTTGTTTGGCATGTACGTTGTGAGAAAAGGAGTGGAAAAAACATTTTTTAACTAAAAAATTATATATTATTATATAATTACACTTATCAAATGCAGCAATCTGATTGGTGCAAGATACATACCATAATGCAGCAAACTGATTGGTGTGAGATATATACCCTAATGTGGCAATCTGATTGGTTTGAGCAACACACCATTCTACACACTAACTCTTTTTTGTAAAAAAATAACTTAAAATCACAAACATGTTTAAGACATAATTTTTTTGTCTCTGGTTATAAATGATTGTTCTATAATTTTTTAAATATTTACTATATCTGCTAGTTAAGCACAACTCAAACTTATGCACATCAATTAATTTAACTTTTGACGTCCCTTGAAACTCATAATGTTCTATAATAATATATTAATGTTTATTGTGGCAGGCCATATCAGATGAAGATTTTGCCGACAAGGCCCAAACACATACAGTACATTCCAAGAAATACAGAACCTTTCATTAAGCCAGGTTTGTAATCATATATATAATGTAAACTATTTCGAGTTAAAAAAGGGATTTGTCTTCATTAGCAAGAAATAACAAGATACAATTATTATTATAAACTTTTCTTTTTGTTTAGAAGATTATTGCTGTTTGCTACACAGAGGCCTCCAGCTGTAATTATCATGTTGGGAGCAAATACTTAAAAGCTGAATCTTAAAACTTGACATTAAAAACATTCTTGAAGTTAACTTTTCCCAAGGGTTTAGTTGATTAACAGAACTGCCATTAGGCAAACAGGAATTATTGGTTTGTCATCATGATGGAGTCTTGTAGGTTTTGTGTTATTGTTATTAATTGTTATTAATTAAGAATCTTCAATCTGTAAGTTGCTAGTGAACTTAAAAGTTTTCTTTTGTTTACTTTTCAGAGAAGACAGCTGATGATGAAAGTCTAACAAAGTTATCTTGTGAAGGTGGTAAAGTTGTATATAACAATGAACCTGGACCTGAAAAATATGTAAGTTATTAATATCTCTGAGGAAATCTTAATCCTCTTGTGCTCTTTTACTCTGAAGCTGATAAAATTTTCATTTAGTGTTCACACTTTGACTGTCTCTTGGTGCGGTTTTAATTTCTAGTTTCTCAGGTCACGTGTAGGTGGAACCCAGATTTCTAACAAACCTTTTTACAAGCTCAAGTCACCTGAGGACTCTACTTTACTATTTGAATCTCGGTTTGAATGTGGAAATCTGTTGAGGGCATTGAAAGTGTAAGTGAAATAGACTTATAATTAGAATGAATTATTTAAATTTATTCAGCTGAATGTATTTGTTTATTATTGATCTACTAGTTGAATTTTTTACTTTTTCATCATAGTAATGATGCTGAATACCAGTTGTGGCTTAGAAATGATTTGTACACCAACAAACACACACAGTGGTATTACTTCAGAGTTCAGAACACAAGACCAACCGTCCGGTATAAGTTCACCATCATGAACCTCCTTAAAGTAAGGGACGGATCAAAGTATTCTGTATTTTTTCTCATAGTCTGAGCAGTTTTCCATTGGAAGTGATTTATCATTGAATTTCATTGTTAAATTTTGCTATAATATAAATTGTGTTTGATATCGCCAATCAGCCACTGACCGGTCACTTGCATTTTGCACTACTGTGTCAGTGTGATGAATGAGTGACAAAGTGTTCATCATTCTCCATCCAAGGTTATTTCTGGAAAATGTTCTTGCCTGTGGTGTTTATATATTAACAAACAATTAAGATAATACAGACTTTGGTATTGATTTGATGAAACTTAACTAACGTGAATTGGCCCAACTAATTATATATATATTTTATTTGTCCTAGTCTGGCAGCTTGTATAATGAGGGAATGAGGCCTTTATTTTACTCCGAACTGGATGCAGCAACAAAGAAAATTGGCTGGATTAGAACTGGAGAGAATATAAAGTACTACAAGAATGCTATCAAGTACGGCCACAGTTTTTTTTTTGCTTTACCTGTTACTTGTTAATAATTGGTCTGTAAAAGGTGTAATATAGAGGCCTTAAAAGCAAGTGTTTTGTAATTTTTGATTCAAGGTAGAGCACATTTATCCCCTTATTGAATTGATCAATACTTTGAAACCAATGGTAGGAGATGAGGTGGTCTTACTGTAAGGGTGCTGGTCTTCAGGTTGAAAGGTCCAGATTTGAGACCTGGGTGGGGGGGTCAGTGAGTTGTGTTCCTGGGCAAAACACTTTTTATTTACACTGGAGTATAAGTAGGTACTGGCGATTTGTCAGGGAAGCCTCATGAAATGCTGGGAGATGACCTTATGGTGGACTAGTATCCCATCCTTGTGGGGGTGGGGGGGTGCTATATGGAAACTGAGATAACCTCCCACTGAATGGACCACTTGGCTCCAGTGCAGACTTCACTTTCACCTTGAAACCAATGACATTGCAGCTTAGTAATCTCAATTGTAAGTGGTACCCAATAGGAGGTCTGTGGGAGGGGTGGGTTCAACCCTGTTAAAAGCCCCAATTCTTTTTTATGTTTCACTTTCTGCAAGTGCCTTAATCAATAATCACCACAGCCAACATGCAAGAATAAATTTGTCGCTTGCACCTTTCTTATTGACATGAGTATATTTCAGGTAATTGAAATAGACAAAAGTGTTCCTCCTATGAACCATACCTGAGAAAGAACGATTCCTTAAAAGGCACATTGTCTTTCTTACCTAGAGCTTTCTCCTACCAGACAAAATTTCATGTCAACAGTCAATCAATTGTTGTTTGTTATTTCAGACGTGAAGACACAACGAAAGAAAAGTACCATTACTCATTAACATGGACTTGTGAATTTCCCAATGAGAATGACACGTATTATTTTGCTCACTGTTATCCATACACCTATTCTGACTTGCTAGTAAGTTGAGTGTTTATATTAAAATACCTGCAGATGTCCCAGAAATGTTTATGAAAAGAAATGTTCTTGTTAAATTGGACTGTTTATTTTCAGTGACCTTTCCACAGAGTAGATGGTGTGCTTAATTAAACTATATGTTTGTATGGAAAATACGTCTAAATACCATGGCATTGGGAAATAACTAACTGACTTTCTGAACTGATTGAATATATGAATGTTGAACTGGCTAAGTAAGTTTAAGACTGACTGGCTGAGTGGTGAAGCACTGAATGAATGAAGGATTTATTGACAGACTGACTTTGCAACTGAGAGGGGAACTGGTTGACCAATCAACTACTTGGATGATTATCAGATCGGGTGGTGGATCAACTGGAAGACTGACTGTCTTATTGACTGATTGATAGACTGACTCCTTGATCAAATGATAAACTGACTGTTTAGCTTACTTACTCCCTGACCGACCAACTGACTGACTGACTCTCAAGTGCAATACATACTCGAACGATATTATTTTTTTTTTTTTCATCCAGGAATATCTTCAAAACTTGAGGAACGACCCAGTGCGATCACGGATATGCAAACAAAGAGTGTTATGCCGGACCCTTGCCGGCAACTTTGTTTACACACTCACTGTCACGAACCCATCAAGAAGGCCAGCTGATGCTGAGGTATGGAATGGAACTTAAGTATTTGTAAGCCTGAATCTTCTACATCGATACTGCAATCTATACCTTGTTCATATTTTAAAAAGTTGTAACTCTGTCAAAGCACGCAGTACTGAAGAGTTCTGTCAGTTTTTTAAACCCAGACCTATCAATCCAGTCAGACGTCCGCGTCATCGTCATATTGTTTGTGCATCTTGAGAATATTCATCTGAAACTAGCTTGGTGGTCATTTCAGATTTGCAATCCAATTTTATCTTCTCTGGTATGGTGGTTGGCGCGCCAGACTCCGCGTTAAGAGGTCTGGGTCTGGCGCGTGGCGCTCTTTCGAGGGTGGTGCTGAATTGCGTAAACTCATTTCTATCATGGAAACTTAACGAACGAACAAGGGGGAGGGGTTATTCACGGCAGACTAGAATCCCGACCATGAGAAGGGGTGACAGTCTGTTTATGGTACAACTGATAACTGGCAGACGACAACTGGTATCAGTACACAAACTGAGAGGACCTTCGCCAGCCATGCAAGTCAGTCTTGTTTCAAGACTTATCTTTATTTTATGTTTTCGTTTATTTGATCCCAGGCCAAACAAGGAGTGGTAGTGACGGCAAGAGTTCACCCAGGAGAGACTAACTCAAGTTGGATGATGAAAGGACTTTTAGATTATCTAACAAGCAACGCTGCTGACGCAAAGGTTAGTGTTTTTTCCACTTGGAGCACCTTTTGATCGACTCATATCGGCTGAGTAAGGAACCAATGAGAATTCATAGACTTTGATGTCAAGGGTGCGATTTATTTCACTCTACCGGGGAATCTTCATTTTTGAGATCTTGAACGTCCTACTGTGTAGAGCGTCTGTCGCTGAATTGGGTGTCGCAAATCAAATGCAAAGTCACAACGGCCAATCAGAACACAGAACACGCAAGCAGGCTGCTAGAAGCGCGGGAAACGCCTCTGGGTTTGTGCAAGAGTTGCATGTGATTTGTTGTGAGAATGCCGCGGGTTTTCCGGTCCAATCACAGAGCCTTAAAGCAAAACCAATACAATCCCAGAATTCTTTCGACACCTACTGGAAAATTAGTGAGTCTCGGTGGAAACAGTCATTTCACTTATTTTTCACGACCCTTATTGCTCCGTAGCTCCTCCGTGACATGTTCATTTTCAAGATTGTTCCTATGTTAAATCCTGACGGAGTCGTAGTTGGTAACTATCGGTGTTCACTAGCTGGGAGAGACCTGAACAGGAATTACAAGACAGTGCTGAAAGATTCGTTCCCTCCCATTTGGCATGTCAGGAATATGGTTCGCAAGTAAGGAGCTCCAGACTAGAGATATCTTTGATAAATTCATTATTTGCTATTGAGCTAAGCCGTGATCGGGCGTTTCGTTCTTGGAATGGGGAGTGGAAAGGGGGGGGGGGGGGATCGGAGGGAAAAAACGAAAGAAAACGACTGAACATTAACTCTTCCAACAAATAATAACACACAACTGATTGAAGATTATTGAATATCGCAGGTGATAGAGGGTTTCAATGGGGTTTACCGATAGCCTTAAAGCGACCCAAACAATTTAGCCATTAGGCGTTAAAATTGGTCTATTTTAACCGTTAGTCGTAGAAAAAGTTAACCGTTAGAAAAACTTCTGGGTATGACAAAGGAAAGATATTAAACGTTAGCCGTAAATTGGCCAAAATTTCACCCGTTAGCCGTAAAAGCCATCACCCCATTTATACCCTCTCGACAGGATCAACACAAAACTCCTCGAACCAAAATGATGACATTTGATTGACTCTGATGATGACTTTCGCTCAGATTTTCGAAAAGTCACTTAACATCACGTTTTAACCCTTAAAACCCTGCGAGTGACCAGAGTCTAATTTCTCCTTCCAGTAATAGTACTGAATCATTGTCAATACCAATGGGAATTTATAGAGAAGAGTGCGGAGAAAATGGATTCTGATGTGAGAGTGTGAAGTGTTAAGGATATGTCCCACCCACACGATTAAACTGCAGATCGACTGTTAACTGCTGGTTTTAAGCCATGTACTTCATAATGTTGAATTTTTCGTGGACTTGTAACTCCATACTTTACCTTCCACTTTTTATGAGTTCGTAAGAATCACTTTAGTCAGTGACACAATCACTTTGGAGTCTTTACGCTCGACAATCACTTTAGTCAGTGAACTGGGTCATAACATACCTAGCACTTTGTTTTGTTTCTTTTTCGTTGTTGTTGCAGATTATTTGAGGAACGCGACATAACATTATACTGCGATCTGCACGGACACAGTCGCAAGCAGAATGTGTTCATTTATGGCTGTGAAAATCGCTTCGATCCTCTGAAGAGATTGAGAGAAAGAGTGTTTCCTGTGATGGTATCTAAAAATGCCCCTAGCAAGGTGCGGTGCAAGGATTAATTTGTTTTCCAGTAGTGTCCATCGTTTCTAAAACCTGGGGGTAATAAAAGCAATTGATCAAAGGAAAATAAGCCTTTTTAGATGGAGAACGATTTCGACTCATGTGAAGACTTATAAGGTGCGGTAACTTTGAAGGTTTTTCCGAGAGAAGTAGTATAATTTGGCGGGAAGCAATTGTTGCATAGACTTTTTGGGCTCTTCATATTGGCTCCTAAGAAAAATGTTATGAAAAAAACACATCTTCATTTCCTTTGAGTCGAGAATACGTACAAATTGGGATTAGGAATTAATCCTACAAATGTCCTTTTAAAGTGCAGATAAGTCAGTCAAAATTTTAAGCTCCATAAGTTACACTTGTTGTGCTTTTCCAACAGTTCTCATACAAAGGTTGCAAGTTTAAAGTACAGAAGAGCAAGGTTTGTAAAATATAATATTTCGCTGGTCACGATTGTGCGACATATGCATTCCATCACTTGCCTCGGAATACACACTGAGTGCGCTTGACAACACAGCGGTCAAACGTAAGGAATGCGCAAGGGGATAAATTTTGGCCGGCCGCGAGCTAAATTAGCGCGCAAATTTTCCCTGGAAAACAGGAGCAATTGCTGTAACGCAAATATGCTAAACAGAAAAAAACATCTAAGCGTTCATTTAAATCTGTAACAGAAAACAAGAGTAGGGGAATGGAAAACTCAAGACTTGTTATGCCCAAAGCTTCTTTAATCACGAGTTTCCTGCTGATTTACAATTTTCTTTTGAGCTTTATCAAAAATGTTATACGGTTTTCAAATACCGCAAAAGCCTGAAAGCTTGTCACCCAGCCTCTAAAACGTTCGCACATGCGCAGACGTTTTATCTCTATGTTGCGCTGGACTCCCTGTTGATTGGTCTGGGTTTAAAAAACCGACAGAACTCATCTGTTCTACGCTCTTTGACAAGACAATTGACTTTCTGTCTGTCTCTCTCCAGAAAGACTGAACGTCGACTTGTGAATAGACAGACAACTAGATAGGAAGTTAGGAAGACTGATAACCAGCCAGATATACAGTCTTTCCAACAGACGCTCAGACCGAAGAAGACTGATAATTAGACATTAATTAAGAAACACAAATTTTAAACTTCTTACAGGAAGGAACAGGTCGGATTGTTATGTGGCATATGGGGATTTTGAACAGTTTTACTATGGAGGTGAGATTAAACTTCTTGCTCAGTCACGAGCGAAATGTCTAGCTCTTTCTGCCTTTTTTTTTCTGAACTCTTTTTGGGTGCGCGTGGCTTGAGAAAGCACAAGAAATCCTTTGTGTTTTGGGTTTATTTCTTCCCGTCTTGTGATTTTGCATAGCAGCACACTGTTTTTTCGAGTTTTCCCTCCATTTGATGGCTTAATTTTCTTCGTCACCTGAGTTTTTATTTCGAGTGTTCCTTCCATTTAAAGGCTAAGTTTCCTTCGTCACTCAAACGACTCAAAATATTGTTGTGTTACGTATTGCCCCCTGCCGGCAAAGGTTTTATATGTTGAAGGTGTTTTTCATCTCGCTGTGTTTTTTCCTGCAGGCGACTTTCTGTGGCTCGTCAATTGGTAAACGCGCCGGCTATCATTTCAACACAGCGGACTTTGAGTCGATGGGATATCACTTGTGTGATACTCTACTAGATTACTGTGATCCTGATGATTCAAAGGTAAGAGGTCGTCTTCACCGTACGTCACCATTTGTGCATCGTTTCCCAGGAGTTTCAATATGGGGCCTTAGGCAGTTAGGACGAAAACACCGAGGAAGACATCCATTAAAAAGACTAATTGTCGATCAATCCACTTAATATCGCTGATATTGTCTTGTTCACAGTTTGTAACTATCTTACGAGAGCTGGAGTTGAAAATGAAGGCGGATATATTGGAGAGGATGAAGCGAAAAGGCACTGCGGCACCCACCCTAACCGAGTCTGACATAGATCTTGACCTCAATTATACTTCTGATATCGAATCAAGGTAGGTTTGGTCTTAAAACCTGTATTTAGCCGTGTCCTCTGGGACTGTTGGCTCAACCTATCCAATCACATGTCGAACATAGCCAATCAGAGGAAGCTGTCGTCACCTGTCCTTCACCTCACATGAGTTTTCCTACACAAAACACAACTTCTGATCGGCTCATTTCCTTCTTAAATGCCGCCACAGTCATTGACTTTGTGATAAGTTTGACGGGTCTACGTGTGTTGTATAAACAAAATCAAAGTAATCTAGACAGCTATCTAGGGAAAGGTAAATTTCACTATAGGCCTGAATGGGCTTTCAAGAGGTATAAAGCGCGGGAAAACGCGAGTGATAGTCGTGAATGGTTGAAGTATTGCATTTCATTGGCTCAGAAGGTGGCGCGTGTTTCCTAGACCAATCACACAACGTAATGAAGGGCAACCACTGCATTGTGGGATTATTATTGATTCTCACTTGAGATTTGCCCGTCGCTTATTTCACCTAAAAGAAGGGGCAGTGTTTATATCAATCTGTGTTTTCTTTCCCTTTTATTTCCAGCACCGGCGGTTCAGACAGCTCTATGTCCGATGGTCTGCCAATGCATCTCATTTATGCTCCTGAAGGACTGAAGATGGTGAGCCTCTCGATTGATGAAAGATCATCTTGTAATTACAGACCTTCGCAAATTGATATGATCTTACCCTTGGTACTGTTTTGTTCTGAAATAAAATAGTATACTGACCAAGAACCACGCAAGAAGAAGCTGAAGACGAGAAAGGAACGGAACAAGCGGCGAGCCAAAGCTATGAAAGTCAAGGACGTTTTGCTGGCTGATGTTGCGACGCGGTCCGCGGTGAGTAACATGACTTTACGACTGACTTGTTTCCTTTTACGTTTGTATCCTCTGATATCGTAAGTTATAGAATCCTCAGTTGGAGCACATTTTGATAGGGAGCCCCACAACAAAACCAAAGCATTCAAAACAGCCAATCATAGCAAAGGACAATGCCACAAGGAGCCGATGAGAACCGGCTCAAAGTAAAAACAAGCAAATTGCCCAAAGCGCGGGAAAACGCGGGTGACCAAGTCGTGATTGCCCTCAGTTTTGAATCTGATTGTTTGAGAGGGTGGCGCTGGTGTTTTGGACCAATCATAAAGGGAATTTATGCAACACCAAAGCAATCCCGGATGACTTTCGACGCTCATTTGAAAATTTCTTTATATTGATGCAACTCTCTGTACTTTTAGAGTATTGACGTCATTTTTATTTTCTGCCATTTTAGCAAGACCAAGAGCGAGCGACAGAAGTAAAGTTAATGTACCAGAAACATCACCCAAAAGTGAGTTGTTGGGAATAAATTGCTTATTATTTTCGAAAATTTGCAACTCGTGCAGTCTTGTTGGTAGAAATCACACTTCTGTAGATGTGTCAGGTTTTAAACTCTTTTAAGGGTCTAATGGAACGGATGATTGAACTTCATGCCAGCTTCTGTTTCATGAAGTTTTATCTCCATTATTTTGTCTACCCACCTGGTAATCGTAAAACCTTCCTCGGTATGTTTGAAAAGTTTCCATAGCTTAGCAATTTGTCTGAGATTGGAGCTCTATTTGTTAAGAGTGAAAACGTCAAAACACACTTAAAATGTCTTAAGATGTCAAACACGCTGAGAAGACCTCAATTCAGACACGCTCATTATCGGTCAGATTGAACCATTTTCCTTCCAATATCGCACGGAGCATGTGGAAAACTAAAAATTGTAATTAAACACTTTGTTAAATTTTGTCTAGCGGTCTGCTCTTCCCAGTTCCGCGCGGATGAAGTTAGACAATCCACAGCCACGGAAGCATGAGCACAAAAGCAACAGCAGACCGTGTACACCGATGGGCTCACTGAAGTTGGATGGTTCTGCATGCAGGGTAAGTACTAAAGTAATGACAGAAAGAGAAAAAAAGAATAAGAGGGATGAGCGAAGGCCGGGAACTAGGGCAGTAACGTTTGTGAAAAATCGTATAATTATTAATAAATAGAGAATGTTACTTGCGTACATATGGAATTTCTCTTTCGAGTGTTCAACTCGACATCTGAACACGAGAAGAGAAATTCCATACCTAAAGGCAACCTTGTATTGGGCATTTACTGACGAGATAATTCTACAAACGACTTGGATTGAGAATGGTGAACGCTTTGCCTTTCATTAATCAACAGGACAGAGTGACGTGATTGGCAAAATCAAAGACCCGTAAAAAAATTATCGTAAATTTTCACGTGTGCGGTGACGGCTTTTCTTAGGGCTGGAAATCCTGGAAATACAACGCAGTTTTTATAATAAAAGTATTTATTAACAGTTGAACTCTTGTTTTTAAAATTCGTGTGCCTTCTTTAAAGATGAAGTGTGGTTTTCCCACAGCAGGATTACCTGGAAGCTGTCACTAATGCTTATATGATGAGTGGCGTGTTAGTAACTGAGTCAAAAGGTGACTAACCTCTCTTATGATGCAGTGTTCAGTTTTGTGCGCTAACCAGGCGTTCCCGTTTCGATCTCTTAGGGAATCATTGTGCTGTGTTCTTGAGCTAACCTCAATTTTGCGTAAATTCCTCTACCTCCTCAATTCCCAGAAACTTTTCCTATAATTGTAAATGTAATTCCTACAGTTTAATTCTTTAATGCTTGTCTCAGTCACTACAATACAACCCCAGAAAAGAAAATTAAACATAGGATAAATTGAACTTAAGTACATATCGTGAAAAGCCAAGAACGATATTCTTAAATTTGTCATATATCTTCCACCTCATATTTCATCTTCGTCTACTGTTTGATTAGTTGTTGCCTCTTTGATGTTCGTATGCCAAAGTTTACTAACACTCTAACAAAATTATTTTTATGATTATGACAAAAATCAAAAGTAACGTTTGTACACTACACTGTATCCTTATTTAATTCTCGCTGCTTTTTGTTTATTTTTTTTTTTATCAGAGGTTCCCCATTTTCGTTACACTGACGGTTCTACTTATCTGAAAGAGACCCCAGAAAGGACTGGCAAGTGAGTTATAAATCTGTGGAGTTAATAACGCTTGGGAACTTTTTCTTTACTTATTCAGTAGACTTTGAGGAATTTGTTTAAAATGTAGAAGAGAAGCCAAGGTGACCTTGTGCAGGAAAATTTTACCTGCTCGACTGAGTTAACCTTGAAAAAATTGCTTCCCACACGGACACGTTTTGTCTTAGGCCTCCATAACTGAGAGGTCGGGCAAGGACGTTTTAGAGCGCGCGAAACTAGCAACATGTCGAGTGTTCTTTTACCCCACAGCTGTTGCAGGTTATTCATCTGAAGCACTCAGTTGTTGATCCTGGAACATTTGCTATCCAACAGATTAAGATATAGAAAGGTTTCCCAAGCAGTTGCATTCTCTCCGTGATCCAAAATCATTAGTGCTCACGTTCCCTGATCACAGACATACAGGGATGCGGCGCGGAATACCACAGACAATTTGCGAACACTTGGGTGAGCGACTGGTGACCAATTTCCAATTTAAAGCGCGAATGACCATGAGGGGGTATTCCCTTCCACCTTGATACCCATGTTATTTTTTTTTTCTGTAGTAGAAAGACCCCAATTACGAAACAGGATACGTGAACAATTCTTTCAGGCTTTATGTCATTTGATCCAAATTTTACGCTTGTTCTGCTAGTTTGAGTCGCTGGTCTGTCACCAGTCCCGCGCAGCCTCAAGGATTTGAAATAAGCGAGGAGGAGGGACACTTCACGGTGTCTTATTTGGCCAAACAGTTGGAAAAAGGCACTGGTATGTAAAAAAATGACATGAGTTTCGTCGATTTAATGTTAATGATAAATTATGTTAATGGAAATGTTATGATTGAAATTCATAGTAGTTTATGTCTTACAAGGTCAGTTATTTATGATAATTTATGCGATGTTTGACGAGGTCATTAATTTATGATAATTCATGGTAAGATGTTTTACTAGGTCATTACCCATCAGTGCTCCGTTGTTTCGTATCATTTACTGTACAGTCTATCGCTCTTTCTGTAGATTGTGCGTATGTAGCACCAAAAAGTCGAAATGAAAAGAGAATTAGCTCAGCTCTTGAACTGGCGCGAAAAATTACCATGTACAACAACCGCTACAAGACGGCCGGGAATGAAAGACAAGAGCCTGTGGTCCAGCCAACGCCTCTACTCAGACCCAGAACTCCTGTGCAACCATATCCGTATTTTCCATGGCAACCTAAAGGGGACTGTTTGTCAAGTACTAAGGTACAGATCGCTGAACATGGCAACTCTCTATCATCGGAAGAGATTTAGAACAGCTAATGCCTCCTAGTAGCTTCTTAACTTAACTTTTTTATTCCCGAACAACAACCTTAAATTCCAGTTTAAAAAGCCCTCTGTTCAAAGATAACAGTGCAGGGAAATTTGTAGGAGTATATTCCTATGGTTAGGGAATAATAATGCGAGGCTGTGTAGTATCAGGACGGTTTAACCTGAATTTTTTGTCAAAAGTTGGAAATTTGGTTATTCAGGGAATGAACCTTGTTGTTCACAAGTGCCAATTCTTTTAAGGCAAACAGCACATTTATCTCGTACGTACCTCTTTGCCTCCTTCACGTCTAGCCAACCCGCTTTTGGTCGAAGATATGCATAGCAAACTTAAATGGAGCGTTTACAGTAATGCGTGATTGTATTGGTTTCTGAAAAAGAGCTAAGATTTTTATCGAAGGAAATGGAAGACTCGTTAATTTGTCTGCTGTTGTATTATTTTTAAGGCGCGTTTGTACGAACCGAAACTCGTGAAAGAACAAGAAGTGAGAAAGTCCTGGTCTCAGATTTCACTGGAAGAAAGAAAAACGAAAAAACTCAGCCAAAAGAACTCCGCGAAAAAGAAAGCCCTGTCTGTTGCAGCTACTGAAGCAACAAGTTGGCAACAAACAAAGGAAGAAACGCCTCGCGTACTTAAGAAACGTGAAGGTTGCTTTTTTTTTATTTTGTTTCTGTTCACTTTATTAATGGATGTTATATCCTCATTATAAAACGAAACCCCCTCTGTTGAGTACCGTTATTTTAATAGATGGAAAAAAAAATCATACCTGTTTGTTTGCTTTTATTCAGTTCAACAGCTCGAGCCCCCAACTATTACCTCCACTTCAAAAGGTTACCAGTCTCCTCGACAGCCCGCGACCACTCAGTTGACTGCGCCGGAGACGCATGCGCAACCTACGCAATTAGTGGGATCCAAGGTTATGAAGAAATACACGGGCAATGGACAAATGAACAGAAATCCTACCGGTTTGGTAAGGCGTGCCTCTTTGTTTGTTAAGGACTGTTACCTTTCTTAAGAGCTTAGCCTACACTCCGTATCGACTATGTTTCTCTTTTTATCAGACCCCAAGCGCGATCGACAGATTTAACACACTACCGGTGAAACCCAGTTCCAATTTCGTAGACGTATCTCGCTTTACGAGCAGCAATTCTTCTTTAATGACCGGCCGCCAGTCGCCTGTGTATGTCGCTGTACCTGTTGACAGACCTCCTGTGAAGCTTAGATCGAAAGCGCGCATCACTCCGCAGGACACAATCGATATATCCACCATAAATGATCTGAGAAGCAAGCTTTTAAATGTCGACGATTCAGGGTATGATATAGAGAATAATAAATGGGCGTGCATAGATATGGCATTTCTCTTCAAGCGTTCAACTTGATGTCTTACGAGTGAACGTAGCCTATGATATGACCGACGATACCGGTTAACCAACATGGCGATGGAATCTCAGCTTTCAATATTAATTGCTATTGTAAATTAGTAAATATTTACAACACACTAACGCAATTCAATCTTGTTGTGTACCAGAACTTTAGTGACTTACGCTCTACAGAATCAGGAGGATGAGAAGGTAATGACTCAAGTACAAGATTACGTCCATGAGACTAAACCCTTTCACGCCCTGATCTCATTAATAATTCTCCGTTCAGTCTGTCACACAATTCTTATGATGTTAGTTCTGAGAATTTGTTGACATTTTTCTTTATTCTCATCACTTGTCTGTCTGATATTGTAATGATATTTTAAGGAGAAATTCTGTCTTGATCACTCATGGGAGTTAAAGGCTCACAATTACTTTGATAAGTGGTCTTTAATTTTTCCGCAATGTGAGAATGCGCGCATGCAACCTGGTGCTTATCTTTGATCAGTTGCCACCAGATGAGGCGACTAAGAGATACCCTGCTTCCCATAGATGGACGTCAGGATGAAAAGAAAGTACAATTTGAGTAATTGTCACAGTTTGTAATGATAACCAACACTTATGACTTATTTTGCCCCCGCAGCCTGCAGCAAGCAGCAGTGACAGCGAGACAGGTGGCGCTCCTTTCGCTACTGAGCATGCTCCATCTGACAGCCCGAAGAGCATAAGAAATGAGTTGAACAGTGTCACCATGGCAACTGGTATAATCCCATGGGAAGACAGCTGTCTCCAAAATGTTGGCTTTGTGACTGGAAAACATGGCAGGAAGTCACAGTCTCCAGTTATATCTCCTGGTAAGATAGGAAAGAAGTCCCTGAAGGAGAACTGTTCATTTTGTCACGAATGGCGTGGAATAATTCCGGTCCGTGGTCCGTATTGTTAGAAGTTGGACCGGTTATGAGCGCATGATTAGCCAATCAGATTCGAATAATTAAGATTCCTGCCCGCTGAGATGCGTCAGAAAGAAAGAATGAAAATGAATAAAAGCAAAGTAACATGGAAACATAATGAACTGAGAGAACCTTTGAAGGAAAAAGTCCTCTTTCAAGGGCAGCAGCAGTACCCCTGACCGCTGTGTGCCACGAAGAGTTTAATGTAGATTTGTTTAAACTTGCAAAGGCATTAACAATTTGTTCCGTCCCTTAAGCTTACCTCCAAGTTAATAGCTTTTCGTGTCTGTCTTACTCACTAAACAAACAAATTAATCTTCAATTTAGGCATAGTCCAAATAGGAAAGGGACTGAGAGACGAGGCGCCTATGAATGGTGAATCAAAGAGGACCGGCTCACTTAATAAAGCATCTCGAAGTCCTACCAGAAATCAGGAATCAGGTACTGTACTTCTTTAATATATGGACAAGGTGTTTTAAGAAGCATCCGCTACAGTGAGTCTGCTTAAGCACAGTACTTGAGCACCCGAAGTACAGATTGATAGGCGATAGGTTCGACAATTGTCGGAATCAGTCGGTAGGTCTCAAAAGTTATGTCCAAGTATTATTGCCTCGCCGACTGAAGTAAACATCGTTACTCTCCAACAATAGTCTTCGGCTTGAAACGTAAAGCTCTTTTTGTTTTCTGCGTTGTAAACGACCCTATTATGAAGAGGTTTTTACAATTCGTTCCCAATTCAGAGAGAAAAAATTTCAGCACTTACAATTTTATCGGTAAAAGTGGGTGAAAATTACTCAAACTGTTTGCTTAATCCTTCGAAAGCGATCATCTCTGAAGCTTGTTCAAACAAAATGACCTGTTGTGTCCTTTTTCAGGTGCGGCTCCGTCAACAATTTCCCTGACGTTCCAGTTTGGTTCCGGTGGTTCACCTCGAGAGCAAGGCTTGTCGCCTCCTCAGAGACCACCAGTCTTCCCCCCACAGCTCAAGAATTTTTTTAGACCTCACGGACCACCCCACAGATAACAGCAGTGGCGGAGTCACATGCACTGAAATCATATACAATGGTTGGCTAAACACAGGCTCCCCTCCGAGAATACACTAAGCCCGCGATCTTCAACGGCATTGCTTATTGTGGCTTATACTTTTGCAGTGCCTAAAATCACTGTGGACAGGATGTTGGTGCATGTTAGACCTACTCTGTAACTGAAATCTCAGACAACTACCCCGAACTCCGTATGCACGTACCACCTCGAATCAAGAAGCATTCCTTTCGCGACAGTGGAAAATATGTGTCAAGACTTTCTGTTTACACCCAAACAAATTTAGGCACTGAATTAGAACACTTTTCGATGGAGTGTTGTTGAAGGAAAATCGAAGTAAGCACATCGATCAATCAGACAAAAAAAAAAAAAATGACCAATGAAAACTCTGACAAGTATAAACTGCCTCAAGCAGCTATTTATTTGAATCTAATTGGTTCAAGGAATTAAAGACAGAGATTGATCGATTGGTGAAAGTTTTGTTTGACATTTTTTATGACATGTTTCTCCCTTTTCTTTTTCCTTTTCTCCTCTGTGCTCACACCGCATTTCTCCATATTCGACTCCAGTTTGTTCGGTTCAATTTCAGAGGTACTTTTTGATTGTGGAGGAGTTTCTATTAGCGCGCTTTCACTCTCTCCGGAGCTGTTCCATTTGGTTTCAAAAGGTTTCGTGTTCTTTTGAACTGTTCTGTCTGATTTTTAACAGTTTGATCCGATTTCGGACTGTACTGTGTGGGTAACGTGTTCCGACCAATTATAAATGGTTGTACGTGAATATATAATTGCACTATGTAGTCACTTTTCTTGCTTTCTTTTTCTTTTTTGTTTGTTTGTTGTCCGTATCGCCTTCATTAGTACCACGCTCATCCGTAAAATTCTGTCCGTTTCTTGTTTCCGTATATTTTCGCTTTATTTTTCCACTTTTACGGTCTTTTTCTTTTTTCTTCGACTTCTTGTTTTTCTTTTCCCTAACTTTCTGTTCCTTGCAATTTTCCTTAGAATTAAAATTGGCATCGCAACTCTCCTCTGTTGTACTTTTACAGCTAAAAAGGCAAACGCAAGAGTGGGACAGGTTAGTAGATGTTCCCACAACGAGTAAAAATTTCGAATGAATATTGCAAAATACAAAACGTCTAGTCAACAAGGGTAAATACAACAAAAAGCTGATAATAGCACCAAGAAAACCTCGTGTACATAGCTCCAACCGAGGGAGTGCAAATGACCAGGTGATGACTGGCTTTAGATCGGTTGAGAGGGTTTATTTAATTGTTAGGAAAATATCTAGCACACTGTATGGTTTTTAGTCTGTTTAAAGTTATGTAACTATCTTCCAAAGTCTCGTACACTGTTTGTTCTCTGGATTGTTTGTTTGTTTGTTACGCAAGAGTCTCGCGTCCTAATTGTTGTCTTGTTTGTTTGTTTGTAACGCAAGTCTCGTGCACTGTTTGTTCTCTCGTTTGATTGTTACGCGAGTCTCGCGCACTGTTTGTTCACTGCTTTCTTTCTTTGTTACGCGAGTCTCGCGCACTGTTTGTTCTCTTGTTTGTTTGTTTGTTACGCGAGTCTCGCGTACTATTTGTTCTCTTCTTTGTTTGTTGCGCGAGAGTCGCGCGCACTGTTTGTTCTCTCGTTTGTTTGATACGCGAGTCTCGCGTACTGTTTGTTCTCTGCTTTCTTTCTCTGTTACACGAGAGTCTCGCGCACTGTCTGTTCTCTTGTTTGTTTATTTGCTACTCGAGTCTCGCGTACTATTTGTTCTCTTGTTTGATACGCGAGTCTCGCGTACTGTTTGTTCTCTGCTTTCTTTCTTTGTTACACAAGAGTCTCGCGCACTGTTCTCTTGTTTGTTTATTTGTTACTAGAGTCTCGCGTACTATTTGTTCTCTTGTTTGATACGCGAGTCTCGCGTACTGTTTGTTCTCTGCTTTCTTTCTTTGTTACACAAGAGTCTCGCGCACTGTTTGTTCTCTTGAATGTTGGTTGTTACGCGACAGTCACGCGCACTGTTTGTTCTCTTGTTTGTTTGTTACGCGAGAGTCTCGCGTACTGTTTGTTTGTTACGCGAAAGTCTCGCGTACTGTTTGTTCTCTTGTTTGTTTATTTTTTGTGCAAGAGTCGCGCATTGTTTGTTCTCTTGTTTGTTGTTACGCGCGGGTCGCGCGTAATGTTAGTTCTCTTGTTTGTTCGTTTGTTACGCGCGAGTTGGGTGTTATGTTTGTTATCTTGTTTGTTTGTTTGTTGCGCGCGAGTCGCGCACAATGTTTGTTCTCTTGTTTGTTCGTTTGTTACACGCGAGTGGCGCGCAATGTTTGTTCTTTGATTTGTTTGAAACGCAAGAGTCTCTTGCACTGTTCTCTTGTTCGCTTGTTTGTTACGCGAGTCTTGCGCTGTTTATTCTCTGATATGTTTTTTGTTTGTTACGCAAGAATTTTGCGCACTGTTTGTTCTCTGGATTGTTTGTTACCCAAGAGTCTCGTGCACTGTTCGTTCTCTGGATTGTTTGTTTGTTTCGCAAGAGTCTCGCGCACGGTCTGTTCTCTGGATTGTTTGTTTGCAATGCAAGAGTCTCGTGCACTGTTCGTTCTCTAGATTGTTTGTTTGTTACCCAAGAGTCTCGTGCACTGTCTGTTCTCTGGATTGTTATCCAAGAGTCTCGTGCACTGTCCGTTCTCTGGATTGTTTGTTTGTTTCGCAAGGTTCTTGAGCACTGTTTGTTCTCTGGATTGTTTGTTTGTTACGCGAGAGTCTCGTGCACTGTCTGTTCTCCAAGAGTCTCGTGCACTGTCTGTTCTCTGGATTGTTTGTTTGTTACGCAAGAGTTTCGTGCACTGTTTTTTCTCCTGGATTCTTTATCATTGTTACGCACAAATCTCTTTTCTCGTGCACTGTCTGTTCTCTGGATTGTTTGTTTGTTACGCGAGAGTCTCGTGCACTGTTTTTCTCTGGATTGTTTGTTTGTTACGCAAGAGTTTCGTGCACTGTTTTTTCTCCTGGGTTCTTTATCATTTTTACGCACAAATCTCTTTTTTAATTGGTTAGAGTTTTGCGCACTGTTATGTTTTAAATTTGCTTGTCGGTTACGCAAGAATCTCGCGCACAGTTTCTTTCCTGGATTTGTTTGTTCGTTACACAAGAATATCGCTCACTGTTTCTTCTGTAGTTTTGCTCGTCTGTTACCCAAGAATCTCGCGCACAGTTTCTTCCCTGGGTGTGTTTGTTCCTTACACAAGAATCTTGCGCACTGTTTCTTCTCGGATTTGTTGGTTTGTTACGCAAGAATCTTGTGCATTCTTTCACCTGAAGTTTGCTTGTCTGTTACGCGAGAATCTTGCGCTCAGTTTCTTCCCTTGGTTTGTTGGTCTGTTATTCAAGAATCGCGCGCCCTATTTTGTTCTGATTTGTTGGTTTCTTACGCAAGAATGTCGTGCTTTGTTTCTTCTATAGATTGCTTGCTTGTTACGCGAGAATCTTGCGCACAGTTTCTCTCGTAGTTTGCTTTTCTGTTACACAAGAACCTCGCCTACAGTTTCTTCCCTGGTTTTGTTTCTCTGTTGTGCAAGAACATTGTGCATTGTTTCTTCCGTAGTTTGCTTGTCTGTTACGCAAGAACCTCGCGCATTGTTTGTTCTGGTTTGTTGGTTTGTTACGCAAGAATCTCGTGCAGTGTTTTTTTTCTGTAGTTTGGTTGTCTGTTACGCAAGAATCTCGTGCACTATTTGTTCTGGTTTGTTAGTTTGTTAGTTTGTTAGTTTGTTACGCAAGAATCTCGTACACTGTTTCTTCTGTAGTTTGCTTTTCTGTTACGTAAGAATCTCGTCCGCTGTTTCTTCGAAGTTTACTCGTCTGTTACGCAAAAATCTCGCGGATTGTTTGTTCTGGTTTGTTACGCCAGGATCTCGTGCATTGTTTTTTCTGTAGTTTGCATGTCTGTTACGTAAGAATCTCGGGCACGGATTGTTTCTGGTTTGTTGGTTTGTTACGCAAGAGTCTCATGCACTTTTCCTTCTTCAGTTTGCTTGTCTGTTACGCAAGAATCTCGCGCTCTGTTTCTTCTGCAGTTTGCTTGTCTGTTACGCAAGAATCTCGCGCGCTATTTCTTTTTTTAGTTTGTTTGTCAGTTACGCAAGAATCTCGTGCACTGTTTCTTCTGTAGTTTGCTTATCTGTTACGCCAAAATCTCGCGCACCGTTTCTTCTTTGATTTGTTGGTCTGCTACGCAAGGATCTCGTGTATTGTTTCTTGTGTAAATTGCTTGTCTATCACGCGAGAATCTCGCGCACAATTTATTCCCTGGGTTTGTTGGTCTGTTGTGCAAGAATCTCGCGCACTGCCTTTCTCTTAGTTTGCTTTTCTGTTACGCAAGAATCTCGCGCACTGTTTCTTCTGTAGTTTGCTTGTCTGTTACACAAGAATCTTGGGCACGGATTGTTTTTGGTTTATTGGTTTGTTACGCAAGAGTCTCATGCACTTTTCCTTCTTCAGTTTGCTTGTCTGTTACGCAAGAATCTCGCGCTTTGTTTCTTCTGCAGTTTGCTTGTCTGTTACACAAGAATCTCGCGCGCTATTTCTTTTGTAGTTTGTTTATCAGTTACGCAAGAATCTCTTGCACTGTTTCTTCTGTAGTTTGCATGTCTGTTACGCAAAAATCTCGGGCACGGATTGTTTCTGGTTTGTTGGTTTGTTACGCAAGAGTCTCATGCACTTTTCCTTCTTCAGTTTGCTTGTCTGTTACGCAAGAATCTCGCGCTGTTTCTTCTGCAGTTTGCTTGTCTGTTACGCATGAATCTCGCGCACTATTTCTTTTGTAGTTTGTTTGTCAGTTACGCAAGAATCTCGTGCACTGTTTCTTCTGTAGTTTGCTTATCTGTTACGCCAAAATCTCGCGCACTGTTTCTTCTTTGATTTGTTGGTCTGTTACGTAAGAATTTCGTGTATTGTTTCTTGTGTAAATTGCTTGTCTGTCACGCGAGAATCTCGCGCACAACCTCTTTCGTAGTTTGCTTTTCTGTTGCGCGAGAATCTCGCGCACTGTCTCTTCTGTAGTTTTCTTGTCTGTTATGCAAGAATCTCGCGCATTATTTCTTTTGTAGTTTGTTAGATTGTTACGCAAGAATCTCGTACACTGTTCCTTCTGTAGTTTGCTTATCTGTTACGCCAAAATCTCGCGCACAGTTTCTTCTTTGATTTGTTGGTCTGTTACGCAAGAGTCTCGTGTATTGTTTCTTGTGTAAATTGCTTGTCTGTCATGCGAGAATCTCGCGCACAATTTATTCCCTGGGTTTGTTAGTCTGTTGTGCAAGAATCTCGCGCACTGCCTCTTTCTTAGTTTGCTTTTCTGTTACGCGAGAATCTCGCGCACTGTCTCTTCTGTAGTTTTCTTGTCTATTATGCAAGAATCTCGCGCATTATTTCTTTTGTAGATTGTTTGTCAGTTACGCAAGAATCTCGCGCACTGTTTCTTCTGTAGTTTGCTTATCTGTTACGCCAAAATCTCGCGCACAGTTTCTTCTTTGATTTGTTGGTCTGTTACGCAAGAGTCTCGTGTATTGTTTCTTGTGTAAATTGCTTGTCTGTCATGCGAGAATCTCGCGCACAATTTATTCCCTGGGTTTGTTAGTCTGTTGTGTAAGAATCTCGCGCACTGCCTCTTTTTTAGTTTGCTTTTCTGTTACGCGAGAATCTCGCGCACTGTTTCTTCTGTAGTTTTCTTGTCTGTTACGCAAGAATCTCGCGCAATGTTTCTTCTGTAGTTCGCTTGTCTGTTACGCAAGAATCTCACGCACTGTTTCCGCCGTAGTTTTCTTGTCTGTTACGCAAGAATCTCGCACCCTCACGGTTTGTTCTGGGCCCAGTTGTATAAAGGGCGGATAACGCTATCCAGCGGATAGTGTTAACAAAACTTACTGCACTATCCACCGGATAGAGATTTATTCGGTGGAGGGCGTTATCCACCCTTCGAACAACTGGAACTGGTTTGTTGGTTTGTTTCGCAAGAATCTTGTGCACTATTTCTTCTCGAGTTTGTTTGTCGCCTAAATGCTCTTCATCTATAGACGTTTCTTGAGATCTAGCAGTTTTTCAATTTTTGTTTTCTTTTCAAGTTCTCTTCATGAAGCAATGCTCCCTTGGCATATTAATCCGAATAAGCAACTTGCTTGACCGTAAGATCTACCACTAGTATTAAATTCAGTAGGCTAAACGCTATCGTTGGCCCTCTATGAAGTCAACAGTACACACACGGGTCCGGAATAGACCCTACCCTTTATCCAATTTACAGTCTCATGTTTCCCTGGGACAACTTAGGCAAAGAATGACTTAGAGACATTTGAAAATTCAATTGCGTCTCAAAGGTAATCCTGAAGAATCTGGCACACTGCTTCTTCTCTGGTTACGTATGTTGCGCTGTTTCTCTGAATTCAGCTTCTTTTAGTGCTGTTAGATCTGAACCAAACATTTGGCAAGCTTTTTCCTAAGCACCGAAAGGTTGTTAGAACCCAATGCTAAGCGCGGGAAAACGCCAGAGACCAGGTTGCTATCGGTTTTAGTTTTGAATCTGAGAGTTATGAGCAAGTATCCTCGGCCACGTTAGGAAAAGCAATACAGTCCAGGATTATTTCACAAGTCAATTGAAGTAAACACTCCTACACGAGATCTTAAGCACAGATGTTTTTCAGAAATAAAAGACGACAGTATGACGAACCCAACTCCTTTCGCTGCATTTTTAGCAACACCGATCAACTAGAAAGCTCTTGTTTTAACAATTCAAATTTGGCGTTGCAAACGAAAAATCTTCTCACAGCCGTTTTCGCAACTTAGGCATCCGTAACTAAGTGGTAAATTATTTTGCTTAGGTAAAACATGTCAAATTTACTATCTTACCACAATTTACTCACGTTAGTTTAAAATTTACGCCTAAGCTAACGCAACTCTTAATCACCTGTTTGTTGCCATAGCTATTTTGTCCTGTTCCAGAACTCGCTGGAGTTTGCCATTCAACCGGAACCCATGTCGAGCAGCTCTGAGGACATGACAAATGTAAGATGAGTTTTAGCCTTCATATACCGCGCACTCGCGGCTTAGTTCACCCCAATAATCATCATCAAATCGCTCAACACATTTTCCGTCCCTTCTTTGACTTAGGAGGGACTCTATAGGTCAAGACTTAGACAGCAAACGAAAAGTAGTTCCTTAATGGATCCCGAGCTTGGCCCATTATTCCATAGATGCCCCGGTAACACCCTTGAAAATCAATCTGAAACCAAAAAAGCCTTCAAGGTAGAGTTATCGAATAGGAATCCGAAGTTCGAATGAGGCCTTACGGTACCCAAAAGAAACCTGAAAGAATTTCAGGCTTTGACAGGATTGAAATTGATTCCTCTAGATTACTGTGCACTAGTCTCTACGTCTACACATCTATGTATCTTTTACAACAATATGCTCCTTAAGAAAGATGTTTTTCGTCTTGTCACGAGCGTGGGACAAAGAAAAACTTCTGAGTCCCCATGAGGAATCGAACCTCAAACCTTCGGATTCTGCGCTTCGATGATCTACCACTTGGTAACAAATTATAGTATTTCATCAATTAGAGCCTAAAGCCAGTGACATACTTGGCGATTTTTCTCAACGATCGAGGCGGATAACATCACCAGCTAAAGTTACCCGTATCCAAAATGCCAGATATCAGCAATTTTCTACCCCGATCGCGGCGATCGGCGTAAATCTCAATCGCTGCACCGGGCACACCCGGCGATTTTAGCCAATTGTTATAAAAGTCGCCAAGTGTATCACCGGCTCAAGTTGTAACGCCCTATCAATAAGCATATCATTGTAAATTACAATTTTAATAAGTCCAAGCTTCAGTAAGAAAGTCTCGCTTACTTGTGAGCTGTTCTTCCGCCACAGGCTTGAAAAACTTTATCCTCTGTGCTTCTAAAAGCATAAAAAGAAATTACAATAATTAATCATTAGGATTGAAAAAAAATGGGGATTGGCAGGATTGTCAAAAGCAACTGACAGCCGGTCACTATGCTGCTGGTTCATCATGTTTTTGGTCAGCTACTCTGCTAGGATATTCCAAGATCTTTTTGGTGAATTTCACGCATATTTGTGAGTATTCAGGCATTTGCAATCATGGTAAGATCTCAGCATAGTCTTCACAAGGTTTTAAATCTTATTTCACCTGAAAATTTCACATGCAAGCGAAATTTGCCATGCAAGAGGCAAAGGAAAAGCATTTGAAAAGTATATGAAAAATTTTATCCCTCAATGCAGTGTTTTCACATGTTTTACAGCAAGTTCTTGAAGCCTACATACACGTGCTTCAGTGCCTCAGTGGTGTTTTGTGACTCAAAATGAACAACCCACAGTTTTCAATTCAAGTATGCTATGAGGCACCTGAGTAAGGTAGCAAAGTCAGTCATTCACTTAAACAAGAAAAGCAACCCATTCAGAACATTTGAGTGACCCTAAATTTCTGCCCATGAAGGCAGAGACCCCCTCACAGTTGTGTGGTTGAACAGAAAACAGCTATTATCAATATGTGTCATTTAATGTCTAAAACTACACATGCATATGAAGTAAGATGACTTTGAAAAAGAGAAATGCCTGCTGGGCTGGAACATCAAGGAAGAGTGACAATAAATAGAATAGAACAAGGAATATAGTTAACATACAAATTTGAGAAATCGCGTTCTTCATCTGTGTCTTCCTCAGAATCAGAGAGTGCTCTTTTTGGAGTTTGACTGGAAGCCTGCAAAGAAAGAAAGCAAAATTAATAATTGAGAGCCAACTGAAACAAAACGATATTTCTGATCATGTGCATGAGTAGGAAAAGACACTGGGAAGTAAATGTATTTGCAATAGCTTTTTGTGACAATCTGATACTTGACACATGGAAAATAAGTTATTTGAGAGTTACATACATATATACTTTATTAGTAACTTGGGCCACTTTAGGAAGATTTGCCCAGGACAGAACCCGATGGAGGACGGAAGTGGTTAATGGCCTATGCTCCAACCGGAGCTAAGGGCGAAACACAAACACAACACATATATACTTTATTAGTAATTCCCAGGGGGGGGCTTGTCAATACTAAACAGCAAAGAACATTATAATAAAAAAATGAATAAAATTATAAAAAGCGGTCAATTAAAATAATTCTCTAACATGTGCGTTTTCAACTTTTTTTTTTAATGATGTTAAAGATAACTATTTAAAGTATTTAAAGTCTTTGTCTAAATTGTTCCAAATGTTGACTGCTCTATGGAGGAAACGTCGCTGGCCTGACTTTGTCTTGCTCAGAAAAATATCAAGGGATTCTCTGTTTATAGTGTTATGACAAGATGAAATAAGATGCTTCTGTTTTGTTTTGACAAGTGAATATATGCTTTTGTTTTGTTTTGACAAGTGAATATTTTGAGAAGTTATCGACAGTAACTTCTGAAGAATGGAGCATTATTCTTTCTTTCCTCAAGTAGTTGGTAAACCTTTCAATCCCAAGATCTCTATTTAAATTCTCCTAAATATCTGCCATACATTTCTGAGAATTAAGTACAAAGCCAACAATATCCCATAGATTATATTTTTCAGTTTCACCACCTTTCCAGGGGTTTCAATGAAAGCTGGTTATCAGTGGTATACTACCACCTGTGAGACTCACTGTAGATCTGTTCAGTCTGTAAGCACTTTTCTGGACACAGCTACCTGTCACGCCTTTAGCAGCCACTTATGGAAAAAGTTATTGAAACCCTTGCTTTTCTGGTAGGCAATGTCTTGACGAGGTTGACAGAAATTACACATGCTCATTGGTTTCTCCCAGGAGTGAAAGGCTTTAACTAAGCCTAAGCAGAGAATAAGGAATAATATTCAAAAACAAATATTAAATACCTTGACAAATCTGCCATATAACAGTGGCTTGTTTGAATTCTTGCTTGGTCTTTTACTACTAATTACACATGATTCTTTACCAGACTTCACTACTTCTACTCCATCCTGTGCATGTGAAGAGGAAAAAAAACAAAATGACACACTGCTGCATTTCTTATATGACTTGTGTTTTTTTTTTCTTTGTGGTTCATACATAAATTGACCTTGAGTTGTTTTTCTTGTGATATTATGTTGAAAATCCTTGAAGATCTTTTCAACTTCTATACTGCTAGCTTTTGACAGACAGTGATGACAGGGGAACCGCAACACCTCACCACAACATTTCACAAAAATGTAGCTCATACATATAGGACAATAATGCAAAAAAAGTAGCCAAATACTGCAATACTTCAATATCAAGTCAAAATTTTTTTATGTTTAGAGCAAATAACTTGGAAATAACAGTTAAGAATTTGTTAATGACCATAAATTCAGGTAATTTTCAATTTAGACAAAATATACAAAATGCAGTCAAACCTGTATTAAGTGGTCACCCATAAGGAATGGCTGGGTGACTGCTTAATACACCTTCTTCAGACAAGGGGCATTGAAAAACAACGTCATTTTATGCTATAATTATGTGTAACCACTTAATGTCCAAACATTTGCTCAAAAATACTACTAAAAATTGATTTATGGAGATAAAACTGGCTTAAATTTTGCTTGAAAGATTATTCTTAGTTTTATTTGAGTGGTTCCACTTTATGTGACCATTCAATACAGGTGGATGACAATACAAACAGGCGGTTGGGCCCAGTTAAGGGTTACCATGATGCTCCATCAAACCTCAGTTTCCTTAGTCAAGCAATAAAAAACAGTTTGTTAATGTTGACATCCATCCACTTTGGACACTTGTGGTCATAATGCCTCAAATAGAGTCAAGTTACTTCTTTAAAAGGGTTAAAAATGATAAGAGAACTCTTTCAGGGAGGCAGAAAATAGAAACACTACCCCCTTTGCCTTGTAAAAGCTCTACTAATTTTAATTTGAAGCAGGGGAAAATATGGATAACCAAGGCACAACTGGTTTTGATCTTGCATTTGATGGGTTGAAAATATGGGGAAAGGTTTTTTGACCAATCAAAGATCAAAATGGGCACAAAGCTAAAAGCCAAAAAGTCCCACATAGATCTCTTGGCACACAAATGCTAGTATATTTCCATTTCTGCAGATTTACATGTACTTTTGAACAAAGGGGTAAGTTTCTAAAGAAACTGTGGTGCTGTGTTGGTGAGAGAGTATAACAGGGTAATTTGGTATTATAAACTGAGTTGACAGCATAAATTAGCCACCAAAAAGAGTTTCAAAGCTGACATTTCCAGCTTTAGCCCTTCAATCACTCAGTCGATAATTCTAAATTACCCTGTTCCATGTACTCACATTGCTCTCCTGTACCACTATACTCTTTGCTGTTTTGTTGAAGACATGATCCCACCAGTGGAAACTAAACTGATCACCAGCATCATAGCCAACCTTATTGTAAAAAAGAGAAATACAAGAAAACTAATTAAGTATATAAATAAATTACAAGGAGAGAGAGATAGAGAAATTACAAACTCTGCTGTCAAAAGAGTGAGGTATAATCAGGTGAATACCCTTACAAATACATTCTTTAGAACACTGTTTCACAGCTCATGAAGACTTCATATGCATTATTGTTTCCCAGTTACAAGAAAAAGTGAAAACTGTGGTTAAAATGTTTTAAAAAGTATGGGCAAGTAGTTGGGTTGATCAGCACTTATACTTCTGTCTATGAGTGTTGGTAGGTTTCAACCACCTCCTTCTTTGGTAAAGCCAAGTTTTATTACAAAAATCCACTGTTTTGTTGCAAATGAAAAAAAAATCAACTCTTACGTTTTTTAAGGTTTCAATCCAGACAAAGGTTTCAGAGGTTGTTCATTTTCAGAGGGCACTATGGTCTTCATCAATAACTTCATTCTCACCAAGGTAATTTAGCATTAACAACTGAGTTTATAACATAAATTAGCCACCGTAAAGAGTTTCAAAGCTGAGGGTTAGCGCTTTGTCAGAGTGAAGTCCCTCCGACTAAGAGCTAATGCTCAAAATGTTAGCTCTGAAACTCTTTATAGTGGCCAATTCATGCTATCAACTCAGTTGAAAATGCAACTAAATAACCCTGTTATACTCTCCCAATGACGCAGCACTTACCCCTTTACATTCTTGTCAGACTGATATGAAATACACTAAATAAAGACAACTGATGATATACATGTATGTGCATTACCCCAGCAGTATCGGTTTTAATGTTCACTTTGATTGCTTTAGAAATTCCACTTTCCTCTTTACCTAGACCTTTTCCTGTGAAAGAAACATAAAAATCCTAAGGCTTAAGGACAAGCAGTCTTTACTCTCCTTAACCCTTTCACTCCCAAGATCTCATTAGTAATTCTCCCTACTGTTAACCATACATTCTTATGAGTTATGTTAAGAGAATTTGGTATTGAATCCACTAATAATCTCCTTACTTGATATTTTTCTATGTTCTCATTACTTTTCTGCTTGATATTGTGTAGATATTGTAAGGAGAGATTCTGCCTCAGTCACTCATGGGAGTGAGCTACATGTATGAAAGATGCAGAGTCCTTCATTTCCTCACAATGCAATCTCTTATATACCTTTCCATCTCAACAAAGTAAGAAAAATAGGAACCACTATCAATAAATATTTCATAAATAAGTGAATAATATGCAAAATAAGTTAATTTGATGATGTTCTCGAGAGTGCAAACGTAAGCATTGAGGAGAGGGGCATTGGGATTTTCGGTTTTGTGGTTTAGGCTATTTTTTAGATCAGTTTTTCGGTTTTTATGCCAAAAACTTCAGTTTTTAGGTTTTACTGTTCATTTTGGTTTGTGGATTTTCCATTTTTTAGCATTTGGTTTTCAGTTTTCATAAAAAATACTAATGGGTTTTCATATTTGATATCTGATGTGGTTTTCTGTTTTTCCTATTTGACCTATTTGGGTTCCGGTTTCTCTTCAATCTGAGCAGCAATTGCACGCCTCCACTGATCTCGAATAGCTGCTAAATGCAAATGTTATCAAGAGGAATGCATGACAAACCAATTAAAATATCGCAGGTGTTCCTAGGTAGCCTACATGTAGCTGTACCCTCCCCTTCCCCATGGTGGGGGGGAGGGGAAGGGTATGGTCATACGTAGGGTACAGCTAAGCATGGAACATTGCCAGAGTTTCTTTATCAACGCCACCTTGAAGTTGGTGACCAAGTTACAGGCCATGTGTGACTCATTGATTCAACATTCCAATAGAATCTCCAAACTTTCAGGTCTTAGTTTGCAAATAGAAATGTTAGATTAGGGATTTTCGTGAAAACTTTCCAGAGCTATAGCTTTTTGCAACTGCAAAATTGTAATCCTATCGAGGACTTTTGTTCAAATTTCCTTAATTTAAGTAGGCTCCATTACTAGCTGCTGAGACCACACTCGAGGTCCTCGAGAGAGCAGCTGTTAATTTAAGCAGATACTAGATGATACGAATGCCAAGTCCAAGGCACTCGTATCTTCTAGTATCTAAATCCTGTAATGAAATTAGTGTAGTTTACTCTGTATGCTCCACTTGTCACCACTGTATCAGATCGATCAGGGTTTCAATAACAGGGATGTGAAAATGTATCGGTTTTGACAATTTTGCATGCGGTTTTCGGTCTTAATCGATTTTTTTTTCGGTTTTCGGTTTTGGATGATTTTTTCTACGGTTTTGCGGTTTGTAATAGGCCCCAATGCCCCCCTTGTTGAGCAAATGAAAACATACATGGTTAAATAAGCGACACAAAATTAGTAAAGGATCATTTCTTCACCTAGTAAAAGAAATACGAAATAGAATGCCGTGAGCTCTTCAAAAATAATGAACTCTCAACGATTCCCGTTCTGTCCACGTGTGTGACTTTCGGTCCATGTGCACTAATCATTTTAATGCGTTGACGATATTTATGAGTTCATTCCACCTTATGTCTCAATTTCGATTATCAAACTATTCAGTACTTTGCCTACCTTCAGCCCAGCCATGTTTCTCGAGCTGTTTTCTGGCGAATGCCGTGTCAACCCCCATCTCCTTCAGTTTGTTCGCCATCTTGTTATGCAATGTTATCCAATAAAAGCTCTCTTCCCAGTCTCCTTTTCAGACAACTTCATCAGCCCTCGCTGTCTTCACCAGGCTCCGGTTGTTCGTAGGATCAATAAGCTATCCAGTAGATAAATCTCTATTTTTTGGATAGAACGATACGTTTTGTTGACACTTATCCGCTTGATAGCGATTTATCCGGCGGATAGTGGTATCCGCCCTTTAATCGACTGGGCCCTGCCGACAAAGCCAATAACGGTGGTTAGCAAAGGTAACCAGTCACTGCGCCGACATGATAACTCGCCGACACCAAGACATGTCGGTGAAGTGACCGGTAACTCTACAAACGCGAGACCAAAGTATGCGTAAAAATGAAAGGAAACATACTGAAAAAAATCTAAAAAAAACCGGAAAAACCGAGAAAACGAACTAGCAAAATCGCCGAGAATCGTCCAAATTGGAAGTTATTGGCAGGAAACGGCCGTGAAAGTCCGAAGTCGTACGGAAACTTTCAAAAACGGCCCAGGTGTCAGAAAACAACTGCAATTAGCTGAAAGCGGACGGAACCGTATGAGAACGGACGCAAGTGCCCGAAAGCAGACGTAGGAGTCTAATTTTTAAGGGAATACAATTCGACATTTCAGCCTGCGTCGCAAGCAGGAAGATTGACCGTGCTTTTAGCAAAAGGGAAATCTTGTTATTAGCCTGAATTTTTTTTCTCTGCTGATCCATGCTTTCTCGTGTAGGCATAACACTCGAGTTAGTTGATTTTGGTTCACTTTCTTCGGAGTAGTATTTGTAGACAAATAATGAAAACAGTGTGTCTGGCCAGTGTCGCCAAAGGAAATATTTTTATGAATTATAAACTGTATTGGAAAACCGCCAAGAATAAGGAATATGTTGAGACAAGATAAAGTGATCATGACGAGGATAAACTGAGAAACAACTTTCGAAAAAAAGCAGACTCTTGTCGGAAAACCGTGCTCAAAGTTGTTTTAAAACCGAAGAAAAAGTGTCCTCTACACCTGCTGCAGAAGATTTTTCTGAAACCAAAATACACGCAAATATTTCGGTTTCTGACTAGTAAAATTTTACTGGGATAAAGTAATTCAGCGTCATGGCTGAAATGTCTATAAGTAATTTTACTAGTCAATTTTATTTTGACTCGCAGGAAAAAAGCTGCGGTGAAAATATAAAAAAAAACAGAGTATTAAAAAAGACTATTAAGTTGCTAACGCGAAAGGTTCTTAAATTATCACTCAGCAAGAAACCTACTTATTAATAATTTCATACTTATCACTAGAAAAGACAGATGCTTTTTAGAGTCCCAAGCCTTGTCTTATTTACCATATTACTGTTGATATGAAATATTTTACAAATTTAAATCAACGCTTTGAAAAAAAAAACCATCATTGAGTTATTGCAACTGCAATAATATCTGGATTAAAATTGCTTTTGGATACATATCGATCAGTATTATTTACATAAAGAAACATTTACCTTTAAAATACAAATATAGCGAGTTGCAAATTACTAGTAAAACTATTTTGCAGTAAAATTCGAATCTTTACATATTAAGAAAACGAAGAAGCGCAATTCCAGCGAGAAGCAGTTTACAACTGATGTAAACTGTGCCCGCGGTATTCGGATTGGTTTGGTACATGATCACCATGGTTCCTTCAACTTTCTTCTCGAGTTGTGTGCAGTTTGTTCCATTTACGATGGTTATGTTGTACCGAGCATTGCTCGTGAGCACAAAATCCTCGTCTTTGATGTCCTTTAGAGACACCGTTTGATTGATTCCTGTACGTCTGAGTACATCTCCGGTTTTTTTGTACATGATTGTTGTGTTGAGTTCCAGTAAATATTCGTCGATTCCCTCTCGTAGATTTTGCATCTTCCCTTTCTTCGTTTCGTTCACACACAAGTTGCCATCCGCATCCATGAGTTTGCTTTCTTCAGAGGTAAGCCTCACAGCTCGGTCTTTGGGAATGATGACGTAGCTTCGGTACATGGGATACCCGTACCGGTAAACTTTGGCATTGCCTAAAGTGTAGCGAACCACCATATAGCCGAAGAAAACCTTCGTAAAAGTGTTTGTGCGCAAGCCCTTTGTTGTTTGAGTTACAATGACCGGCGAACGCTTACTCGTAGCTGGGATCGGTGTGTATTTGGTGGTTTTGTAAACGGTGTTACTTCCCCCTGACGACCTAGATCTACTAGATCCACTATTTCTTGAAGTACTGCGCGATCGTGAACTGCTGCTACCGCGACTTCCACTGCGCCCTCCTCGAGCGGCTTCTGAAAAATCCATCTCGATGAATGCGAGAATCAAAACGCACAATAACAAAATCTTTTGTAGCTTCATTGCTTTCTAGTCGAGTTTAACAAGCACCTTTTACCTCGTGATGTATATCTACACATAGGTTACCCTTCTATATATATATAGATATATATAGAGTGCCCTTCTTTCGTTTTCGAATGGAAAATTACTCAGAAACTTGCGCGACTCTGAAAAACCATAGTAATTATTATTCATAGAAATTAGAGTACACATTAGTCCAATTACTTAATTCCATATTTTCGTCTGGACAATACTTTATTTTCTGTATAATAATCATCCTTGACGTCACGTTGTCAAGGAAACATTTATTTATTTTAGCCAGTTGTTCAGAGATGCTTTATTGTGAATAAATATCGACATTCTAGGGCAGCTTTGTAGCTAGCTTAGTAAAATTTTTTAAAAAATTAAATATTTATGTAATATGACGGTTGTGGCACCTGCCTTCGGAGAAAAAATAAAAACATGACATGCTACATAAAGGCCTGTCTCGATTGTACTTGGCAACTTTTGAGCAGCTTTTGGCGTTTGAGGCAACTTTTTGCAATTCTTGTAAAGGTTTTAAAAATTTTGGTATTTCTGAGTAATTTTTGCACAAAATGTAGGTTTAGAGCACATGTTAAGCATGAAAGAGTCAACGAATGCAAATCTCTTTAATGTTTATCAACCTCCTTAACGCATATCCTGTTATTTGACAACGTTTCGTTCGGTAAGACGCCAAATGAACCACGTTTTTTGTTCCGCTAGACTTATGGATGTCCTTAAATTTCGCCCATATTCACGAGCAACTCTTTAATGCTAAGTTTCGAGCTATTTTAATTTCTTGAGTGATTTTAGCTCTTATTGTAAGAAATGAAAACTTAAACTTTTAGCGTTTTCCAAATGTGTTACAAAATCAAACACGAGGGGAGGTAATCGCAATTTCTGAGGTAAAGCAGTCAGGAGAACATAGTTTTTATTCTCGCCTTTGGATAGCTTAAATTGCTTGAATTAGGAGCTGTTGATCCTTTGTGGAGGATAGGTTTCATCCACTGTCTTCGACGAAATGCTCGCGGCGCAGGAGTGCACTCTGGGGAAAAAGCGTTTACGCGGCCGTTTGTGTCATTAAGAAACTAGGGATGATTCAGCTTGATCCAAAGTAGCGGGAAGGTGTATATCCAGTGGGTCAGCCTTGAATTAACGGACTCAATTAAACCATACCACTGACGCCAACAAAACTTTTAATATGTAGGAGGTTTCAAAGCATTTTCAGAAATAAGATACAATGCATTCCGCAATGATTGATTGTTTGCTGTCATTGATTGGTATCTCTGAAAAATGAAAAAGGAAGTCTTCAAAGACTCGTATGAAACGGACTCCAAGGAAACTGTCAATTTTTACACCGTAATAGGTAAACAAAACATCATCGCTCAGCTGCAACATCCTATTAATATGAAAATTAAGCCAAATTTAGCTTCGATCCGTCAAATTTTTAATTTGAATGCATAATTTACCCAAACTGACTCACAATGATACGAACAACTTGATAAAACAACTTCGAATCTCTCAAATTTTAATGATGTCTTTTTTTATTATTATCGTCGTGCAAACGGTAAAGAAATCGGTGCAATGGTCTTAGCGTCGAGAAAAACAACTTGTTTATAACAGTGAAGTTTTTACCATCATTAATGTGTGCCCTGTCGTTCTATTTGCTGAGCATTCTTAACAAAAGTGGCTTTTGAAGCTATCACAGCACGTATTTGCGGCTAAAACTGTTACTAATCTTCCCCAGCTGTCGCCCATCAAGATTTAAAACATCTTTGGCTGATTGCCTCACTTTCTTGATCATTATGATACCCATCGACAAACACAAATTAGTTTTGTTTTACTGAGAAAGAAATTTATATTATCAAAACGATAAAAGGGTTATCTGCTTGCACACAAAATTTAAAAGGGAGATCGCATCGCTTTGTGGCATATGAAGTCACTAGACTTGCATAATTTTTCATTGTTCTACAACGGTCATCTAGGTTTATTTTTAACGCTTCGATTTTTCGATGTAATTACAGCGCGATAGCACTTTTTTTTATATAATCTTTGGAATGAGTTCATTAAAAGAGTCCTTTAGGAAAAGTAAAATGAATCACGAAGTTTTGCGATTGTCGGCGGATTCTCGATATTTATGGTCAGTGGCTCTTAAAAATCTTGAGGAAAAAATAACTTGGCCTTACTATCAGCAATTTTGCGCTATTAAGACGTGTTTAAATTGGCTGAAATAGCAATCTTGTCAGCAGTGACCTCTCTTTGTCTCTCTTGATCTTTTATAATCGAGGAAGCTCAGAATAACTACTATTAACGACTCACGAGAGCAGAATATATTATCTTTATTTATGGCACTATTCAAGGTGTCCTGAATTAATCTTCTGAATAAAACAGAACAGAAGTTTTTCTATTTATAGTTGATCTAGGAACTTGTGAATTCAATTTCCTGTTTCAACTTCATTCTCAAGAGGATAGCTAAGTTGTTAAAGAAACAGTTGACCATAAAAAACAAAGCTCTTTTTCCTAGCATAATTTTACTGGCATTTTCTCCCACGTTGTGTAATGTTTACACAACACTGGAAGGCGTTTGAAGGGAACCCCACGGTTTTTTAGCGGTGTTTTCTGTTCTCCAAATCAATTAATACGATGTAAATCACATTCTCTTGTTACCAAGTTCTATTTAAACAACTTGTATTTCCCTTTTTTTTCAACAACAGGCGGCCCAAGCTCCAGCTGTGAGATGAGCATCTTGCGAAACATGTAAGAATTGTGGCGAAATTATAAGAGTTTGTATGAGAATGTTTACGACGGATCTTAGGAATTAAAAAATTACAGTCAAATTCTCAATAAAAGTACCTCACCTCCCTCTAACAGTGCATTTCTAGTTATCTGACCGCTTATTACGTTAAAAGAACCCATTTCAGCGAGTTTTCCATTTCTAGGTTTACTACATACGAGAAGCTCTACAAATGGATCAATTCGCAGACTTTTATCGTTTTCAAGTTGGTATAGTAGTTTCGACAAGTACTTCCGTCTTGACAGTCATCGTTCCTCCGCTTCAGTTAAAAATATCATGACAGATTATAATATATCTTGAAAATTTTCCTGTATCACAGTGGTGGATCAAGATCATTACAGTCTCTCACTATTACGGAAATGCGGACACTTTCATGTCCCCAGCACGACATTTCACTTGTCTTTTTCTCTCCTTGTACCAGACACTTCGTCCAAAATTCCTACTCGCATGATATAAAGCGACATTACGATAAATGAAAATAAAGAAACCATTCTTCAATTGGGTGCGAAAATTAGTTTTTCCTGCTGGCGGCCGGATCTTTTTCCGGTTCTTGAGGCCACGTTAGAAACTTTATGTTTGCGTAGCTGCCTATTATTTGATATGTTTACAGACAAAACATTTTTTTTGTCTCGTACCCCACTATTACGTACTCTCGCTATTATGAACACAAAATCTCTCCAAGAGGATGTCCGCAATAACGGGAGTCGGCTGTATTATCTATCTTTCAGAACATGTGTGTACTTAACTCATTTTTAACCAAATTGTGAAAAGAAAAAGGACCTAGCTATTTTTAGGGTAATTTAGGGTTATCAACTGAGTTGATAACGCGGTAAATTTGCCCTTGGCTCCGGCGAAGGGCTAACGCTCGAAACGTCAGCTTCGGTGGCCAATAATTTACGTTATCAACCCATTGATAATATTAAATTACCCTGTTGCACACTCCCACCAACGCAGCATCACAGTTTCTTTCGAAACTTACCTCTTAATTCATTTGGCTTTTTTTAGCCCAATCAAAATTTAAGAAGGGGGAGATAATGTTGAAACACTTTCGACCTTCTAAAATGTATTTTCAATTTAGAGTATTGACAAAAACTGTCGCCTTCAATAATTAATGGCGTATCTTTGTAAATTTGTGTGCTTTTATTAAAACATAACTGAAACTTAGCGTACGCATCATTCAACGCCAAATGGCACCATGCAGCACTTAGGTCATACGATCTGTTATAACAAACAAGGCGATGTCTGAGGTGAAAGACCGCTCATAATTTAACTTCGAAAAATCCACTCGTTCGTCAAGGATTATGGCCATAACTTTCAGTTGTCTATGTAAAGAGGAGTAGTATTACGAAGCTTTATTCAAGATCAAAACCGGAACGACAATCGTCACAGCTGAGTGGGCAAACATTAATGCCAGATGTCTATCATATCATTGGCGTAGACACCTACCTATTATTTACATTGTCACTAGGCTGCTAATTAGCTTTGTGAAGGCTAGCCAGTTTGCGCCGGATATTTCTGGAAGATTACAACTCCAACATGCGTTATCACTCGTGCCCAACTTCAACACGGAGTATAACCGCCACTGGCGGGGAGATGGTTTTTCAGTCTTGTCGCGCCGCAGCTGAGACAAATCAGTGAATTCAGCGTTTCTATTCATGGCCGTCGCACTGGAGTGGACTTCCAAGAAACATATGTAAACATTAATATGGCTTCGTTGAACCAGAACAGCAGCGAATCTTTTACGAGCGGCATCGAGTATAACTGCAACAAAACACAGGAGGCGATTTTTTTGGTCCTCTACGCAGTTGTAGGGATTGTCATGTTTTTTGGGAACAGTTTCGTCTGCGTGGTTTTCTTAGCGTCCAGGAAACTTCGCCATAGTTTCATGAATATGTTTCTGTTAAGCTTGTCAGCCTCGGACATCCTAATGGCTGCTTTTGTTATTCCCTTTTACACAGTTCACTGTTTCCGAGACTGTCCTCATTCGCTGACCTCTTACTGTTGGCTTTTAAGAAAGGCTCGAGACTTCGTACTGGCGGCAACCACGCTCAACATTTGCGCAATTACTTACGATCGTTTTCTCGCCATTCTCCGTCCGTTGCAATACGGTGCCAAAATGACAAGACTTAGAGTAGGGGTCATTTTAACAGCCGTGTGGTTGATTCCCGCCGTGGTAGCTGCAACACGCAACGCATGGAATCAAAGAACTGACGACAACGCACAGCGTCACCTTAAAGTCAAGTTGTATGACACATTTGTCGTTATAATCCCAGTGCTTCTGTTTCAGATTGGAATTGTGACTGTTAACATTCAGATAATTCGTAATATTCACAAACACGAACAAGCTGCTAAGATTTGTGGTGCTTTGCATTCACCAGATCAACAAAAAAAAGACCTGAGAGAAATTTCCCGTTTAAGAAAGGGAACAACATCATGTGTTATTGTTGTGATGACATTTGTAATATGTTGGTTGCCAAAAACTGTGCATAATTTTAGCTATATTGTGGATTCTCCAGATCCTCTCTTATCAAGTCCCTTATTTTTCAGAATTTGTTTTATTTTCCTATTTATACAATCGTCTTTCAATCCATTTATTTACACTGTGTATAGAGCACAATTCAGAAAAGCTACAAGGGACATTATCACAAGATTTTATCTCGGCCCAAAGCAACAGAAAAATAATTCTTATCTCTGATTGGAAACTCATGTTGTCAATAGTGTCTGTTTTATTTCATTTGTTATGCATAATGCAATTAGAAAAAGGCCAACAGCTATGTTTTTGCGACGAGATGTCTCGTTTGATATACACGCTATCGATGACATAATCTGTTTTTCCAAAGTGTACAGTTTTCATAATACAATTTGAGAAATGCTTGACTAAAAGTTTTATCATTTTAGGAATGAAGAGGCCTGTTTTGAAATAAGAAGTAACAACGCGATGACTGCTCAAAGCTTGATTTCATTTAATAACTTAAGCCTAGTTTTAACTGACGAATAATCTTGTTGTTAATGATTCGATAGCAAGTGAACTATTGCCAGAACGCTGACCAGGTGGTCCAGTCCTATAGTCATCTTTCATTTGATATCCAATTTTCGGAACAAATCTTCTTTTAAAAAATGCACCAATCCTTCAACATTAAAAATCTCACTTGAGCATCAAGCGCCAGTGATAATAAAATAGCTAGAACTGACCTGAACAGATTCTTTGAAAGAGATCGTGTGTTTATATATTTGCATCCGTGTTTGTCTCAAAAAATTTCGAAAGACAATTAAATCAATTGACACGCAGCGAAATTCGTAATTTGTTTGAAGGAAGGTAAAGCTTTCGAAAATGTGGACATAAATAACAGCAACCTAATAAGATTTAATTCTGGAGATGAAACAGGTTATATTTTCTGTTAAAGCTTTGTCTTTGCCCCCGAGTAGAAAGAAGGAATCCATTCCAATTTGATTTCAGATTTGTTCAAAATCCTCAGACAATCCTTTTACGCAAAATAATTGCTTGATTCGCTGACGTAGAAATTGCCTACTTCGTACAGCATACGCGAACTGTCAGTTTGTGAGCAAATATACGTAAATAAAAGCCAAACTAACGTATCACCCACTGCTGACAATTTTATCTGCCATTTGAAAAATTTGTATTCCTTGGCGAATTTTAATATGATTAAAATGGCCTATTTGTTTGGGTGACATCACGGCTTGAAGTCGAGATATTCTCTCGAAAAATGCATGATCCTTAAGATTTGGCGACCTCCATTGTCTTTTCCAACTTAAATACATAATAGAACGAAGGGGGTGAGTTTCAAAAACAAAACTATGGCGCTGCGTCGTTGAGAGAGTTTAACAGAGTAATTTGGTATTATCACAAGGCAACTGAGTTGATAACGTACATTGGCCACCGTAAAGAGTTTCAAAGCTGAAACTCTATACAATGGCCAATTTACGTTATCAAGTCAGTTGCCTTGTGATAATACCAAATACCCTTAACCCTTTAAGTCCCAAAAGTGATTAACATAAAACTTCTCCCTACAATATCCGTACATTCTTCAGCAAACAGGTAATAAGAATATTCAAACTTATCAGGTAGAAGCTGCTATCTTGATCTAGCACCAAGTTCTCATAACAAATTTATAAGGGAATGTGTAGTAGCTAGAGGGGAGAATTAACAATCAGATCTTGGGAGTTAAAGGGTTAAATGCATAAGACAACCGCTTTGATTTAATACACAGACACTAATTGGCAAACATCTTTGTCGACTTCAACATGAATACACAAAACACGACCGCTCTAAATACATTCAAGACACTTTCAAAACAGTTTAGGAAGAAAAACACGCTTATTTTTTCAGGGGTTCAATAACTTCTTCCATAAGCGGCTGCCGATGGTGTTATAGGCTGCTGTGCCACGAAATGAAACCCAAACGACACGAGAGCCTACACGCAAGCTGATCACAGGCGATGAGAAGTCTTACAGGCGTCGGTAGACCGCCAACAACCGACTTTCACTCGGCCTCTTGTTTTTGATGTATAAAGGTGTTGCCGCTCGACTCTCTTAATGAAATTTCTCGTGATGGGTAAATATTTCTTCCGCGGAAAAAATAAAAGTTCAAGAAATAGATGGCTTTTTACTTTTTAATTTTCTTAGTTCTCAAATTGACGTATGCAAATACACGATAAGATTAGCATGTGTAAACACTTATCTCGGTTTAATTCATTTTGGCCAATCAATTATAAAAAAAAACCCAGACCATCATTACTGCCATAACACCCGATATTTATTGTCGTTTCAATCGTCAGTTTTAATTTAGTTCTTTTAATGTTGAGATATCGTTTTCACAGGCACTGGGTATTTTTTTATTTAGAAGAACCCGCGTCACCCTCGGAAATTCTTCGGAAATCTTCGACAGTCTTCGTTGGTGAAAGTCATCGAGGCTATCTGTTCAATCCAACTTGGTGATATAGCAGCACTGCAAAAACAGCGTTAATTTACTTAATTATAAAGCTTTTGGTGTTCACCAAACCCTGCTGACATGCGTGGGTTTTTCTATGATTGGGAACTCTCTCTGAACGTTCTACGGTGTTGTCTTCAGATTTTATCGGAAGCAATCTGCCCATAGATCCGTTCCTCGGATGTTTGCTTTATTGAAGATTATTCATGGGATTGGAATAGAGGAAGGGATACAAAAGAGATTCAGATGGTTGTCTTAGATTACATAGTAACTGAGATGCTACGAGCCTCTTGATTGGTCAAAAGCCTATCGTTTATTGAACCAGCAAAACCCATAGAAAATTGAAAGTTATTTTATTAAAGAAATACAGTCGAACTTGCGTAAAGCGGTACTAGGAGCCCATCACTCGGAGCTTCCATCTTCCGTACTTACCCTCTGAGTCAACCCTGTCCCGTATCTTTTTATTTTTAGAAGCACCTCCTACAGGGTTTTTCGCGGGTGTTTAACATAATAGCCAATCGCAAGAGAGCTGTGGTCCTCTATTGTTTACGTCACATGCAGGCCGCACGAACGGTGTTTCAATAATGGCGAAAAGCGTGGAAAGTTAATGCGAACGTCAGCGTGTTTTCGCGGAAAATTAAAGAACCCCCCCCCCCCCCCGAACGATCAGTTGTCAAAGTTCCGAAATTGTTTCCTCTTAATCACTGTAATTTTCACCTCTTTTAACCCTTCAACTCCCAAGATCTGATTAGTAATTCTCCTTAATGTCTGCCAAATGATTCTCATTATGTTAGTTTGGAGAATTTTGTATTGGATCAACTAGTAGTCCCATAATTGGTATTTTTCTTTATTCTCATCACTTGTCTGCATGATATTGTATAGCTATAGTTAGGAGAAATTCAGACTCGGTCACTCACGAGAGTTAAAGGGTTAAGCAGTTGCAGTCACCCTTTACTAAGTCCCAACGGTTCCTCAGTTTTAAGAATGCAAAGATATGTTTATTGTGTATTGTGTTACACGTACGTATTTTGAACGACCTTGTACAGCTACAACACGTTAGGTGTCCAAATGAAGTGTTGTTGCTGTCGTTGGTGGTGATAGAGTGCTTTCAAGATTTTTCCTTTTTTCCATGTTACTATGCAGTTTTCAAGCCTTCTTACATATTTCGTGACCTCTAAGGGCTTCTTGAGCTAACGTACACTTGCACTACAATTGTCTGAATGAAATATTTGGCAAAACGTAGCCGACAAACGTCGGTAAGCAGCTTATCAAAGTGGAATTTATCAGGACAACTGTTCAAGAATTCATGTTTAATAGATATTTCTTTCACTTCCCTTTACATAAACGATGAATACGACAGTTTTTTGATGTTAATGAACGCAAGTCGGTATTGAAACCGAGTCAATAAGTATTTCCTTAATTGAAATTACAAAGAGTTTGATATCCAGGCTTCATTTACCGAGTTTAATTCAATGCTAAAAAACTAAGAAGTCTAGTTTTCCTCTAGCTACGTCAAGATATTTAGCAACGTTTTTACTACGTGAAAAATCGCTTTCAACCGTGGAACATTCAGCCTAAAGGAATTATCGCATGCTGGTATAGAGCGTTGTTCGATTGAGTGTCGTAAAACCAAAACTAAGGTAATCACAACAACCAATCAGAAAAAAGGCAAATAATCTCAAGCGCCAATGAGAACTCAAAGCTGCTAGAAGCGCGGGAAAACGGGGTCGTGATTGGGTTTAGTTTTGCATCTGATTGGTTAACTGAGAGGGTGGTGCGAGTTTATTGGGCCAATCACAGAGCAAAGTGAAGCAAAACCAATGCGATACCGGATTAGTTTCCACACTCAATTGAAAATGACTAAGCATCGATCGTAAGGAGGAACAAGAAAGCCAATGATGGAGAATTTAAAGCTGATCACTTCGAGTGCTGAAAGGGTCGTTAAAGAAGCTACGTCACGGATCGTGCATCATGGAAAGATTCAGGATGAGCATTTTTAGGAAGCCTTAATCTTCTTCATCCGTAACCCTCGATCTTTGGTGTTCTTGTACCCTCAATAAGTTTTCTTCATTCCCAACAGATTTCAATGACTCAAAGAAAAGTCAAAGATTGTCAGCTCCTTCAGCGCAAATTTTTTTACGTCTCTAACGCTTCAGCAGCAACCCAAAGGGCAACCAAACAGCTGACTGCTTGATCAAAACTGTGCAATTCGGTGCTTAATAAACAAATTTCGTATCTAATACTATCGCTCTCTACATCTGATTGTTAAGACATTACAAATATAGCCATGCAATCGGCGGAAATTTGAGTCGTTTATGTAAATAATGTTCTAAGTTTATAATAAATCTGCGAAAAAGATTATAGACTTATTAACAAGTCAATCTATAACAAGGAGTAGATCGTTAACTTTTCCCCACATCCCAAATATGCTCGGTCAGAACTCTCTTTATTTGGTTCTGCAACTGAGAAAACACAAGCAGCTGAAATCGAAATGAACAGCTTGTTTTCTTTGATCAGAAAAATGAAAAAGAAATTTAAAAAGAGGCAAAAAAAAACATGGCCACCCACAAGTTGAACGGTCTCTTGAGATAGATTACACGTATGCGGCCTTTTCCTTAATGGCCAAATTTAAACAGTCGTTTAGCGGCCTGCCGAAAATCCGTCCTGTAAAATGAGTAAATGAAAGGATTCACGCATGACTGCAAAAGAAGAAAAAACATGGACAGTTTTACCAGAAGGGGAGTAACCAGATCAGCACGACCAACCACAAAAGCGAAGTTGTAGATTGAGCGGGGAACCCATGACAACACAAACACTAAAACAACTGCAGCACATGCACTGGTTCCTTTTCGTTTTCTAACACTTGCAGCGCGTGTTTCCTCACATGAAAATTCGGTCGAGGAGCTTAATGAGTCTCTCATGGGAATCGTTTTCCTTCGCTGCGTCCGAATGGCGCGAATAATCATCGAGTTGACAACGGTCATTATAATAGCTGGTAACACAACGAGGAGAAAAACTAGTATTACGTTATAAACCTGATTAATAACCTTAGCTTTTTCTTCCTCTTGCGTCTGCCACCATATATTTCTTGCGGTGGCAACGAGAGCAGGAATAACCCAAATGGCTATCACCATACAAGTGACTTTGGTTCTAGTCATTTTGCTGCTGTACTGCAAAGGGCGTAACACCGCCAAATATCTATCGTACGTGATGGCTAATAGGCTGAAAAAGGACGAACTGAACACGATGTCTTTGGTCTGCGCTAGAATCCAGCAAGTGTCCGTGGAGAGGTACTTACAGCCCGCGCAGAATGCGGTGTAACCTGGGACGACCATAATGGCCATGAGAATATCACTAACTGCTAAGCTGACAAGGAAGATGTTCATGATCTGTTGTCGAAGAATCGTAGTGGACAGAAAGATCACACAAGTTAGAGTGTTTCCCGCAAAAATGATCAAAGCCAAGACGCCATTTACGACCCAAAAAATCTTCTGTAAAGTTTCATCACAGGTTTCTGTCGTAGTGTGATTGGGATTGCCAAGCAAGGAGGAGATATTCGTTGAAATTCCCTCCATGCCGAGATCTTCTCCCGCAAGTGAATTACTCGCAGTAAGGATTCCGTGATATCGATAGGTTTTCTTTGTAACAATGGTGCTAAAGGCGATGTGGTCCTCTTTTATTTTTTTCCTGTATGACCACCAGGTGTGCTCTTCTTTGACGTTAGCGAATTCATCACATTATTTCCTTAATAGCCAACAACCTGTCAAAATACATTCATATGTAGATGACTTACCTATTTCGAGATTCGTAAATAGATAACAGCATTTCCCGTGGACATTGAAATCTTTACTTTTGTCTCGTGCACTTTGTTCCGCAATCAAAGAGCCTAGTGTTTCTTCTGTAATGAGTGGATTATAAAACGCCCAAAAACTAGTGCTTTTGTTCTGAGTGAAATTTAATCTTGTTTCCAGAAGACTGCTGGGTTATTGCTTGCGTGCCTCAGGAAGTTGTTTGTGTTTTCAGCCCATGTTCAATAAATATGTCAACCTATAAGGCTCCTTGCGAAAAATTTTACATAAAAATTGGCATTCAGATTGTTGTTAGTTTCCACCGGGGCGCAATTGATTTCCACAGTTTCATTCAAAAACCAAGGAATAGTATTCATTCGAGATTTTGTTTCGGCTAAAGTCTAGATCAATCTTCTTCCTTGCTTTTCTTCTTTCAATTTCTTTTACTGAACTTAATTCAATAACAGAAATTTATATTGCACACTTAAATTTTCGACGAAGGAAAATTTACCCGTTTGATTCGTGACGCGTCATTTAATAAAAGAATTAAATCTAATCAAATTTTTTGTAAAACGCGTCAGAAAGCGTTGTTGTTTTTGCGACAAAATGACCTCAAAGGGTGACACAAAAATAATATACATTTTTCCATTTTTCTGTGTAAAATAAATAAAATAAAATGCTTATCATGATATTTTGACGTCAAATAATTCAAGTGCAAGTTTTTCCGTCACAAGAGCTCCAAGCTTACGCTTGGAACTCACAGAACGCACTAAATCTATCATGCAAAACAAAACCTGAGAAGGAATTGTTTAATAAAGTTTGTGTTTTGTGACTTTAGGCACTGTGATCAAAATACTAAAAGGTCGGTGACGTGATTCCTATCTTTATCAATGCGTGCCGAAATTTTATCATTTGAGAAAAATTAAACAAACTGTCGAAGATTTGACAAGGGATCTTTACCCAAGTCTCCACAAAGTTTACTCAGTTGCTTTCCTCCGTATCATGACCACTGGATGCAACACGAAACTGGGGTAGTAATTCGATCGTCTTCGGATAGAAGACGAATGGAAGGGTTTACTTTCGTGGCTATGAGTCGAGTCAGATAAAGATTTACTCACAGGAAGAAAAAATCTAATTTTAGAATTTACCTGATATGGTCGTGATATCTGGATGTTTTAAGCATTAACATACAGAGATGTTTACCTTGAAATCTATGTGGGTGTTTAGGCGTTCATGGAAAAGACAGAAAAAACAAAAAAAGTGACGATTTTTGCTCATTGAGATGCTAACGAAATTGTTCGTAGGATTTGAGAGGGTATCGTGTTGATAATGGGAAAATTCCAATTTGACTCAAGTGTTCGTAAACATATCAGTAGATTGTTGATAGGAAAATACAAATGGAAAATACCTAATGACGATAATAGCCCCCTTATGACGTCAACGATTTGATCTCAGTCGACGGAGGTGAAATAATGATCTTTATTTACTCGTGTGGGATAGATGCTATTTTAAATGGGACGTTGATATTTCGATTTTTCACTTCCTTCTCGAGATGCTGAGTTGCTAACATGCACCAGATAAAAATTAGAGAAAAAAAAAGGATCATTTTGAGTCTTCTACCACCGATGATCAAAAGCGGAACGGCGCAACTCGCTTTGGGGGTTGTTTAATTTTCATAAAATTTTACATAAACAACTCAAACAAAACAGCAATCATTCAAAATTCTTAAAAAAATGACAAATTTGTAAGCGATCCATATATGGAATCGTTTTCCCCATTTTAAATCAAAGCTATCATTTAGGAAGAATGGTGTTAAGGTGGGTCACGTGGGGGGGGTCATGTGACTGTTTGCGTCAGAAATTAACATGCGAAAATGAATTTAATCTGATTATCTATTTGGTTTGCTCTAAATAGCATCTTAAATCGTTTCAATGGCATTTTCTTTTCGATTGGTCAACAGCTTAAGTGGTCAAAATCTTACCCTGGGAGGCAAATTATGCCTCGCCCATAGGGAACAAATGCGATCTAAGTGAAGCTAAAAAGTTTCTCCTCATTCCCGCCTTTACGAACCCACGGTTTCTTGAGATGTCAACTCGAATCAAGCGTGGCTGCTTGCCTTGGTTTTCCTCCACTCCATACTGGAACCAATTTTGTTTCCGATATCTTTAAGCTACAGTAACTCTCGATTTTAACTTCCGACAAATCGAGTCAATTTTCATTTCTTGGCAGAATAATTACAACCCTCCCTAGCTCGAATCTTTGAAAATTTGAAATGACGTTTAATACCGATGAAGCGCAGTGTCAACATGGACGCGGTATTAAGAAAAACACAATGCACCATACATTTTGTTGATAACCATATCTATTTGAAAATGAATTCGAACACTGCTCTGTTTCCGAAAACTCTTCATGGGTGCTTCAAGCAAACATCGATTTCTAAAAGTGATTTCATTCACTAAGAGAAATATGAACTCTGCAGTAAATTTAGCTATGACGAGAGTGACGTCTTTGATGGAAACACGTACCGAAATTTCCCCAAACTTGGTAAATATTCCTGAATACCTTTGGCTGTGCAAATAAGATTTGTCATCCAAAATGTGTGAAAGGAAGCCACTAGTGTGCAATGTACTTTATACCCGACGTTTTAACACGAGCATTTGGCGTATAAGTACACTTTGACGAGGAAGTATTCGAAAATCCTCAAAATAGTGTCAATCACAACTGACATTTTGCAGATATTATGTTGGGTTACAATTATAAGTAAAATATCTAGGACAAATATTTTAGAGTCAAGCTGTTCACCGAAAACCGCAGATCGTGAATTACCACGACTGTTACGGTCAGTTTCGTTCAAGATCGAAATTGTTGAAACTGCTGAAGGAAAGGTTACTAATAATAAGCATCTAAAACGTACAAAATGTCTATCAATACGAGCAACTTAGCAGAACTCACTGAATTTGGCGACGATTCAGATGATGTGAACTTACACATAGATGGTTCTTGCAACAGAAAAGTCGAAGTGGTTTTTTGGGTCTTGTACTCTGCAGTAGGAATCATTATTTTTATTGGGAACAGTTTCACGTGCATCGTTCTGCTGGTATCGAAACGGTTGCGAAACATCTTCATGAATATCTTCCTTGTAAGCTTATCGCTCTGGGATGTACTGATGGCGATTTTTGTTGTTCCATTTTACGCTATACATTGCAGCCATGGCTGCGAGTATTCCTTAACCGAATATTGTTGGATTTTTAGGAAAGCAAAGGATTGTGTTCTTCTCGCAACGACTTTTAATATATGTGCTATCACGTACGATCGTTATCTGGCGGTGGTTCGACCACTTCATTATGGCGCGAAAATGACAAAGCAACGTGTCATCGTCATTTTGGCCGGAGTTTGGACGGCGCCCGTCGTCGTGGCAGGAATAAGAAGCGCTTGGCACCATTCCAAGATAAACGAAGAATTGCGCTACGCTAACAAACTTTACGACACCATATTAGTGATTGTGTTCGTCATCTTCGCTATTCTTGTACTAATGGTAGCTAATGTGAAAATTATGAAGGCCATTAAAACGCAAAACGAACGAGAACGAACCGAACAAGGGAGACGGGCACTCTGGAGAGCGACTTATGAAACAAGAAAACGAAGAAAAGGAACAAGAGCTTGTGTCTTAGTTGTCTTTATGTTCGTATTATGTTGGCTTCCGAGAATTGTTTACAATCTTAGTTATGTCGTCAAGCCACCGGGATTAGCGAGTCCTTTGTTTCTAAGGCTGGCCTTCCTTTCTCTTTATCTACAGTCTTCCGCTAATCCATTTATTTACTCATTTTATAGATCCGAGTTCAGAAGAGCCGCTTTTAAGCTTTTAAGCAGGCGGAACTCTACAAATCTTAGAATTCACCCTTCTGTTGATTCAGTACAACACGTCCGATCTCAAAACATACAGGATTTAACCCCATCAACGGATTAGTTCCAGCGATCATGGATGTTTGGCGAAGGGTTAGCAGCCAAAATAAGTAAATGTCACGTAAAAGTGTTGCTTCGACTGAATTGTATTAGCAAACAAAGTCTGGAAACGATTGTGGATACAGTTTCTATTAAATTGGAGCAAAAGGCTTTTCAGTAAAGGCTAATTTGCATTCACTGCTTGACATCATGACAAATACTGTTGAAACTGATTACAATTCGTCTCTATTTGATCGTTTAGAGTAAAAAGAAACATGAAAACAGAAAAGCTGAAATACTGTAAAGAGACGCTTAATTCATTAGAATAAGACGCCTTACCTATCCGTACTTCGGGCTGATACTTAATGAAAAGCTTTTCCTTTTTGTCTCTGTCTTTTCCTGCCTTTTTTTCTTCTCTCGTATTTAAAGCTGTGTGAGGCTGGCAAAATCTTTACGAAAATGAATGCATGCATTAAGTATTCACCAATACAAACAGATTTGCTGTCTTTGTTGAATGAGTTGATTTCTCCTTTTTAAATTTGGGGTTTCAAGGTTTCAGGTTTCTACGGTGGTTGCCCGTACTTTGAAAGAACTCAGTCTTGCAATATCTTTATCCCTCTCACGTTTTTTTGCGATTTAAAAAGCGTGATACCACCATAATATCGCATTTTTCAAAGGGTCTTTGTTTTAAAAGCCCAAATCTAAGTCTGTTGCTTAAGAATTTGGTGACAACCGAAAAAAATTATCGTTACTTTCGGAGGAACATAATTTGGTGGTTTTTTACTCTCAAAACTCCATAAATATTTCTGTAAATATTTACATTGCGTGAAAACTAAATACGAAAGTTGATATATATAAATGAAAGAGGAAAGGCAAACTGTAACCTACTATTGAATATTTATACCTTATGGAGTAGATTCCTTTCTTATTCTTAGGGCTGGAATTACTTCATGATATTTCAAGGTGACGTCGTCCTCGAGGTTTCAGGTACGATTACTTTCAGAATGACGAAAAACTAAACGAAACGTTTTTTTTTAGATCAAAGCTGTTTAAAACAACATTATTCAGGCAATGTGATATGCGGTGACAGTAATGTGTGCCAATCACGTTAATCCCGCAGCAGGTTATGTCCAATAAAATAAAGTCTTTGGGTGTAGGCCAATTTTCGCAGCATGTAGCGGACATAACGTAATGTTCGTAAATGGAAACCATTTGTTAAGACTAAAACATGTTAAAATAATAAAGAAAGGCAGGAAATAAAGATTACCCTGTTTTTAGTCCCTTTGTGTAAGTGATCCATTTTTTTCCGTTGTATGTCAGCGATAACATGTTAGACGGTCTCCAAATCAAGTCCTTGAAGCTCTCAATATCGTGGTCTCGATATATTTTGTATCCAACTATCTTAGGTAGTTAAAGACATTCCACCTGTCGCAGCTTGTATGTAAAGATTTTCCACCCAAGTGGAAAAATCATTAAAAGGAGAAAAAAACATCTAATGTTGGCAATGGAAAAAACAAAACAAAACAAACAAGAACAGATCACGCAGAGCTTCCTGCTTTTAACTCAGATATAAATCTAATAATCACCGTGTGACTAGTGCGCATGCCAATTTTCACCTCATGCGATTGACGTCATGTAAAAGTTTTTATTGTTGAATAATGATGCAAAGAAGACATAAAAGTCACAAAAGAAAAACAGGAAAAATAATTAACAAAAATTATAAGACGATTACAGCAGAGTTACTTTCATTTCAATTTTTTTACCTTACTCCGTGCCAAGGATGACTTTATTTGACAAGCTTTCATCAACTGATTAAAATGGCTACCCAATCAAAATTGCCGCAGATAACAATTTCCATCCACCCAACCACATGCAAATTTCAAGTTGAATACAGCATTAACCTGATGAAATATGAAGAGTATTCACTTCATATCAACGACAGGAAAAACTAAACGTGTCCTGGTTTTAAGTATCAAATGACCGAGTGTGAATTTTTGAAAATCATATATGTGAACTGCGGATTAATAAATGAATAACGTGAATGATCTTAGCAGTAACGGTTGGGTATTGCCAGCTGAAATGTTGCGCGGATTATTATTATATTTTCATTATTGGCTCTTTAAGTCATTTCATGTAAGTTGTTTGTTTCAAATGAAACTCAAGCAGAAAGTGAAATGCTTGAGTTAATCGGTCAGCCCATACGACAAACCTTTCGTAAAATATAAAGCTAGCCCGTTACACAGTGCTTCAAAGCACATCAGATACAAATTTGTGGTTAAAATTTAGAAGGCCTTATCAAACTGAATATCAGTTTGTTTTGTCTCAGCATCCCGAAAAGACTTCTACAATATAAATTCGTTGTCTTTATTCATAATCAGGTGGAAATCAATAATTTAGCTTACTGTTCCCTTTACAGTTAATAAGATATTGACAAGGAGAAGTTTTTAAACATCTAAGAGCTTTTTTAGTTGGTGATCATTTCCATTATTCTCGTGACCCTATTGTGTGATTCACGGGTGATATTGTAAGGAGAAATTAGATGCTGGTCACTCCTAGGGGTTACAGGGTCAGTGAAATCGAGGAAACGAAGCATCACATAAGTATGTAAGTATCACAAAATTCTCCAAAAGATCTTTCGCGTCCAGAGAACAAAATCCATGATTAATGGCTTGGGCAAAATTTCACAAAAGTTGTAGGCGTAGAACATTTCTTTGGCTTACGTAATAGCTATTTCATATGAATGAGGAGCCTATTTAACGAATGTTACAAAAATATTTCGGAGTTCTTGACCTCGAAGCATTGTTGGACGTTGCTTTCAGGAGCTCAAGAACGCATGGGTTTTATACAAGTGCAACGTTGACTTTCAGAGTTTGGTCCAGATTTTGGAAAGATTGTATAATTTTATGTTGAGTCAGGAAATTTTCCGGCTCCATTCTGAGCTCTTCCGACTTCTTCCTAAAACGCATAAGCTCTACAGTTGCAACTTTTGCAGTTTCCGCAAGAAAAGACTGGGTCCGAGGTGTTGACGTCATCGACTCCGCCCTTTTAGTTACAAGGCGCCATCTTAACAAAGAAAACGCGGCTTTCCGAAATTCTGTTCTGTAGAACCAATAAATAAATGGATTAAGGGACGACTGAATAAACAGAAAGAGGAAGCAAATTCTGAAGAACAGAGGACTCGCGAGCCCTGGAGGATCAACGATAAAACTGAAGTTATAAACAGTGCGTGGAACCCAGCAAACCATAAAAACTAGAGTTACTATAACACACGCAGTTGTACCCTTTCGTTGTTGAGAAGTCAGCGATTTATTTTGCAAGTCTCTTCTTTCCCGTTTGGCTTGCTTTCGTATGGCTCTGATAATCTTGATGTTTGTTATCAACATTAAAACAACTAGAAAAACAACGAGACCTAACACGATCACACTATCGTAGATTTTGTTGGCAAAGCGAACCTCGGGCTTGTCAAAGCTGTGTTGCCACGAGTTCCGAATTCCGGCTAATAACAGTGGTAATAACCAAACGACAGTTAGCATACCAATTACTCTTGTCGAAGTAACCTTCGATTTATATCGAAGTGGCTGCAATACTGCAACATAGCGATCGTACGTAATAGCATACAAGTTAAGGGTAGTGCCTATCTTGACGCAGTCCTTTGCCCCTCGCATAAGCCAGCAATAGCTTTTCAGGGCTTTTTCGCATCCAAGACCACAGAAAACAGCGTAAAATGGAACCACGAAAACGGACATGAGTATATCCCAAGTGGCGAGACTGACAAGAAGAATGTTCATATTACTTCCACGGAGTTTGGCTGTGGTTAGGAACACCACACAAGCGAAAATATTTCCAGTTAGGATTATCACACCTAGAACTCCGAATAAAATGAAAAACAGTGTTTCTATTGATTCGCTGCAGGTGGCATGTTCCATCTCGATTTCCTGTTTTTTTACACCAATGTCACTTCCTCTTTGTGGCGAAAGTTCTATGGGGAAGAACTTTGATTTATCAAGCCGAAGATCTCTTTAGAAACAGGGTTTAAAAAGATTAAGTGCGCTTTTTGAACTCCGCCATAACATATCACTTCCTCGGGAGTTTGATCATAAATTTATCACATAGACGTCAACCCTCTTACAATATCTATATAAATACGCTTTGACATTGTCCTTTTAAATTCTATTTTGTCAGGCGTGTTGTCATAGGAAACGAACGAGTATGTCCACTCAATATGAATTTGAATTTGCAAAGGGGTAAAATTTGTCATTTTTGTCGCTGTTTTCATTGTCAGCTCCGAAGCAAATCTGGAATCACCAAGATATCGAACACAAGGAGCAAAGAGCATCGAAAAAATGGCAAAAACCTCAACGACTGGCAATGAATACTGAACACGATGAAGATATTAACATTTTAAGTGACTTTGAAGTGACCATACGCCGTCATCACAACCTTTAAAAGTACACACGCGGACTCGGCTGAAAATTCAATGCAATTCGATGAGCAATCTCAGAAACGCTTGAAAGAAAAGGAATATACTTCTATGATATATTAAAAACAAGGATTTTATATCCAGAGAAGTCAGAAAACAGGAACAAGGGTTTACGAAAGTCACCCTTTCTCTTTGTGCATTAACCCCATAACATCGGTAATCTGTTTATGTAAATGTGGTCTTTGTATGACCTACGTAATTAAAAGTTTGCTCTCAGAAATACAGCTTCTCGATAAAAACCAGCGTCTCAAAACGCATCACTGCTTCTAAAAATCTGAAGCTAGCATCTCCTTTAAGTAACCATCCATAGAATACGGTAGGAGTGCATGGGGCTTAAAATAAAAGGTCCAGTTTGTTTAATGCTCTGTGCGAAATTTTCAAACAAAGAAGATTTATAGAGTCCGGTAAAAACCCTTCTTCGGGCGCTGATAAATCTAATGGACATCAGGGAAGCGGATGCTTGAATACGAGATATTGCATGTAAAAATTGCAATAACAAATGAGTGCCTGGAGGAGTACAGCCAAAATAACAAACAACGAAAAGAAAAAACTGCATATAGCTGAGCTAAAAAAGATGAAAAGCATAATATTGAAAATTCTTTCCGTTTGTCAGCTCTCAAAGTAATGCGATCTTCTGTCGTACCTTGGTGGAAAATAAATAGAGAAATCATTTTATTTCCCTTCTTCAAACTCAATTAGCTTCTGATATTCGATACAACTAATAGACTTATTTTTTCAAACATGCTGTTGTGGCTTAACAAACCTCGATTTTTAAAAGACTTGGTTCAAGTTTTTTTTTCTTTTTCTGTTATAGTTAACGACGAGTTAAAGAATTAGTGGGATTTTCCCTTAGAAAATTTTAAAGAGATTGGTGAATGTAGAAAAAACAATCGTACGACTTTATCATTAAAAAAGGCTTGTTCATTTTTCCTTGGAGTAATATTTGAATAAAAATACCACATAGAAATCTACTTCAATATCAACCGACAAGACATACAAGCCCGCATACTGCCCATTTGACGTTTATCCGATAATATATAGGTTCAGTTTTGTTGCGAATTACTGACGTTTTCCTCAATAGGGGAGTATGCATCCCACCCCAAAAGAAAACAAAGTTCTACTTTCAAAGCCAGATAGTACAAAACTGTACCCGCTAAGTTCTTAAATAAAATTATCTTACCTTTCAGGCTAAAGATTATCAGGCAGAATCATGTGTCAAGTTGGCGTTTACTGAGAGTCCTCCTGTTTTCTTTTAATCTTCAGATTGACAGTGCATTAAGTCCATTTTAAACATGATAAGTGCTTACGCTGCATGGACCAGTCATATGACAGCTATGTTGTGTCACTCGCGTTTTCCGATAGGATGTTATGATCTGAAGGTAAAACACTTAAACAAGTGCTGTAAAATGATGAGACAACACCACTCCCGCTTATTTAAAATGTCAGTTATGCATTAAGGTGTGCCAATAACCATATTCATCCAAATAGATATGCAATATCTCTTCGAGTGTTCAAGTCGATATTAAGTTGAACAAGAAGAGAGAAATTCAATATCTACCAGCAACTATGTCTTTTTTTTGTCTACAAACCTTTACGAACAAGGAAAGTGACTTTATTAATTGTAAACACTTTGTTACTCATCCTGACAGAGGGCCGCGTAAGACGAGTGACAGGTCAACAACTGATTGGCGACATCAAAGACTCCTAAACAATTATCGTAATTTTGCAAGTGTGCGGTTACGCCTTTTCTCAGGACTGGGCGCATCCTTTTAAAACACTGCAGTTTATGTAAAAAAGGAAAGGAAATTATAGGAAAAGGGAAACTCTCTCCTTTCCTCCTTCCCATCATCCTTTCGTCGGGACAGCCCGGGTCCTCTTCCGCGAACTGCGACCGCGCGTGAAAAATTAGAGAGAGCCTCGGACGAGTCAGCTGTTTTCCATAGTTAAACAAATAAACGAGCGATTCCGGTGATATAGACTGCAATAATATTCTATCTTTTATTTCACGTTTCTTTTCTTTTTATTTCTATCATCCTTCACATACATAAAATTCGTCCGTTGTAAAGTGAACGTAGGTTTTACCGATCATAAATCAGTTACTGGATTATCATTTATCCGTAAAAAGAAGTGCCTCTGATCATGATGAGTGGAAATAACTACAAGTGTAGCTTTTGCTGTTTTCTGTGATGTGTTCACATCCTTTCCCCAATGATCTTTTTTCATAAAGAAGTATAGATTTATCAAGAGATATACTAAAAATGCTTTATTTATGAATTCTATAGAATATTTAATTTCTTTACGCAAGACATCCCCCCAAGAAAAAAATCTCTTAAGTATTTATCGAGTTCATTTTAGATATGCCCTTTCCACTTTCTTTCGAAAGTAGCTCATTAGCTTTTTTTATGTAGTTACTTAAGTGGCCGTATTGCGGTGGACCTTTGAGTTAATTCAAGTTGACAACAAATCAAGGAGCGGCTGGCTTGTCTAAAATCGGATCTCAAAAATGAATAAATGAAAGGATTGGCAGATGATTGTACAAAAATGAAAAACCATGCAGTCTTCTCTAATTTTCCACTGACTAAATCAGGCCTCCCAAACACAAAACTAAAATTCACGAAAGCCAGTGGCAACCAGCTGATTAGAAACGTAAACACAATTAGAACACAGGAAATTGTTCCTTTGACAGCTGTCATCCTCTTCAAGCGATTTCTAGTTTCTCCTGTTTCTGTTTGTCGGACATGGATCCTGCCTCGCTGTAATCGATTTTGCCTTCTTATTTCTTGAATCACTTTCACATTCATCCCTGAAATGACAACAACGGGCATCAAAGCGAAAGCGAACATTAGTGTACTGTTGTAAATTTTATCGACTTTTTGCGCCTCTTTTTCGGGCTTCGTATGAAGCCACGCGTGTCGTAAGCTGGCCAGAAAGATACTGAAAACCCACACCCCAGTTAAAATAAGACTGACGCTTCTTTTTGTCATGTAGTTGTAATAATGTAAAGGCCATAGAACGGCGAGGAACCTGTCGAACGATATCGCAGCCAAATTAAACACCGTACTACCGAAGGCGACGTCTTTAATTCCAGCCAGGATCCAACAATGCTTTGATAAAGCGTATTTATTGCAGCCATTGCAGAAGACCGCGTATCCGGGGATGACAAACACCGCCATCATCAAATCTGCCACTGCTAAGTTCACCAAAAAAATGTTCACGTAGTTTTGTCGAAGTCTTCTGTTTGTAACAAGCACAAGGATAGTGATGAAGTTCCCGCTTAGTATAATCACACCTGCTGTGCCATTGAGGACCCAGAACACCAATTCTAAATTCTTACTGCACGGAGGAATACTCTTTGTTGGTCCTAATGTTCTGTTCTCCATTTTTAACAATCGATTTTAACTATTTAAGAGTTGCGCTTGACTGCAAGGAAAAGGAACTGAATGAGTTCTATCACATCAACTTTTAAAGTATTGAACACGGACGCATTAAAGAGACTGACTTATTTTGTAACAGTTCACAGGATCAGTGACAGATGAGATGGTTCCGGTTTAAGCCAATGAGATGGTTCCGGCTTAAACACACTTGTGCACGGATTTAATTGAGCGCAAAGAGGTCCATTTCGTATTTGCTTTCAAACAGACATCTCTGAACTCGGTACAATATAATTGAAAGATAATTGTTGTCTGTCAAGAACACGTTAGGCAAACAAAGAAAAGCTTCCATTAGGTAATGAGCACTCTCCTTTGGCCTGTTTTTTTTTTTATCACGTCAGTTTATCAGTGTGCCATTTTTAGATCCATGAATCAGCAAAAATGACCGATGGAAAGTTGAAGACCAACAGTTGACGATGGTCTGAGAGTTTACGATCAGTTCAGCTCACAATGAAAAAGAGAAAAAGGGGGAATAAGTCTCTCAAATATGGACTTTCCCGCAAAGAAGCCTACGCTCATCCCCTAAAATACTTTTTACTATGCCTATTGTGAACTCTGTGACATACGGTGAACGTGCCTTTTCTTTCTCCGCACCTACATTCTATGGAACAATCTACCACATTTTGTTAAAAATACAACATCTCTTTCATCTTTTAAATCTGCCCTCAAAACATTCTTCTTGTTTCGGAAATTTTATTTTTGATTTATTTTACCAGGAACTGTACCGAGCTTTCATGTCACCTATTCTTAACCAGTTATTTTGTAGGTTTAAACTAGTTTATTTAGTTTTTCTCCATGGTAACGTAAGCGCATTGAGTTTTCTAAATGCGCCCAAAAACTATGTTATTAATATTATTAGGAACTTTTGTTGAAAAGTTTTACAAGCGTTTTTTCCTCGATCCAAACCAACCTACCATTATTTTTTTGCTCCGTTATGCTAAATGAACTCCCAGGAAACACGATACGTGCACAGTTCGACATGATTCTTTATTTATCTTTTTTATGACTGGACATTCTGTACATCGTGCATTTATTCCTCAATTTGCAATTTTCATCTTCGATGGATGCTCTTAGTTGAAAATGTAGGCCCCCTTTCGAAGAGAGATTACCGGCGTTGTTTAGTTATATCACGTTGAACAGCTGTAAGAAAAGCATTCTTAGAGGAACATGATATGGTTAAAGGAAAAGTTAAAGGAAGCTTATTTATTACTCTAATCTTGAAATTTTACGCTAAAATCAGAGACAAATATTTACATAAGTTTACAGCCAGTAGCGCTCTCCTTTTGGTTAATCAATTGTATGTGCATTTCGGGATGACGTTATTATCTCAACTGTTGAGTAAGGGCGGCACCGTAATAAACGAGAGGCAGCTTGTCGAAACTCCACTCTGTAAAATGAGTATATGAATGGGTTTAAAGATGATTGCAAAAACAAGAAAAACAATGAGAGGTGGATTAGAAGTGGACTAACTAAGTCTTTCCGACGAAAGAGAAAACAAAAATTGTAAAATATACGGGGTAACCAACATAAAACATAGATTAGGACGACAACAACGCAAGCTAGAGTCCCTTTCAGCTTTCTTACATTGTTCAGTGCACGAGAACGTTTTGTAGATAAATTTGAAGGGAAATTTTGAACTGCGTTGGCGACGTGAATTCGTTGAACCTGCTTTTTAATGACAATCAGAATTCTAAAATTAATTCCAAGTAGTAAAAAGAAAGGAATAATAACGAAAATGAAAGTCAAAATAATTGAATATGTTTTGTCGATGAAAAGAGCCTTCTCTCTTGAACTACTGTGCTGCCAGAAGTTTCTTGTACCAGCCAAAAGGACTGGTGCTCCCCAGACCATGGCGAGGATGAAAACCAACTTCTTTCTTGTCATCTTAGAGGTATAACGAAGAGGGTTGATGAAGGCTTCATGGCGGTCCAATGAAATAGCTAAAAGGTTAAAAATATTAGCTCCAAAGGCAAAACCTTTCAGGAATCTGATCGCCCAACAGTATTTAGTGAGTGAATACTTGCAACCAGAGCAAAAAACCGAGTAGAACGGCACAACAAATACTCCCATGCTTATGTCAGAAATGGCCAAACTCACGAGATAGATGTTCATGAAGCTGCGGCGAAGATGTCGGGTCTTTAGAAACACCGCGCACGAAAGAGAGTTTCCCGCCAACATCAGGACGGCGATGACGCTATTGATGACCCAGAAAACAACATCCAGCGTAGGGTTGCATGGAACCCCTTGAAATCCTTTCATATCTGATATTTTAGTGGACTTCTAGACAGCTAAGGTTATCACTTCAACTTGGAGTCAGCTTCAGATCAAAATTTCAGTCTGATATGCTGTATCATCCCAAATGTTTCCTTTCTACTGTTTATTCAAAGAAAAAATCCGGCAGAACTGCGTTTTCTTTTTCTCGGCAGCTGCAGTGGCAATTGAAAAGGTTATTTAACTTAGATCGAAGTGTTAAATTGGCCTTACATCAGATACAATCTTTCATCTACGAATCCTAGACCTAAAAAGATTAAGCTGCTCAAGAAACTTATTTCCTTTTTTTCACAATACTAATTTATCCTATTGTTCGCAAAAGATAACATATCCTTTATTACATTTCGTCGTTTTGATAAGCCAAAAGTAATCTTTATTGTCAGTCTAAATTTTAAAACTTATTGTTTATTCAAAGACATTCTTTATTGCATCGCTCTATTTTGCTACTTCTACTTCAAGCCCGGTTATTGCAGCAGGATGAAGTTTGGATGGATAAAGAGTACATGAAGTCTCTGAACTAATTTTAGGCAGGCAAAGTGAAGTTATATTAACGACACCAGTTTCCGATTCAGGTCTTATCAGTCTTGTCAGTTAGGTTGCAGCTTCGAATCAGCGGCAAAATTTTGTGGTTAAATTGAAAATGTGAATTATTTAAATAAATTAAAAAAAAAAAAAAACGTTGCGTGCTTTTGGACAATTTCATAGTGGAATACAGACAGATCTGTGTCGGATTGGCTGTAAAATCTTCAATCCGCATAAGTACGTAGGAAATATGATGTACAAATCCCAGCTTAAGTGGAGGTTATCGATCTCTTTCATTTAATAAATCTCTTCAGACTTCAAAAAAGATATTTGTGGGCTTATATAAAATTCTGCCCTTTCAGTGAATGTTTTGAGAACTGTCGCACACTTTTGACGCATATGTACTTCAGAAAAATTACCAACCACTGCAAACCACTTCTAAACTGTGAAAAATCTTTAATTTAGATTTTCGCGATCGGATTGATATAAATGGCACGTAAAATCTTGCGGGCACGGTTCTCTTTTTACTTTGCACAACATATCTAAGTTTTAACACTATTTGAATTATAAAAAAAAAACAGATTAGACACATGATAAAAATTCATTAGCGGACATTGTCTTGATTCTCTTTTAAATCAAACGCTTTTCCCCATATTTGCTCTGTGGCAGTTTGTAAATGAAATCTTTTCAAATAGGTACGTCAGTATAATTTATGTCGTGTCTTTTCATGTCATGGAAATTTTAAAGAATGGCAAGCAAAAGTTGACATAATGTATTTCAGGCAAGGAAAAAAATAAAGAAAATTAATTATTCTTGGGAATTTGCTAACAAAACGCGTGAAGAAGGTATTATTTGTAATAATATAAATAATATGTTTTAAGAACGCAGGTTCTTTAATTTGTTCATTTCTATGACTCAGTATCAGTGCTGGAGCCTCGAGAGGGAATCTTTATGACGCCAGACTTATTATTTTCCTAGCTAATAACATAGCAAACAGTATTGTTGTTGCAATCCTAGCGGGCGACCTTTATGGGTTAAGGCATTGTTAGCTTGTACAATAGTACACTTCCTATCATACCTATAAATTTTACAAACAAATTTTGTTACGCTGTGCCAATATACTTCCAGCTGAAATGTACGAGAGGAGCAGTGCGTTTAGGCGCTTTATAATGGTTTCGCCCCACGGCAAGTGGCCCGCTCTCACCTTTACGTGGTCGCCTCTTGAAGTAAAACAAGCTCGCCCCTACCTTTACCAGTTCGCCCTCATCTTCGCCCAAAATGTTTCAACCCTTTTTCCTACTGCGTAATATCTTCCTTTAATTTTCTGTCGAAATCATAATACAATTTGATCAACATGCAATTTTACAGCAGTTTTGAAGTAGTTTAATATTCGCACTCCTATTTCGTTGGGCTTTAACGTTTCATAGCGACGTAGCGTGGTTTCGTGGTCAACATTTGATTGAGAAAAACAAATTTCATGTTGAAGGAAACATATTATGATTTTGACAGAGAAGCAATATGGTATTGCTGAAAGGTAACGAGTCGAAAGATTTGAAGACGAGCTCAGAGAAAAGTGGGGCACGCGTGTTTATTTCGAAGGGGCAAAGTAGCAGAGGTGGTAGTGGGCGAACTTGCAATGGGGAGAAACTTCTAGATGCCGTATGAGTCTTTTGAGCGGCGGGTTGTTTATTTCAATTTCATTTTCGCATCTTCCATAAAGGATTCGCTTCAAACAAATTACTAGTTGGAGCTTTTGAAATTAATGAGAATGTTTTGAGAACGGAGCCTAGATGGGGAGATATATAAAACAATACTCTCAAGACTACGACACTCGAAACTTTCGTTTACCTCAATTGCTGGGAGAAGATCGTCAAAGACTTTATTTCTACGTAAATTCACTTTGACCAAATTAATTTTTTTGCCATCATAGGTAAAATAATATGATCAACGTTTAGCATTTAGCGTCAATCAACTGGTAAATGAAATAGATAAAAAACACCGCAAGATCAAAAGGGTTTTCTACGCGAATACTGTTCGGGTGTCAATCTATAAATTATTAATCGACTTTAAAATTAATTATAAATTTCAAGTTATAATTACAGATGTTTCCTTTATCTTTTTATTCCTAATTATCAAGGCCTTCGCATGCTCGTTTATTGGAGAGGCGTCTCAAAAAAAATCTAGAAGACTCTATTTCCGTGTGCATAGAGTAGTATGAAAAAAAAAATCATTTCAAATGGAGGTAAAAACCCTCAAAAAACAATGAGACAACTAAGCTTTAAAACGTTATGATCTTGAACCGATAGAAATGCGAAAACTATGGTGAATAATTATGAGATAAGAAAAGATGTTACAAAACGGGGCTCCCTACAATCGCAACGATAAAATTTTTCATCTTTAATTTGTTTGCTCGCTCGTTCGGAGGCAATTTCAGTATTGTTTTTCCTTTGTCATATGGTATTAAATTTGTCAGTTTGCTGTCGAGATCAACTGAGAGGAAATGAAAAGGCATGTCAGCTTCAGGTTGTTTTCCTCCTCCGTAAAATTCACTTCGGTGTTCTGAAGTGTTCATTTCTTGAGATAAAAGAGTGGATTAATAAAATGAAAAAAAAAAATGATTGGCGCTCCATTTAATAGAACTAATTAAAAAGCCAGAGAGTAATTAAAATGCAGTAAGACTGAACTATTTTTTCGTGTTTACTCTCTAACATTTGAGCAACGTCAACAAAAGCGAATGCAAATGAATTTTTTGTGAAGGTTATGTCATTGGCTGTTTTTCAATAGTTGCCATAAATAAATTAGAAAAGCACGGTCTCCCTGTTGGAAATCGGTAACAGTTTGCATTTTGCATTGAAGTGAACCACCTGCAAAACTATTGATACCTTCCTCTTTATTTTTTTTTTTTCACAATTTTTTACACGAATTTATAAATTAAGACAAAAGGGTCTCAGGTAGTCCTTTGCGAACGTAACTGGTTCATTTTCAAAACCATCAAGCACTGATTTTTCTTCGGCTGAGGAAAGTAATGTCTTCAGAAGGAGAGAACGTTTCTTCTATTCGCGAATTACCCAACACTGAGTACTACTGCAACGAAGCTTTGGACGAAGCATTTCTAATCGTGTACATTGTTTTAGGCCTGGCAATTTTCGCGGGAAATACCTTCTGTTGCATCGTATTTTTGGCGAATCCTAAGCTCCGAGGATGTTACATGAACATATTTTTGGTGAGTCTCGGATTGGCTGATATTCTTGGTTCCATTTTGGTAATTCCAGGCCACTGCGCGTTCTGCACAAACTGCTCCAGGAATTTCAGTTTGAAACAGATCGTAGATGAAGAAACATGCAGATTCTTTGACGCCGTAAAGGACTTCGTTTGGTTGACGTCTGTCCTCAGCCTTCTCGGAATCACTTATGACAGATATTTAGCAGTTATTCAACCACTTCGTTATCAGTGCAAAATGACGCCACGAAAAGTCTCTGCCGTCTTAGGAATAACTTGGCTACTGCCAATCCCATTTTCCTTCATAAAACCGATTATTAATGATGCGGGAGTGGACTTCCTAAAAAAAGGTTCGCGTAGTGAATCTATCTTTGACATCCTTGTGGTACTAACGCTCGTCATCCTTCCAATGACGATTATATTCATCGTAAACTTTATGGTGACAAAAGCCATAAAGAACCAGCTTCGGAAAGTACATTTCGAACGACAGGAAAGCAGAGGAGACCAAAAACCGAAAGACAACCGACGAAAGACGATTTCCTGCTTGATCGTTGTAGTGGTATTTTTAATTTGTTGGTTTCCCCGATGCTTGTTGAATTTTATGTTTTTATTTAAAATTATTCAGGAAAAAGGCTTACGCCTTCTTGAAAAGATATCTTTGGTATTTATTTTCCTGCAATCGTCTGCCAACCCTTTCTTATACTCCTTTTACAGAAGCGACTTTCGCAGAGGCGCAAAAACTTTAATGCGACAGGTGATTCCACTAGGATCAAAAAGTTCTGAACATATCGATCAACCTAGAAAGCGCTTCGACACCCAAGAATCGAGGGTGGGGCCAGATTTAAACGAACAACCGACTGAATTAAAACTTCAGGAATTATGAACTCTTATTACCGCTAAGTCTCTTTAAGATTTGATCGCATTGAAATTCACTAGGCTTAGAGTTTGTGCGTGACATTTTGAAATATTAATATCAACAATTAGCGAAAACGCAGCGTATTCAAAAGATGAAAACATTTCATTCTCAGAAAACCATAAAATTTGAAGTTACAGGAGCAGAGAACCTTCTCTCTCTCTGTCATTTGAACTAGAGTTATTTGAATAATAGAGTTGAAATTTCCGTTAGAAAACAAAATACGCTGTTGTCTGAATGCACATTTTAACCTTGCGGCTGAATAAATATTGAGGAGAAAATTGTTTCAAGTTTTTAATCTCTTAAGAGTTTGTTTTATGCCATTATATTTCCTGAAACAGCTTGTAAAAGAAGCAGTTGTTCTCTCTTTTTGAGAATATCATATCCAGCTATTCACGAAGGCGATGACTTTCTCCCGAGGGATACAGATATTCTAACGACAAAGTTCGTTCGCCTTCATATATTTAAGTTATTTACTCAATTCTTGTCGTGTTGTAACAGCTGCCCTTAAAAGACATCTCATCTGCGCCTATTTTAACAATTAAATGAAATGGAAACCGCAGAGCAGACACGTAGTCTTTGCAGTTTGCGTATAAGGACCACGAATGCGCGTCAAATTTGCGCGATGACACCATTCACGGCAAAGACCTTGGTGTTTGTTCCTTGATTGAAGTCAGCCAAGGAGGCATTTCGTAAGGAAGTCGAATTGCCATCATCTAAATCGAAATAGGGTGAAAAGTTACGGTTAGTAACGGGTTTGAAAGTTGCCAACCTCCCACAAGACAAGGAACTTAAAAGCGAGGCAAACAACGTCGGAAGTTTTGCAAAAGTGTCGAAGTTCTTTTGTTGCAGCTGAAGCGGCTTTTTTGTTTTAAATGGAATGGTAAATAACAAAAATTACCACGGTTGGACTCTTGACATAATTTTTTTTTTTAACTTTCATCAACTGAATTAAAAAAAATAAAAAGAATAGATTCAAGGCGGAGACTCGTGTATTGTATGACAGCAAGTAAAACTTATTTGTTTTTCTTGACAGAATGAACAAGGACCACGTGACTTAGAAGTGCTTTTTCATTTTTCCTTAAGGGGAGATATTTGCACGTTTCGCATATCATATCATGTATAAGGGTGTTTATTTTCCTCTCCAAGCTACTCAAGTGACTTAATTTTTTCTTAGATTTCACAACCTTATTGAATGTAAACTAATCTGAGTCAAAGCATATTCTTGCGTCAACCATCCACTCACCCAACAAAACACTTCATCAAAAAGAAAAAATTCAAAAAAGAAAAAACAAACAGTAATCTACTCTACTGGTCAGTCAGCCAGCGATCGAATAATTCGACCCGCAGTAGTGCCCATATCACTAACCAATTTATTTGTCTGTTTTGTTTTCTCTCACTTAGAAAGTCAGGGAGTCTTATTCCCCTCCACTAACTCAAGAAAAAGACCATTTACGTCACCCATTCAATCAATAGGATGAATCCAACCACCTATCCGTTGACTCACTCAGTGTGCGACTTATCTCTTCATGCACTCAATCAACGCAACCAAAGTACTCACACTCGCTCTCTCTCTCTCTTTTTCTCTCTCTCCTCTAGTGCTTGTTCTTTCTAGTGACATTTACGTACAGTTATTGCCGTTATGTGCAATTACAGCGCTCCCTTCTCGACCGTGATGGAAATACTTAGTCGATACGGTCGTATGATATACTTATAACCCTTGAAAAGGTGGAGATTTACGTTTATAGAGAATAACAGGCTGCGATTGTTAAGTTGCAGCCCGGAGAAGATTTTAAATTCTCATACCATTAGTGTTCTGACAGAAGCTAAACAGGACTTGAGGTTTGTCATGGCGATGGTTGCTTGCGAAAGTTTCGGCCTCTCGAAGGTCTGAGGTCTGATGATTCCTGCCGTATGTTGATCATGACCTGGTCGGACTTGTAACGGCCAACGCTTGCATTTCACTCCCTAGGGAGGATTTTTCATTTAGCTCATTGCGCTTTACAGAAGCTGTTTTTCATTTCCTCTGAGTGTAAGTTGGTCGCACTTGATCGCTAGGGCAATGACATGTGACGTCATCATACATGTCAAGCCATGGTATGTCGAGTTAGTCAGTTTTGGGAACTAGATGAAAACGTTTCAAAACGCGCGGAATTCTGAAATTTCTCGGCACCGAGTTTAGTTTTCAAGATCTCTCTTGAGATTTTCCTATTCTTAAAGAAATCCTAAAGGACGACCAAGAAAACTCGTATACGGATACTTTTGCATGCTTGCCTTCCTTGCGAATTCAACCGCTTTTTCTCACTCCTGTTCGACAATGCGCATGCTCTGTATCAAACGATTTTGTAAGCTACGGGAACTTGCTCCATACCTTAAGTACCGAATCTCAGTAATCTGGCGACGGCTTGTCGGAAGTCAGCTCTGTAAAACGAATATATGAAAGGATTCACTGAAGACTGCATCAGAAGGAAAAACATAGACAGCTTTTGCAGCAGTGCGTCAATTTCATGGGTGTCTCCACTGACTAGGTATTGGATGTTAAATGAGATCCGTGGAATCCACGAAACCACAAATATTATAACCACGAGGGCGCAAGCAATGGTCCCTTTTCGTTTCCGGTTCGCTTCTGCTCGAATTTCTTCAAGGTTTTCAGCTTCACTTACATCCTGTGGGTTTCGCATCACAGCCACTTGACGACCTTGTACTCTGATCGCTATTATGATTTTGATGTTGATAATGGAAACCATTATGGAAGGAGTGACGAGAACAACTGCCATGAGTATGCTATTATAAACCCCGTTGACTGCAGTTATTTCGGGGCCAGTTATTGTAAGATAGAGAATGCTGCGCACGACAGCAGTGCTGACTGAGACGCTCCACACCGCGATTAGAATGTTTACACATCGACGTCTGGTCATAACGTTCTCGTATTGGAGAGGTCGGAAAACTGCCAAATAGCGATCGAAGGAAATGGCGAATAGATTAGTGATACTCCCGGCGAGGACAACGTCTTTCGGAAATTCAAGAAGCCAGCAGTAATTACTCACAGCGTACTGCCTACAACCCAAGCAAAATGTTGCATAGCCAGGAGCCACAAATGCGCCCATTATCATGTCCGCGATAGCCAAAGACGCGAGAAACAAGTTCACCTTTTGCTGTCGAAGACGCGAAGTAAACACTATCGATAAAAACACCACTGCATTACCAAAAACAACGATTGCACCTGTAATGGAGTTAAGGATTATGAATGTCTTCTCTAACATCTGATCGCACGACAAATGATTTTCGGTTTCATTCGACATCGGCTGTAGTGAATCGTTCGTAAACATCATAGTGGTTCGTCAGGCAGTTGTCACTGATTTCTTACCAAAACGTAGATGGTATTCTTTGAGCGAAGACTGCCGGAGCCTGATTAAAGGTTCCAACCAGTAGAGTTGTCGATTGGTAAACTAGTTGTCAATTGCCTCTTAGGAAAACTACACGTCGACTGATATATCCCAAGCAGTCCCTCCCATTAGCGCAAGAGCTTAAGTTTACTTTGTGTTACGGACAGGTTCGACTGCATGAAGGAAGTCGCTTTCAACGAATCTTAATTTTTTGATAAAAGTAGAGATACCCCACGACAATAGCACCTTCGGTTTGAAAGAAAGCAATCTAAATTAACAGACAGGTTCATAAATCCCTTCCAAAAATTTTATTTAGATGGTGAGTGTCTTTGTTCTCAAAGAAGCTAAGTGTTATCAAGATTAATGTCTTTGGGAATAAAAGGTCGGCTCATTTGAAAGTTTTACTTCTCCCCAACCCCAAACGTTAAAAGTTAAAAACCCTGTAACTGAGAACTAACACGGACAAAATTTTTGTTTATCCATGAGTATTTTCATTTCTGAAATAGCATGTTTCGTGTATTATTAGGGAAGTCTGAAAAGGAAATATATCTTTAATGGAGGACAGCTGAAGTGCTATGAGGCGGAAAAAGTTTAGTCGGTGTATTGTGCATCGAACATAACATATTAAAATTTCCATTTTCGTACTTCACTCTGACGAAGGGCTGATGCTCGAAACGTCAGCCCTTAAACTCTTTACCGTGGCCAATTTACGTTGTCAACTCAGTTGATAACACTAAATTACCTCATTTTCGTATGAGTTTGATCGAAGCCTGAATGGCGGGTAACCTCGATGATTGAAAAGCACTGGAAATTAATAAATTACAGAGACAAAACAAACTTAGAAATTATGTATTTGTTAAGAACGCTCATTACTTTATGATGAAAATTTTTCACAGGCACAAAAAATGGAATATCGTCACCAACCCTTGTTGTTGTAGGTTAAATGTCAACATCATATTCCAAGGGTTCCAAAATTTCCTACGTCTTTTTTCGAGTTAATAATATTCTCTGGCTTTATTTCCTACTGGTTGTAATTAATACAAAGTATACATGGCATCACTAATAATACGATTTAAAAAAAACTCTAATATTTGGGACTGAAAGCTGACAATTTTGTAAGTTTCAAAGCTCTTAAAATTGAACCATCATTTATTAATGATGTAGATAATAATTATTCACCGAAGCGGATGTGAATCGTGGTGGTATTCACTGAGGTAAATAATTGTTTTATTATATACCACAAAGGTACAAAAAAATAGGTTAAGTTATTTTAATATATAGACTGAAAAATAGCCGGAAATTATACTTTTGAGGCGCGATTTTGTCTCAGTCATCACCGACTCGGAAGTGAATAATGCTCGCTATTCACTTTCCGAATTAGCCAATCAGAGGCGCAAAAAGAACTTTTTTCTTGTGTGGTATATACTAATTACAAACATAGCTCTACTTAAGTCCAGATACGTGGCGACTTGTATGCTGTCAGTTTTAACTCCCTCGTCTCGTTTGGGATTCCAGTATGAAGATGTTATTTTTGTAACTTTTTTATATGAGATGGATCTCGATTTCGCATAAGGAAAAGTCGCAAATTGTTACTCCTAGCTTATATTTGTATCGTCCGCATAGATTTGATTGTAGTTAAAGCTAAATTAATTGAGGTAAGTTGCTCTTCGCACAGTTTAAATGCGTATTTGAAGTTATTTTTTGAGATAATTATTTCTACTCAGACATATTGAAAAAGACGTTGTGACTTTGTGGTAATTCAAATGTATTATGAGCGACCGCGTTCTTGCAGCCGTGAAAATCTGGTGAAAGCCACCTCTTCGACAAGGTCCGCTACCACGCATTCCCCGAAACCAAAAATTATCTCATTACATCGATTACTACATACAAAGTTTCTTCATTGTTTTTGTTGTTCACACTTTTTGTCTTCGCTTTTTCATTGAGAATGATACCACTTGTAAAAATCTGTTCTCTAAAAGAATCGATGTCGAGAGATCTGCTGAGTCGAGAAATTGCTTGGAACGGGAAAATACTCTTTAACTCAAGGCAGTACTAGCTAAGAAAATTTCACTGATGGGTCCTCTGGAATATTCTGTCGCGCCATTAATCATGCGGCGCCACGAAATGAACATATCGGCATCATTTTCCGTGTGAATTGCTCTGAAGCCACCCTTTTCACAATTAATTCTTTTATTTTCAAGTTCACTTCCCGTGTAAGTGAGAATTGTTTTTTTTTAACTTAACAAAGAAACAAGCTTTGAAATTGACAAGATAAGAGTATGTTTTCGATTTGCATCGGCTTTCGTCGAGAGCATTCGAGTCTCTTATTATAATATACAATCTGCGCGAAATAAATGAGTCATTGCGCACGATTTTTGAAGAGTATCTTAAGTGGATTTCATCATCTGTGTTTTCTTCTTGCTTATAGTCTTTAAACCAGACCGGATGCTTTAAAAATTATCGTATTACTCGCACCTTCCCGCATCAACCACTGTTTGTAGAAAAATTAACAGATTACCCGCGGGTAATCGGCCGGTAAGTGTTTTACATTTAACGATAGAATTTCTATCAAACACATGCAGTTAAAGGGTTCATCAGAGGCTCTGGACACCTAATTTCTAACATAAGATTGTATGTGATTACTCTCTTCTAAGCTTCATGTATCAGTTCAACTGATATACGTTTGAGTACCAAGTAACTTAAATCCTCGTTGTACACAACATGACAACGTTCCAAATCTTTATATCTGCGCTCCCCTTAGGCTTCCCTAAAAGCTGGCGAAGATTAGAATTTCAAAGTTTTTGTCGGTGACAAAAAAAAATTGCCCTAAAAAAATTGTTAAATCGAAGAAATCCTAATTGAAAATAAAAACTGAAACCAATAAAACGCATTCAACTCCAAAGCTAACTCAGATATGTTCAAAATGCGTTGAAAACAAACATTATGGATAGGGAAGATAGCATGGAAGCGTTTTCATTAAGTTTTTTCAAGAATTTGTTCTTGTCTCTGGTGAACGAAAAAAGGAAACTGAATAATAGTCTTCAAACTATCTTGTTATCAAGTAAATATGATATGACCAGTATCTATTTGTACGGTTCTTTAGTTGAAATTTATTCGACCGTCATGTTTATTCAGTGGGAGTATAGATCTCCGTTACAACATCTAGAACATGTATATAGTTTCTTCCAAATCTATTTTTGAAAAAATTCCTGCTTAATTCAGCACTCAGTTTCAAGTTTTCCGTCATAGCTAAATTCAAAACAACAGTACTCTGTAGAAGTTAAATGCTCACAAATCTTCATCTTCGAAATGAGTTTTATCTAATTTATTTCCTGGTTTTCAATTCGCATAAAGCAAACATCCTTTCTTTGAATAAATACGAATCAGAATTTGAATTAGAATTAAGTGAAATTTTTTTGAAGGGAACATTAGATAAATTGTAATTTATTCTTGAAACTCAGCGATTTAGACACATGGTGTTTAACACATTATTTGACAGACTGGATATAAGGCTATATTCAAAATTCAATGTTTAAAGCCAAGCACGTTGAATGGAGCTGTTTTGGACACGCTTTCAAAATATATACCAGGAAAAAGAATCAATTAACACCTGAGCCCTCTATGCCGAAAACTGCCGCAGCTGCCACAGGTTATCACACGCTTGCGCGAATTTTCTTTTGAGATTTTAACCCTCGACTTTGATTCCTTTGTAGATTAGAATTCAAACCTGATACGTCAGTCTCGTTAAATGAAGTGGGTGATTGACAAAAGCTTGATAAGAAACTGGCATGAATGATTCAAGCTGAGGGGCAAGCAGAAATGTGAAGAGACAACACTTTGAAAAATAAGCTAGTTCTATTGATTCTGTCAGAGAACTTCTCTCTTTGGAAGAAGAATAATATCCTTGGAGACTAAAACTCTATTTTCATCGGCATGAATTTCTCGAATTTTTGGGATCCTGACTCGGCGCTGTCTACTTTGTCGACCCCGAGCCAGACGATGCAGACACAAAATATATCCGGGAATAATAATCTTGATTGCAGCTTCCAGCTTGACCTTCTTTTTTGGGTCGTGAACGGTATCATCGGAGCGGCCATCTTACTTGGAAATACTTTCACGTGTGTTGTATTCCTGTCCAGATCTCATTTAAGACAGAATTACATGAATATCTACCTCATAAGTTTGGCTGTCGCTGACATTTTAATGGGGCTTCTAGTCGTGCCTGGATTTGCTGCCTTTTGCAGCGGCTGCACTTACAAGTGGAGCGAATATTGTTGGTTATTTGGAGGTGCTAGAGATATCGCTTTTCCAGCGACAGTCCTAAACCTTTTGGCCATTACTTACGATAGATACTTGGCTGTTCTACGACCTCTGCAATACGCATCGACAATGACGAAACGCAAAGTCTTCTCCGTTCTTGTCGCCGTTTGGGTAACACCTCTTATTGTTTCGTCTGTAAGGAGCATTTGGCAGCATTCATGGGAATCACAAGCCGTTAAAAGTGCTGAGTTGGTTTATAATGCAATCCTTTCCACCGTGTTTGGGTTCTCGCCGGTTCCTATTTTGCTCATCGTTAACCTAAAGATTATGAGAACCATCAAGAGTCATGGAAAGCGAATCCATGTAGACATGATTGAGGGTACGTCGCTCCCTCACACCGACCCTGCGCCAACTTCGGGGCTTAACCAAGAATTTACAAGTAACATAACTATCATTGAGCAAAATCGGAGGAACGCATATCGCCGAAAAAAGGGAACAATGTCGTGTGTTTTAGTTGTTTTAATATTCATTATTTCGTGGCTTCCAAGGCAGTTCCTAAATATATGCATCCTTTTTGGTCGAAGACATTTAACGAGTCCTTTACTTGTGAAACTATCATTGTTTTTTCTTTTCTTTCAATCTTCAGTGAATCCTGCGATATATTCTTTCTATAGAAACGACTTCCGCCAAGCGGCCCGTCGGCTGATAAAAAGGCAGCGTTGATTGTATCATTCATTTAAGGTGTGTATATAGAAATTGTATCCGTTTTTGTTTTTTCGTCTGTCAGATATGTGCGAAAAGGCGATATTATTCCGTAAAAATTTTTAGCTTGTAGTTTTTTTTTCGGTAATAGGCCGTAAAAAATGCTTCTCTCTAAACCACTGATAACTTCGAGGATAACTACGTGGCAGTTACGATTATCTCTGTAACCAAGCGGACTGAGTAAGATCAGCTATTAGCAAACGACAAAAAAAATTTCTAGAACTCGTCACTCAATGGTTGATACTTGACATGCAAATGAGTTTCCTGAAATGCACGCGCCAGTTAGCAGACGGTTTTTTGCTTTACAGATCTAAATTTTCTCAGAACGGCAGGGTTTTGGGGATTCATGAAAATAAAGAAATGTGTTCAAGCGACAACGAGAGTTGCTTTATCTGTTTTTTTATAATTGATAAAGCCTATATGAGTATTGTTCAGTCGGATCTATAACTGTAACTGAGCGCAAAATCGCTAAACTTGATGAAGGCTCTTGTATCGCCCTATCTAAATCAACAATGTAGATATAATGAGTTCCTTTAAATCGCCTTTTTGAGTTCCTTAAATTTTCACGTTTAAGACTCTTAAAATCGCCATCCTAAGTTCTTTAATACGCCACTCTTAGTCCCTTCGCCTCTTAAGTTTATGAAAGTAGCCTCTTAAGGTCCCTTAGAATTGACGCCAATTTTTCGCTCCTTTACAATGTCCCTTTCAAGTCCCTTTAAATTTGCAATTTTGAAGTTCTTAGAATGCCTTTTTAAAGTCCCTTAAAATCCAGCGCCACTTACAAAATCGGTATCTGTTTAACTTTAAAATGAGACGAAATATTTCCATTAATTCTGTACTCTTGGTCCCCACTACTCCAATTTCCGCTATTTAACACTTTAAATTTGGCGCGAAAATTTAATGACATTTGTTATTTGTGAGATGCATGAGGAATAAATAGCAGCGAGCCTACGTTTCTGGCCGATGAGGTCGTTGAAAAAGAGAAATTTTTAACCAAAGGACTGGTTGGCAGTGAACTGAGAAGGTCTGTCAGGATCCATCTAAATGCAATGGATAACGGGAAAGCGACAAAGTGTAAATGACACCGTTTACGTTATCAAAACGGGTTTAGCTGTCTACGAGCTTCCCTGAACCTTTCAGCGCGAATTATAACATGTATATCTTGAAGTTAATTCACGTTTTCTTCTATAAGCGGAACTATTCAGTGATCATGTGACTCGCGCGTGTTTATACATGTTCAATACCATTTCAAACACGTGCACCTTTCAGCGAGCCAAAGCGCTCTTGGAAACTAAGTGGTTCTTCTGATGTTTATTCTGATGCTGCAACGGAAGTTTCAAAATTAAAATTGCGATTGTCAAGTCACATATTATTGCTCTCTCTTTGTTTGACATCTGTAACACTTCTCACAGCTTTTGCGTATGACGTCAACGTTCAATTTGTTCTACACCTTGTGTGGCTGTTATTTACAATTTTAGTCCTAAGCGTGCCTGAAAACAACTACCGGAATAGCTGAATGAAGCTAATAGTGTTATAACAAGTCATGCTTATCCGTTGCATTAAATTTTGTGCTTGCTTGCTTGGTTAAATGCGATGAAAGGTCCTTGTTCCATTTAGTTGCTTTTGACCTGCTGACGGAGACACATTAATTTTTTTTCTTTTTTCGCTATTTTAAAACTGGCGATGTCGCAAGTGTCTTCAAATAATTCAACTATGTTTTCTAGCCATTATCCGGTACATTTTCTAGACTTTAACCCACCCACAAGTGAACTCGAGTCTAATGGAGACTGTAGCCTAGAGCTTGACTTCGCTTTTTGGATCATAAACGGTGTATTCGGCGTTCTTATCCTGCTGGGAAATTCCCTAACTTGCGCAACGTTTTTACGGTTCGAAACCCTCAGGCGGAGCTACATGAATTTGCTTCTGCTGAGCTTGGCCATTTGCGACGCTGCAATGGCCGTGATAGTAACGCCTGGTTATGCCACCTTTTGCACTGGTTGCTCTTACAACTTGAGTAAATTTTGTTGGTTTTTCGATGGTGGCAAAGATGTGTGCCTCCTCACGTCCACATTCAATTTACTTGCCATCTCATACGACAGATATCTGGCCATCTTTCAGCCACTCAAATACCAGGTCAAAATGTCGCGAAGAAAACTCCGTGTGATTTTATCGGTTGTGTGGCTCACTCCACTGTTTCTCGCCTCGCTCAGGAACATTTGGTCCCACACTCGGCCGGAGAACGTTGTAGAGAAGCTCAACAGAACTTATTCATACATCTTACTCATCGTCTTTGTCATACTTCCGATAGTAATCGTGTCCGTTATAAACATAACAATTTTGATCGCCATCAAAAAACAAAGACAAAAGGTAACAGTGCTCAACAGGACCAGTTGTGGAGTCTGGTGGAAAAAGCAAACTCGTATGCAGTATCTTCATTTACGAAAAGGAACTCTTTCTTGTGTTTTAATAGTTGTTATTTTCGTAGCCTGTTGGTTACCCAGAACAGTTTATTACGCTTTTTATCTCTTCAACCATCCAGAATTAGTAACTCCTATCCTCCGAAAAATTTCCGTGACTTTTCTTTTATTGCAATCATCCATGAATCCTCTAATATACTGTTTTTATCGAAAGGAGTTTCGACAAGCTTTCAAAACTTTAATTAAATGTGCGTAGAACTTGACGGCAAAATTTCAATGCGCTATATGGAAATATCTAGGAAATGTCTGCAGGTCATTTGTGTCAACAAATTGAACGGAATTAAAATTCAGCATTCACCGATTCGTTTGTCTTCTTTGAGTCTGATATCATGGGTAGTAAACAATGATTATTTTCTATATTTGAAACTTTCTTTAACTGTTTAGTTTGTCTGACGATAATGCAATCCAAAGAGGTTTCCTGTCTCATAAACCCTTTACATCCTGACATCAATATTTATTTTCTCCACACTATTGCCGTAACATTTCTTATGGTACGGACAAGGAGAATGACAAGCTTATTCAGTTTGCAATCATTTTTCTTATTTTCATGGTTTCAATTCTTGATTGAGCATTGATGCTGTAGGGAGAACTCAGATTCTAGGCACTTTTTGGGGATAAAGTGTCATTTTGTTATTAAATAGATCGCTGGTCAGTCACTCCACCAGATGAGAAGACAGTGGAAAGTTCTGCTGAGACTGTGGTGAGTGTCAAAGGATAAAGTAAAAATCCTGGCTGCCAAGCAACCCAACGTAAATTGTAAGAAAGTTGTTTATCCAATCAACAAATCACCTACAGTCAACCATACATTTTGGTAATGCAGTATAATTGGTCTCTTAAGAACAATGTGGCGTGTATTGTGGGAATAGAGCCCTTGATGAGGACTCTATTCCGCTACGTGTTCGCCATACCCTTCAGTGAGAATGCCAAGCTGTTTTCGTAACAACTTCGCTCGAAATGCACCAAACACAATGAGGCATGCTTTGAAATCGGCTCCTTGAAATACACTCGGTGCCGTCGCACAAATTTGACCCATTTCCCTCAGGAAATTCAATCTAGATGCCTGCCGTGTAGCTGATGTTCGTACAGCTTTGATTGTTGGGCGCTCCGGCGACACAATGGCGTCCACCGTTCCTCTTTGGCTTTTTCTTTTCCGTCATGTTGTCAAGTGATAGTACAACAACCTGACGTCACAGCCTCAGCTCACGTGACTTTTTGGCCGCGCGGTCGAGGGGACAAATCGAAGTACGAACGGAAAGAAAATACCTAAAAGTATTTTTGAAGAATCCTAACTCTCAGACCCTTTATCTTAATTATATATCTAGTTACCTAAAGACGGTGTACAAAATTTTGTGTCATGTACACCTTAACCGGCTGTTAAGGTCGAAGAATGCGGTTTGAGGACGGTCTGTTTGAGAGAAACTCATTTCGCCGGTGAACAAATCATACATCTTAGTATAGGAATTCCTAAGAAGAATTTAGCCGAACACTTGCTTATGATTAACAAGTATACAAATGATCCCTAATTCATTTGGGAAAAGACAATTATATTTGCTACCGTTTAAGTACAGTAAGTGGATTTGAATTCAGCAAATTTTCACTGACACGTGTGAATTGGTATTGCCTCCTAACTCGGTGAAATAAGACTTCTTAAGTCGAGAATGATCAGAAATCGAACCTTTTTCTTGCCTTCTATTGATGTTTTAGGGTAAATTCGTCCATAGGACGGTAAAATGTTTCATCCGCTTTTCGCTTACTGAAGTCTGGCGATTCCTCGGAGACAAATCCGCAAGTATTTTATACTACAGTGCTGTAGTACAGTCGCGTTTAAAATTTGGCGCGAAAACTAAAAGTGAAGCGATGAAATTTTTGCGCCAAATTTGTCCAACTGTAGATGCAGACATCTGATATACAAATGGCTCTATATCCGAGTACATCAACGACTTATCGTAGCGCAAACAAGATAAACTCTCAAACAACCAATTCACTCGCAATAAAATGCATGATTTCTTTAATTAGCAAAGTAAGTTTGAAGGCCACCGACAAGCTTTTGGACAAAGAAATACGGGTTATGTTACAATCAGTATTTATTTGCCTGGATAGTTAAAAATTTACTATGGAAGAGTATAAATATACAAAGGTACAAAATAAATACGAAAGAAGTTCAAGTTCTGGTAGTCATTTCTTACAAATATCTCAGATTTAAAAAATTTGCCACTGGAAATAGACTTTGATTTGGTGTCCTTCAAGAGTTACACGCGACAAAAACACTGCGATCAATTTGTTGAACAATCAACAAGTGAAATACGATACATGGAAAAGAAACAGAAGTAGAACTATGCATGAAGAGAACTGCTCAAAACAAGCTGACGATTCTTAATAAATCTCTTGCCAACAGTAACTGGTACACTGAGAAATGCAAATATTAGCGTCGACAGAGGCACGTACTGGTAAGTACCCTATATCCGACAAGAAAATGTCATACGTTATCAACTTGAAACACCTAAAAGCAATTTATATTATCATCTCAATTCCAAGCTTCCTAACTTTAAAGTTCTACCTACACTGCTACACTTTTTTGAATATAGCTTGCCACATTTGCAATAATAAAATTTCCTAGACTGGCCTCACAAGCTAACTAAGATTTAACTGGACACCAAGAATACGGAAAATTTGACTTGACTGTACTAGAATTAGTCATAAAACAAAATTTGTGGTAAATTACTTTTAAAAGGACTACTGAACTGTGTTAACTACTCTTTCGTATTGTTGCTTTATTACGATTGGTGAATATCATGAGAAAAATATTTTTTGTTGGGAGTCGAACGAGGTCTATCCTGTCAACTGAATCTTGCCATCTTGGAGGGGATTTCTGGGTAGATGAAGAGAAAAAAAAAAAAAAGACTGAGTAAATTACTTCTCTATGACAAGTAAAATAATTAAAAAGTAGGCTCAAACCAACAGGTCTATGGATGACACCTTGGTATGAAATCCATAAAATAAAAGCCACCAAGCGGTGTCTTAAGTGGTAATGCTTGTTAAGCGATACAAATTGATTCTTACCAGTTAAACGTGTGTGTATGAAAATTGTGCGCGACTTCTCTCACCTCACCTTCCTCAAACTTAGCTCGAAGAGAACCACAAGATTGCTACACAGAAAGCGTACAAAGTTGTTTCCAAATTTTAATTCTAAGGATAAAAGTCTTAACTATCACAATAAACTTATCACTTATGTCTAAGACTATGACGAAAAAATCCAAAATATAATCTAACTGCCCACCTTCATTCGGATATCCTGGAAACTCGCCGTTCCTCATATGACTTGCGTACGCCGCATTAAACAGTTGTTGTTGACGTAACATACCACCGAATCCAATCATACGCTCAGGCTGGCCCCCAGCCATCATGGCATCCATAGAAGATGCCATATGCTGTCGACGTTGCTGCTGCTCTAAGAAGTACATCTGCTCTCTCGTAAGAGACTCCCTGGAGGGTAGTCCAGACGGGTAACGATATTGCATGGAATTCAGGTCCACAAATTGAGAATTTCCACCCTGTTGCATTTGCGCAGATTCAATGTTTCGTTGATGCGCCATAGCAGATAAGTTAGGTCTGTACTGCAGCGGAGGTAAAACGTCTGACGGGCGCTTGTTTCCGTACATGGCCGCATACGAACTCATGTCCGCGACACGCGTAGGATTAAATCTCTCGTGTTTCTCCTCTGGGCTGTGCAGAAAATTACCAGCCATCATATTTTCCCGTATTCTCTCCCGATTTGCTGCCTCCAAGGCTAAGTACTGACCGCGATTCTCCGGACTGGCTTGTGATGGGTTTATTCCCCTCAGCATTGAAGTGAAAGGGAGGCGATGATTTCGTTCGGGCGCAGGTTTGTTGTCTACGCCCCCTGAAGATGGAGGGCCGACATCGTTAAGTTCTTGAAGAAAACTACCCGGTTGAAAGTCAGGCCAACTCTTGAAAGGCGCCGCAGTCTCTGCCCCCTTAGGAGGATCTTTGTTCATATTTGCAGGGGGCATCCGCTGAGGAACAGCCTCCGTTTTACCAGGTTCTAAATGTCCATTTTCAGATACACTTTCCAATGTTTTCGCTCGGGAACGTTTGTCCTCTACATCATTTCCGGGTGGTTCTTTTATCGGGGTTAGCAATGGCATTTTCTTGTAAACATCCGCTTCGGGAGCGCTGTTCTGAGGAACTTTCTTTATTACACTCTCCGCAGCGTTACCTAAATTTTTTTTATTGTTAAAATTCATTCTAAATGCACGATCGTGCATTTCCAGATGAAGAGGATCTCCTTGTGCTCCTAATCTATCTAACCCTTCGTTTGGAGAAACACCGAAAGACCCTCGCCCAGAGGAAGTATCGAAATTTGGCCGCCCTCCCATTCCATCATAGGGCCCTTTTCCGGGCACCCTCTTCAGATGCTCGTTAGATGGCGCGACACGATCCCTGTTCTCTGGTGACTGGATAACTTGGCGTGAAGAACTGGGGTGCATGGCCAGGGCACCCTGTGGTGTACCCTGAGCGGGTCCCTCTCGCATTTTGGCTCCTTCTGTCGGCTGCTGATCCTCTCGTGAGGCCCCGCTTAAGATATGACTGATGGACAGAGTAGGAGGAACTCGACTTCTAGTCTGCTGCATTCCTTCGACGTTTGGCTCTTCCCTACCATTGGTTTGGAGATCCTTCCGTTCCTCTTGTTCGCTATAAGCTTCCTCGCTATCGGTTTCGTTTTCGGCCTGTTTGTTGTTACCGGTAAAATTTGGTGCTTGTGCCTTTGTAAGTTCAGGAGGCTTGTTTGGCATGACTGAAAACAGATGAAATGGAAAGAAAACGTTGGGGCAACCGAACAGAAAAAAAAACCAACCAAACAAACAAAATCTGATGATACATGACAATTTTCATCCTTCAGCTGGGTGGCTGTATGGGTAAGGTTCCTTGCGTAAAGAACAAATTATCTTATTGCTTTTGGTAGACTTTTTGTCAAATCTGCTCATACCTTCTTCTCTAAAGGAGCCCTCTCTGGAGGGGACCCTCTGTGGGGGAGCCTCTGGAGTGCGTCTGTCTAAGCGCCAAGGCTCCCTCCCAGGTACCATAGGTTGATTGTATGGTCCAGCTGCTGGAGCTCTATAGGGCATAGGACCATTTCGAGGATAGCCAAGGTAACCTTGATTGAAGGTCTGTGGT